GAACTAATGATGACTAACCTTCTTTAATTGAACTTTCAAATTGATTGATCAACACAAATCATTTTATGAGAGAAAATTCATAGCAATTATTTTTACTATTCTCAAATGGAGGTGATGAACTTGATTTAGAAATACTCATATGTCATTGTGATACAACCAAGTTCATGCAAATAATATTTATAAAACCTCACTTTTTTATTTAAGATAAGGGTCAATCCTCAAGCAGCGTGGATAATAAGAGTAAGAATTTTACTTATTTTATTATATATTTATATATATATATATAGATATATATACTTGAGATTGTGAAGGTTAGAATTAATCTAACAAAGGTAAAGACAATAAAAATAAAAAGTGTGGTAAATAGGAGAGATGAATCTAACGTAATAAAATGATAGAATAAATAGTAAAACTAGTTCAAATTAAGAGTTGAAGTTATTCATGGAGAAGATTATAAGAACTCCCCAAATTTAGATCTTGCATAGACCTTATTGTGTGCTAGTCTTAAGTCGAGTGGTGATTGATCTGTGATGATCTTGATGCACTCCAAGTAGTCTTTTCTCCATGACAATCTTGGGTATGAGAATGCCATTGACTACGTCTTGATTTTTCTTATTTTTTCTTCGACTAGCTACTACTAGAGAGAGAGCCAAAAAGCCCTCTTTAAGAAGGGGATGAGATGCCTTAAATCGCTAGAGAATTTAGCCCCTCTAATAGATGGCTATGATTAATAACCAACTCTTTTGGTGGACTACTTAGATTATTTTATAAAGATAGTATTTTAATCTTTATTTTAATCTTATCTTAAAATATCCTAAGATGAGTGGCCTAGATCTCATCTCTTAGTAGCTTTTAGGTTCAAATGGGCTAGGTCAAAGTGACACCCTCTCTTGGGCTCATAAACATATTACGTCAACCCTCTCTATAAGACTTAGGCTTTTCCTTTGGTTGAAGGCTTGAACTTATTTAATTATTTCTAACTCATAATAAGAGTTCACCTAAGTCCTTGTAATCAAATAATTATCAAGAAAATGTGAAAGAATTATCACTTGACTTCATAAAAGTTGTGGGATTAGTCTCATAATATAAATAATATAAATAAAATAATATGTATTATGATTTAAATAATAAAATATTATGAATATCATAATGAGTTAGTAATATATGTATAATGTATTCTTTACCCATTAATTAGTATCTATATATAAGATATTAATGTATAGATGCAACTACTGATTTATAATTATCAGAAGTCACTACTTTTTAAGTCATAATTTTTTGATTTGTACTAATCAAAGAAGCTTGTAAATTTATTCTTAAATAGCGACAAGTCCTCCTAGCTTACCAAGATATTGAGCTTTAATTTTGAGATCAAATTTAAAGTCAAAAGTAAAAATCAAGTCATAGAGGTTTCTCGACCTAAGTTACAAGAAATAAATGTAATCTGATAAGAAATTCAAGGTGACCCTTTATTATCTCATATTACATTAAAGATTCAAGGTTTCACAGGTGAGAGACCACGACAATGGTCAAAGTGGATCCCATGGGCTGAATATTGGTTTAATAACAATTTCAATATTTTAATTGGCATGTCTTCATTCAAAGCAATCTATAGAAGTGAGCCCCCCCCCCCCACCACTCTCATTGAGCAAATTTCTCACTCTTTGATCATAATGATGATGTGAATTGATCTTGTAGGAGTGTGATGAGATTTTGGATCAACTTAGATCTCATTTATCTCGTGCACAAGCCCATTAAAATCTTATACAAACAAAAAAGGAAGAGATACACAATTTATGACAAGAGATTGGGTATTTCTCAAACTACAACCCAATAAATAACATTCATTGATTCATCACTTTGCGACAAAGCTTACTCTAAAGTTTTTGACCCATTTCAAATGTTAGACAAAATCAGAACTTTAGCATATAAATTAGAGCTGCCACCAAACACATTTATACATCTTGTATTTCTTGTCTCACAATTAAAATATGCCAATGAGTCAACACCTCATAAAACTAGTATGCTTCTGCTCAATGTTGATCTTCATTGGACAACAGAACTAGAAGAATTTATAGCAACTCACATCGGTCCACACAACCTTGAGGTTTTAATTTGTTGGACCCATTATTCTTCCTCTGAAATAATATGGGAAGCTACCTGCAACATTCGAGCATACTTTTTAGAATTTGACCTTGAGGATAATCATTCTCTCATTAGAGGGAGTATTGATGAATTATTAAAATAGTTGAGAGGAGAGTCACAAGTGTTGATGGACTCAATAGAGAAATAGACCATGTTCTTATAATTATGGGATCTAACTCACAAAGATTGTGGCTAAGTGGGCTGCATAACTATGGGTTGAACTATTAGGACCCATAATGGTGTTAATAGTGATAAATGCCACAACTAACACATAGAAGAAGTAAGAATAATCATCCAAGATTTTAGAAGTGTTAATCACATCCATAAATATAGAAGAACAAGACCAAAGGTGAGGAGAGGAAGATACAAGAATTGTCCGCCCTTAGTGGCCATTCTTATATCCATCTCAGTCCACCACATTTGTTATGTTTATCTTCCCTTGTTCCAGGAGGTCTAGTCGTGAGTCCTATATCAAGTTTGAGTTCTTGAAACTATAGAAAATGTTTCCTTCTTTTAGTTTCATCTGTGAGATTTAGAGTGAAGGGAGGGGATCTCAATTAGAAGACATCCACAGCGTGTATAGGGGCAGTGGAGGAGGCGTTCCTGCAAGTGCTCAGCATCGACGACAGTGCATTCATGGTGCTGTGGGAGGATACCATTGCCTACTACTCCCCTCCATAACTGAAGGGGTTCAATTTCCCCTATCAGATCAGCCATGCCAACCCAACATATGTGCTCGACTGTGCGATGAGTTTCATGGTGTAGCTTGCACCAAGCGATGTCATCGTGGCACCAACGGACGGGCCCTTTGACAACCTATTTGACGAGGCTATTGCCACCTTGGCGGTGAGAATGTGAGCAGAGTACCCCTGCAGAATCGTAGAGGAGATGGCCTGTGCCTCAGTGGCTGTGGCTGTAACAGCCTACACCAGAAGTGAAGACACATCCTTCACAGCGGCCAGCTGGGAGTTGGGGCTCCTCCCAAGGACCAACAGCAAGCTCGATGATGTGACAGTATGTATAAAGGAAATAGTGACTCAAAAAAAAATAACTCTCACAGTAAAATATTTCTAATATGAAAGTGTGGTCTAGAACTCTCATAATCAAGAACTAGCCGATGCACTCCAACAACGTGTAAATCTCCCATATAAGGAGAACCCAAGAACCAACTCTAATCAAGAACTAGAATTCTCATAAATCATATTATTATCAAACTCTCCTCTCCTCTATCTTCTCCATCCACTCAACATGAATCTTTTTCATGATATTAGGGCAAGATTGGTCAACAGCGACCAGAGAGAAAATGGCAACGTCAATGATAGCTCCATCAAATGTTCTTTCTCTTCTTCCACTGAAGTTATTTAATGATAAATACTTGTTGTGGAAGACACAATTTCTTCCACTACTCAAGAGTCAAGGACTCATCTCCATGGGATGGGTCTACAGCATCGACACCACCAACAATTACCAATGAGAAGGGAGTTTCTAAACCAAATCCTGAATTTGTTACATAGGAATGAAATGATCAACTAGTTCTTTCATGGATACTCTCCACTCTTATGAAACCCATTTATCCAATTATAGCTGGTCACAATACATTAATGGCCACATTGGATGCATTGACTAAAATATCTTTTTCTCATTCTAAATCTCATGTTTTACAATTACACACAAAACTACATGCTGCGCAGTGTGGGACTTCCATAATTCAACATTTTTCCCTCATATACTGCTGATTAAATCAAATGATGGTGGTAGCACATGCTTGAAGTTTATTCATTTTTTGTGATCCTTTATATGAGGACATCAGCCTGCCTTGGCTATGGTGCTCCCTCCATTGCTACAACATCGGGATCATTTACTCTTTCCTTTCCATGCCAATTGCGACCATAAGTGTTGTTCTTTGAAGGACAAAAGGCTTGGTGTTTTAGGAGATTAAAATGATTTCTCGTTACTCTAGAAAGATAGATAGATAGAAAGAGAAAGAGAGGCATTAAGGTTTACACCTATGAAACCACTTTTGGTGAACCTGCACTATAAAGTTTGACCTTCAAGGAAATGATCATTTCGGAGTTTTGATTCTTCCTTGAAAGAGAAGTACTTTGTCAACATTGTGGAAGTAAGGGTGCTACATTGGTGGTAAATCCATCTAATTCATCTACTGATCTACACTAATTATATGAATACGAAATTCACCCAATATTTTTCAGATATTTCCATTTTAAATCCCCTTTTTGCATCCTTATCTTGCTATACTTGGAGAACTAGGAAATGAGTATATTTGGCTAAAAATGGGGACTCTTTCAATATCATATAGTCTAGAAAGGAAACAAGGCGCCTTCCCTCGTCTGTGTCACTAAGACTCATCGACAAGTTTTTCATCGGAAAAATAAAAACTCTTGAATAGAACAGAACTAGGCAAGACTCGCCAAGAAAATTGTTTCCACGTTTTTTCTTGTGCTCCAAAAATCGAAACAAAAAAAGAATCTGAGCAGGCTGCGCTGGCCCGTCGACTTCCCTGGATCGTATTAGTCAAAGAGCCAGCCCCAAAAATGAACATTTTCATTATTTATAAATACACGGTACAAGAAAATACATATGAAATTTGTCAACAGAAATGCCGCCCGTCCAAGCAGAATACCGTGACATATTACAAGATAATTACGAGATTAACAGCACCTCAAGTAGCTCCATTCCTTCACGTCCACGCTATATAAACCCCTTCAGTCGGGCTTCGCCGGCTAATCCCTCCTGCTTCCTCCTCTTCCCGCCACCTCTCTCTCTCTCGCTCTCTGTCTCTTTTCCCGCTAAAATCAAGAACCCAAGAACCCCCTCCCGTCTCGAGATCGGGAAAAATGGCCGTCCTCTCCCCTGCATCGGGCTCCCACCGCTTCAAGCGGCACCTTCCGGGTGGCATTTCGACGCCTCCGCCTCCGCCCAAGAACAGGAGAGTCGGCGCTGCCGACGAGTGCTGGGACATCTCCGACGATCGGTGGCTGCGCTCCGTGCTCGCCGGCGATCTGGCCGCATCTTCGTCTCGGGGGACGACGACACCGAGCACGTCCTCGATCACAACCCCTGCTGGCCGGGGGTTCAAGCTGGACGTGGGCGCCTCCTACCGGCCCAAGAAAGGACGGAACCCGCTGGGCGAGGACGCCCACTTCATCAGCGACGCAGGAAACGCCTTCGGCGTCGCCGACGGGGTCGGTAGCTGGACCCGACGAGGGATCGATGCCGGCGAGTTCGCCCGGCAGCTCATGTCCGCGTGCAAGGCCCAGATCAAGGAGCTCTCCCACTGTGGAATCACCGGGAGCCTTCTGCAGGGGGTGCTGAAGAGCGCTCTCGCGGGGACGACCGCTAGGGGAACCTCCACGGCGTGCGTCGGGGCGGTGGACGGGCCGTTCCTCCGAGTTCTCAGCATCGGCGACAGCGGATTCATGGTGCTGCGGGGGGGCGCCGTCGCCTACCACTCCCCTCCACAGCATAAGGGCTTCAATTTCCCCTATCAGATCGGCCGCGTCGACCCAGCATATCCGCTCGCCTGCGCGAAGAGCTTCACGGTGCAGCTCGCGCCGGGCGACGTCGTCGTGGCGGCAACGGACGGGCTCTTCGACAACCTGTTCGACGAGGATATCGCCGCCCTGGTGACGAGAATGCGAGCGGAGCGCCCCCGCAGAACCGCAGACGAGATGGCCCGCGCCTTGGCGGCGGCCGCCGTAACTGCCTACACCAGAAGTGAAGATACGCCCTTCGCGGCCGCCAGCCGGGCGGCGGGGCTCCTTCCGGGGACCGGCGGGAAGCCCGACGACGTGACGGCCGTCGTCGTGACGGTCTGCTCCTCGAATTTTCCCGCCCACCTTCCGCTTCCCCAACGAGCATCATCATCGTAGCTTACACTCTCCTCTTGGTTATCGAATCAGGTCGAAGCCGACGAGACTCCCACAGACGTCAACAAGGAACAAGACGATAACTTCTCCACGGTGGATCAAGGTATATTACCTCCGTGAACATTAATAGTCGAGCATCCATTTTATGTCCTCGCCATCCGTATCGAGTGCTCGCATTCTGATGATGCACCGGATGGTGACTCGCATACGCAGAGGAAGAGCGCAGAATAAGGCTCTGGATGAACGAACTCTGGACCGGCAACTCAGCGACGGAAACCAACTGACGGGGAAGAATTAACCTCTATCATCCAAGTTGCGAGGATTTTGTTCCTTAAGCAATGACAGAAGCAAAGATTATGTATGATTTGGCACTTTGTCCATTTTTGCAAAGTTCAGCCGGTAATATCAGCATATTGTCTAACGAAGAGATCGTACAAAAATGACAATGTGCTGTATTCTTTCCGTTTATCTAACCTGTGATTTATTCCAGAGTCATTTATCACAGCAACAGTGAAAACTCTTTGAACTTGCGTTAAGATATATTCATAGGCAAAGGTAAGATGACTCACGTCTCCTCGATCGGAACGTGGGTGATGAGCGCAGTGACGAGAAATCTTGTCGATGCTTCCGCGACGTCAATCTAATTTACGAAGAGTCGGAAGCTGGATGCTTCTAAACTCATGTGATGAGACCCATGTGGTTATCTAGGCTTCACATAGAAATTTCTCCCTCTGACTTTGGTTTCGGCTCTATTACCATATAGCGTGCTTCCGTTTCCCTTTTCTGCACAGAGAGAGAGAGAGAGAGAGAGAGAGAGAGAGAGAGAGAGAGAGAGAGAGAGAGAGAGAGCGGGGAAAGTAAAGAGCTTATAACTTCTTTAAGTATTGGCAATGATCAAAATGGATTGATTGAGCCATAGAGTTCTATAAGCCATGGAGAACGAGGGCAATAAAGTATCTACAAACCTTGTATTTGGAAACGCTCCTCTCAAAATACTTCATCTAAACATAACATATCAATAAACTATTATCCTTACTCCTCAACATATTCACTCATAGGATTGTAGGACTTTGATGATGAAAGGTCAGATGGGCCTAAGATTTTCTGTATCGCTGATGGGTGAGGCAAAAGCACCCTTCAGGCAGTTAATTGTGTAAGAAAAATCAAGACTTAATAAAGTAAAGAAAAACAAGCAGGGAGACATAGAGAGAGAGAGAGAGAGAGAGAGAGAGAGAGAGAGAGAGAGAGAGTGGGGAGAGAGGGAAGAGAGAGGGAAGGAGGGAGAGACAGCGGGGAAAAAGATGAGCTTATAACTTCTTTAAGTATCAGCAATGATCAAAATGCATTGATTGAGCATCGAGTTCTATAAGCCATGGAGAACGAGAGCAATAAAGTATCTACAAACCTTGAGTTTGGAAACGCTCCTCTCAAAATACTTCTTCTTCTAAAGATAACATATCAATAAACTATTATCCTTACTCCTCAACATATGCACTCATAGGATTCTAGCTCTTTGATGATGAAAGGTCAGATGGGCCTAAGAGTTTCTGTATGGCTGATGGGTGAGGCAAAAGCACCCTTCAGGCAGTTAATTGTGTAAGAAAAATGTTTGGGGTCTAGGAGAGAGATAACCCTCTCGAAAGGTTATCACTGGTGTGTGGGGGTTCCATCTCGGATCCCCTCCCTTGTTTTCGTGATTTTCTTGTCCCCCTACCTTGTTGAATTGCATTAATTTGCTTATTTACTTCTTGATATTCATTTGACTTGTGGCCAGCAAGTATAACGTATTTTCTTCTTCTGAATTGTTGATCAAGTTGACCCCAAGACACCCCAGAAATAATCTTGATTTTTCATGTAATTACGTATTTTTTTTCAAGAAATTATAGTAAGTATGCAACCACCTAAAGCATCACAAAATAACTATCAAGAACTATGATTACCTTGGTGGATGATAACTAAGAACAGCTTTTAAAGTACGAAAATTATGGATTTAAAGCCTTATACAATTCATGGACCTTGGGAAGCAAGATAACTAAGAACAGGTTTTCTCAACTTAGAGCTTTGGCTTCGGATAATTACGAATAGAGCTTAAATGCGACTGCATAGATCATTTACTACATGGGTTATTAGAACGTCCTGATGATTAGTCAACAATGGAGGAAGGTTTCAGAGGAATCCGGTGACTAAGTTGTGTTCATTGGATGGCAAGGAGTGGAGAAGGATCCATATCATTTAAGGTAGATATATAGTTGATAATAACGAGCGGCATTGATGTCCAGAACCAAAAGCTTCTATTTCTTTTTTCTTTTACGAAACCAATGAAGGAGTTATTGGAACGAGAAACTTATGGGCATGGATTCTGAAAACTAAACATCAAGGTAACATAACATATAGCAAGCAAAATTCATGGTTTCCGTGGCAAAAACCCAAGAGAAGTAGCTTTTTTCTGCCCCGAAATAAAATTTCTTGCTCCAAGAACAGAACGAGCTTCCACCCTCAAGAAAGCGAAGGACCAACCAGATAAGATTGTCACATCATATCGAAGCCGAAAGAACGGGGGCACCAAATCGAGCAGAGTGGCGTAGGAGACACCAGCGGGCCTCGGCCAGGCGGAACGCGAACCTGAATCACTGGAAGAACCCACGGAGATCGAGCTCCATGAGAAAGGAGGGGAGGGACGACAATTCAACACTTGCCTCCGGAGGTTCCCCCGAACTCCGCAACTCCAGTGGGCTCCCCCAACTCTGAATCGAATCCAGGAAGAAATGCCTCACCACCAACCTTTCTGAATCTGTTCCCCTTCTTCTTCTTCTTCTCTCAGTTCTTCTTGCTCTCTGGTAGCGTCTTCTCCTGTGGAGATTTGTCTATTTCGAAATGTTTCAAAGCATTGGGTGGTAAAAAAAGAAAAAAGTGGGTTTTTTAGGAAATGGACCAAGCAGAAGAAAAGTCAAGATAGGCTTCTGGGGGAATCCCCCCTGGAAAATCGGACGTGAGGGTTTATTATTTTAAGTCAAATAAAAAAGGGGTTTTTTTATTAAAAAAATGTTAAAAAAACCCCCAAAAAAGAGATACTCTCTTCTACTCTCTTCTGCCTAACGGCATTAACCGCTCTTCGTTCCCGAAATTACGGATTAGCCCCGAATCCGTCACCCGTTAGGGGAGGGTGCCGGCGGAATCCACGTGACTCCTGATGTCACTCTCAAGTCTGGTACATCGATAGGAGACACGTGGCAGAGCAACGAGGCACCCACCTAGTTTCCCGCCCAAACACCCCTTCGATGTTAAGTCACGACTTGATTGGGGGTGGGCGGCAACCTGCCCATTGGGCTGCAGCCTAATTGCGCCGCAGACTTATTGGGCCGGAAAACACTGAACCCGTCTACATCATTGTGCAGGAAGTCTCCAATCTCTCTCTCTCTCTCTCTCTCTCTCTCTCTCTCTCTCATTATTTCAATCTCCAACGAAATTGGGTCAGCTCTTATGTTGGGAAGAGAGAATCTGGGACATCAAAATTTTCTAACGTCCGATTTCTGTAGGACTAGAGAGAGAAACAGACAGGATTCTGTTCTCTCTCTCTCTCTCTCTCTCTCTCTCTCTCGCATTATCTGCATAACTGAGAAACTGGGTCATCTCTTATGATGGGAAGAGAGGAATAAAACAGAACCTGGGCCCTCCAGATTTCCTACTTTCCGATTTCTAGAGAGAGAGATGGAGAGAGAGAGAAATGGTCAGCAGAATCAACGAAGAATCAATCAGACACAGAAGGTGATGTTGGCGGTGGGGATGTACAGGGGGGAAAGGAGTTTCATCTGAGCAGCCCAGCCTGGTAGAGCTGCTGCTGCTTCTTCATGAGGAGCCGTCGGCGACGGGGGGGGGCTGCTGGGACTTGAAGAACCTGGCCACGGCCTGGTAGAGCTGCTTCTCCTCGAAGGGCTTGGACACGTACCCGTCCATCCCCGACTTCATACACTCCTCGTACGTCGCCTGGATCACGTCCGCCGTCATTGCCAGCACCGGCACGTGCCACTCCCTGCCCCGTCCCCCCTCCGCGTTCGCCCTGCTCTCCATCTGCCGTATCCTCCTCGTCGCCTCGAAACTGCACTTTTAAACCGGCGCTGCCGCCGTCGAGTGAGAAGAATTCACGGCGAGGAGAGAGAGAGCGAGAGAGAGGGCGCATCCTACCCGTCCATCTCGGGCATCTGGACGTCCATGAAGCAGGCGTCGAAGTCGTGGGGGATCTGGAGGAGAGAGAGAGCGTCACTGCCGCTCTCCGCGCACTCCACGTTGGCACCGTACTTGTTCAGGGCGCCGGCGGCGATGCGGCGGTTGACCTTGTTGTCGTCCACCACAAGGATCCGCTTCCCGGCGAGCAGCCTGCGCAGGAAGGCCGAGCCGCCGTTGACTAGTTCCGGCCGGTGCAGCTTTCTGATCCCCGCCACCTGTTCGAGGCAGGCAGCGATAGTGCTTGCCCGCAGCGGCTTCATGATCACCGCGTCGGCGAGCCCTCCCCCCGCCGCTGCCGCCTTCTCCGACTCAGCTCCCACCAGCAGGACGATCTTCGGTGGTGGCAGCGCCGCCCCCTCACCGCTGCCCTTCCACTCGAGCAGTCGCCGCCGCAGACCAGAGGACTCCCAGGTGTCCTTCTCCACGACGATCATGTCCGGGTGCTTCCACAATTGGCTGCCAAGGAGAAAGAAAAAATCCCCACATAAATAAGAAGTAAGAAGATTGAGGTTGAAGAAGAAGAAGAAGAAGAGGGCTCACCTGCTCGGCCCGGCGACAGCATTGGTGGCGATCTCGACGCCGATCCCCAGCCGCTGGAGGTGGTACCTGGTGACGGCACTCCTCACTGGCCGGTCGTCGAGCACAATGGCCCTCGTGCCGCGGAAGCTGGAAGGCAGCGGCTCACCGCCGTTGCTGTGGTTGCACCGCTTGAGGACAGCGGTGAAGGTGAAGGTGCTGCCGACGTGGGGGCGGCTGAGGAAGCTTATCTGGCCGCCCATGAGCTCCACCAGGCACTTGCTGATGCTCAGGCCGATGCCCGTGCCGCCATAGTTTCTGGAGGTGGAGCTGTCCGCCTGCATGAAGGGAGTGAAGACCCGATCCTGGGCTTGCAGGGGGATGCCAATTCCGGTGTCCTCCACACTAACGATGAGGGCAATGTCCTCTGAGTCGCCGCCACTGCGGCTGCCGCTCTCGGCCCAATCAGAGAGCAGCAGTTTGAAGGTCTCCCAGCCATTTCTGCCGTCAGCGGTCTCGAGCCCACTCAAGGTATCGAAAGAATCCGGCGGCCTGTTTGAGCTCATTTCGGTCTTGGGATTCATCGCCGCTGTTGCATGATCAGCCAAATGAACTTGGATAAATATGTGGCCACGCTCGGTAAACTATCAAGACCAAAAAGGAAACAACAACAACAACATTCGTATGAGGGAGGGAATTCACAGCAGATTGGCGAGAAGCTCGAAAGGAATTGGAGCTCTCTGAAATGAAAAAATCTAATTCAATCGGAGCTCAAAGGAATCAGTCAGCTCACCTTGATGGAATTGCCCACGAGATTGGTGACGATCTGCCGAAACCTCCCCGGGTCGCCCATGAGGACTTGAGGAACTTTGTCAGACACAAACACGGCCAGCTGCGGATTTCCGTGGAAGTCAACAAAAAAAAAAAAAAAGAGAAAGGAAGGACCATATTTGATTAATTAGGGAAAGAAAGAAAAAGAAGATCTAGCATTAGAAATAATAATAAATTCGTCCAGGACTGACCTCGATGCCTGACTTTGCTGAGAACAGGGAGATCACGTCGTCCAGGACGGATCTGATGTCGAAGGGCACGGCTTCCATCTCCAGCTTACCGGCTTCGATCTTTGCCCGATCAAGCACTTCATTTATAAGCGATATCAGGGCTTTGCCGCAGACCTGAGCGGTCTGGGCGTAATCCTTCTGGGTCGAGCTGAGTTCCGTGTCAAGAAGCATGTCCAGCATCCCTGGAGATCAGATCAATGTCGCCGATGAGGTTTTGGCCCGATGGGCACAAAGTCCGCCCACGAAAGACAAGAACCAAAGAGCTCAACATTACCGAGGACTCCATGCATGGGCGTTCGTATCTCGTGAGAGACGGTGGCCAGAAACTGCGATTCATAAGCAACCCAAATGAAGGTTTCACTTAGAACAGGAAGCATGATTACTGAAGGAAGGGGAAGGGGAAGGGGAAGGGGGAGGAAGACCGCATAGGTCGTCTCAGATGCTTGACTATGTGATGGTCAACGTTGCACCAAGTGATCAGATGGGGAGAAGGTTGACCAGGCAATAATAGCATCTTTTTATCAGCAGGAGGATTATTCTAGAAACTTGCCTGGGATTTCGCAACATCTGCGGCCTCTGCCTGGACCTTCAGTTCCTCCATCTTCCGGCAGTCCTCCACAACAGTGGCGTAGCGATTGTAGGCGGTGAAAATAATATATCCAATGAGCATGACGATCACAAAGACACCGGTTGGGGTGTAAATGGCCGACCATGGAACTGCAGGCTTCTGACAATATCTGACAAGGACCCGCCAGTTTAAATAAACCATGAATAGCAAGCCACAAGAAATAGAAAAGAAAAAATTCATACCTGCATTCCATCTGGTGCTTCCTGAATGGGTCCCCGAACTCCAGCATGCTTACATGGGAGAGAGCGGTGTAGCCAATCATCTGCTCGGGGCCGTACATGATTAAGGGGATGGACGCATTGGTGACGTCATACACATTCACCAAGATTTCAGCGTTGCCGGCGAGTTGCTTCAGCAAAGTTTCAACAAGCGACTCGATGTCAAACCCTCCGCCAAGATAGCTGTTCGTGAGAAGTGTGCCATGTTTTGGTCAGACTGAATCTTCCTCTCCACAATGGAATGATTAGAAGACCATGATTCGTTTTCTACTTTCTTTTTTTATTTTTTCTCCTCCAGAAGGGTGGGTTTGGAGCAATCACCAAATTAAGAGGAACCATGTGATGTGATGTGATGAAATATGGGATTAAAAAAATACACAAAATCCAGAAAAAAATACTGCAAATCAATGGACAACATTGCATTAATTTGAACGTGACTGCCTTTCTGCCTTCATTTTGATATTCTAGAGTTCTACAGCCATATGTTGTCTCCTTAAGAGATGGCACTTAAATTGTTTATCAAAGAATCATGGTTCCCAGGAAGATTTTTTTCAGCAAAACTTGATGTACGACCGGAATCACTTCATACGGACGTGGATGTATAAGACGTTAAAACCTAGGGTGTGGGTGTAGGATAATGGTGTGGCAATGTCGTGGCATAATTACCCAAGTGTCGAAGTCAACATGAGTGCAACATTTTCGAAGGGAATTAAAATCCAGTGAAAAAATTACAACTAACCTAGACATCAATCTACCATTTTTATTATTAGAGCCTCAGATAACTTTGGAGATGCAGGGGAACTCAGGTATGATCATGAATCCACAAAAATATATGCTTGCTTTTCCCATAAGAAAATAATAGCTAGTCAATTGGGAGGTTCAAATGACCCTGGATCTTTTCTTTGAATGATAACAGAGAGACCAAACAAAAATTATTATTAAAATCTTGAATAATCAATGAGAGCCATTTGCTGTTCTTTAACATGTTTCATCTCGTGGAGTAATCAGTGCCCAAGGTGGAAGCCAAGCTTCAAGATATCAAAATTGGCAGTGCTTATGGACATCCTGCTGCCAGGAGGAGATCAGTGAAAAAAGCTGAGCTCAGGGCACTATTCTTTCTCTGGGAAACCTAAAAGTATGTTTTTTCCATGCTCGTTGTCCAATAAAAAGGCATACATGTATACACCCTTGTTGTGGTTGACTTTATTTAGAAAATAAATAAACGGTACTGGACTTAATCGAACAATGGAAACTTACGTGGAAGTATATTGCATGATGACTACTGACAACAATTCTCAATGGAAAGGGAAATCCTTCTAGCTACCAAAGTGAATGTTCATTCTCCATCAAAGAATTCCTACATTTCAGGTCTGTTCTGCCTCATTCTTGCTTATGTCCCTTTTCTCCAATAATGGCTGGAACCAAATGCTACACTATAAGGTAGGCATGGTACTCTGGCATGTTGGGCCGCAGCTGATAACTACCAGTAGTTCATCTAAAGGTGGCATGAGATAAGAAGGTATGAAGAATGCGCATTTCCCATATTAATTCCATGAATTGGCAATCAGCTTCCACTTTCTTTTCCCTAAGACATGCACAACGACACACCACTATTCCCTTGAAATTTATATGCATGACTAGTGGGAACGTGAACTTTCCACATCAATAAATTCTGTCTGTTCTTACCTACCCTCATCTTCAGCTTTTTCTCCAAACCACCAAGGCATGATCGAACCCTCAGTCACGTGTGTCTTCTTCCCAGTATTAACTTGCTCATCTTATTCCTCCAAAATCTCACCATTGTATGGTTTTAGGCTTCGGCGGTAAAACATTTCCTTTCCAACAAATTATTTTTCCTTTCTATCAAATATTCCATGAATACTCGGCCAGAAATCGTACTGGTGCCAATTATGGGTCTACTTTAGGCAATAAGAGAGGAACAACTCTGAAAATGAAAATATAGAACTGATACGATCATTGGAGCTCACCCAGCAGTTGCTTCTACACGTTCTTCGACAGTCGCAGTCGGGGAAAGATGTGTGCGATACACAGGAAAAGTAAAAACAACTCCGAGATGATTGGAGTTGAGCAGCCTGAATGGACTTGTCAGGACAGCTTTGCCAGTAGCCCTAGCCCGCAGGATGTTCTCTCGATCCTCCTGCATTCAAAGGAACAATAGTGATCTTCTCGACCCCCATTTCAACACAACGGTTCAGCCGCCAAGAGGAGGACGTGAGCAGCATTACCTCCCCGGACATCATATCGAGGGTTTTGAGGTAAGAAAGAGTCTCCTGGGCAAAAATCACCGGCGCATATTCATCTTGCTCAGGCGATGGCCCGCGCTTCATGGTCCTAATTACCCAGCCCTGCTGTTCCTCAAACTTTTCCCTCTGTGAGCGCATGACCCTCTGAGCGTATGCGACTCCGCCGAACAGAGGCCGCTCGAACGCCGTCATTGCTGTGTACTCCGCAAATGTAGCCTGCACCAATCCAGAGTGATATTAGATAAGAGCAAGAACAGAGCACAAGGCAGATTTAGATGAGGTCTCCGTTCACCTGATCGATTGCAGAGGGGTTCTTGTGGAGGTGGAAGGTGGAGACGAGGATGGCGAGGGCATGGACGTGGTTGACGCTGACGGCGAACTGGTCCTGGAGCATCCTGGCCCGATCCTCACACATGCTTACCAGGCGCTTCTCTGCGTTCTCCATGTTGTAGCGCCGCATCCCCAGGTGAACCACGAGGCTGATTACCATCGACGCCACCACCCAGACCACCACCTGCACCGTCCGGTTCTTTGCCCACTTCGCCACCCGGTTTCCCCTTCCCGCTGCGAGCCCCATCATCCCCGACCTCCCAAACTCCGCCGCATTCAAAGTATTCCTCACGGGGAAGGCATACGGAACAGGGCCCTTGATCTTCTCTGCTCCTGGCTGCGGCCGCCGCTGCTCTGATGAAGACGATGATGCAAGACTTATATTATCGGGGGAAGGGGGAGAAATCAGTCTTCGTCTCGAGTTACGCTGCTTCAGTCTTCTGCTTGCCCCAAACAACATAGCTCATCATTTCCCAACATTGGCCCGCGCGTCCCAATAAAGAGCAAAGGGACCGAAAAGGGTAGGGCGAGGTGGAAGAGACATCAGCGATGGGGAATGAAACGAATCCCAACTCTCGATGGGGAAGAAGAAACCGGCCAAAACGACGAGCCCTGGTTCTTGTCGCTCGAAGGGAGCTCGAGAGCACTGCCAAGAAGACGACCAGGGATCAGTGGGGGATTAGAGGAAGATGTGTGGGGATTGGGGGCCCGAATGAAACCTATTTACCTGCATGAATAGATGGAATCTTATCCAGTCCAGTCTGGTGTGGTGGGGTTAAGAGTCTCGACGTTGCTCCTCTTTTGCAGAGCAAGTCGATCAAAACCCTGGATATGGCCGGATACGCCGTCGATTAAAGAAACAGTTCCCAGCAAGCTTCTCCTTCCTAAGAGCCCCACAGAGCCTCTCCAGTCGTCGTCACCACAGTATTCTCAGATACTCTCTCGCTCTCTCTGCGGGCAGCTTCCGTTTCCGACCAGCCGATGAGGAAGAAGAAGATGAGCTCCAAGAGAGTCACCACAGTTGATGACAGAAACGGCGCCACAGTACCTCCAGCATCGCCGTCTAGACGCAACCGACGTCTAAATTTGGCTCCCTGCGTGACGAATTCTTTGAACACACGCCAATTCTGCAGGTTCTCAGTTGCTCTAGGTTTTCCGCAACTCCTTTCCGCTTCTCTTGATTTCAGCTCCCCTTTATCTCCTCGCTTCGTTGCTGCGGAGGTCAACCTGTCGTGAAAAAGAGACCTCGTCTTCCTAGGTTCCGCACCCCATCTTCACATCACCTTCTTCCCTCCCGACCTAGATCAAAGCATCCGACTTCCGCAGTGGAAACAGAACACCTCTCGCCGAAGGTATCACCGAGCTCCTCTCTACATCACAGTCGCCGGCTGCTTCCCTCCCGACTGGAAATCCACCGCGCCAAGACCAGATCCAGATCAAATCAGCCAAACCAGCTCCAGCCTGCCGCCGCCGACGCCGCTGCTTCAGCTCCGGTTGCTCCGGTCTTCACGGACGAAGACCGGCCAGAAGCATACGCCACAGCCGACCAAGAACCGCTGGACCGCCGTCAGACCTCACCGGCGACCTCCAGGATCCTCCCTCCCCGCCGGCAGACCTCACCGCTTCCACCCCCGCAGCCCCGCTCTTCCACCACCACGCCACCAGGGCTCCTCGGAGTAGTTGACGACCGAACGCGGAGGGGGAGAGAGAGAGAGAGAGAGAGAGGGTCACAGGAACATTAAAATACTATAAAATATCTCTATCAGAGATCTCCCTGACGAGGACACGTGACGCAGGATGGATATTCCGATTTTTTATTATTATTATTATTTTTATTCTAATAGGCCAAGACTAATGACAGCCACCCCCGGGTTCCATTCTCCCTACGGTTCCGATCCCGGGAGCTCTTCAGATGAGTGGTTCAGATTGTTTGGTCTACGTGGGGCCCACCTCTGGTCGAGTATTCCCCAAGTGGTGCCGGAGCAGTGTGCGGCCACTGACGGGTAAGAACGGTGGCATAAATGACCCATTTGTCCTCGTTATTGTAAGAAATATCGATAAGGTCTTACATGGGACTGCGAAAAGCTGAACGGTTTCGTCGCACGCCGCCTTTTCCAGACGGTGCTGGCCCCCCACGATTCAGATAATGATGAGCCGTCCGATTTCGCCTTGAAATGTGAAGCATCCACCGCTGGAAATTCGACACGTCATTCCCCTTCCATTTTTTTATGGAGATTCCCCTGCGCAGGGTTAAACCACGCGAATCGGGGGCGGAAAAGTGTTTTTCTGAAAATATACTACTTTCTCTCTCTACTCTTTATCCAATATTCGTACCCTACAAGGTGAAAAATCGTATTCCATAAACCTAACAATGGCCAGGAATAGTGTCTTAAAAGCATATTTATATAATAAAAATATGCATCCGAAGTAGAAAATAGATAAATTGATGTGCAGTATTTGAGAAATAATAATAATGTTAAAAAATAATTATTCATAAATAAAAGGGTAGTTTTGTCATTTACCACTTCCCCCCTTGAAAACTCTTTAAAATATGACCTTATTTGACCGAGTGAACGGGGTATGACTTGTTATAATAAGATCCAGAAAGTCAAATGGCAATTAAACGGGAGCCGCGCCGCCAGGGGCATGTGGGCCCCACATAGACCAATAATCACCGGCACCCATGTACGTCCGATGGAGATCGCGGCGGCGGAGATAACGTTGACTCTTCTTCAGGGAGCGAACCCGTCCTGATCTGCTTGTCGGAATCTCGTAGATGGCAACGGAGAGAAGAATGCATCACGAGCCGCCCATCGATCGTGCTGACCCACCTCCCTCTAATAGTAAACTTTTTCTATAATTATATGTATTTTTATAACAAATAATTACACATACGAATAATAAATTCCTAGTTAGCGATGTCATGAATCTACGTCTTGTCAACCCAACTGGAGTCCATAATCTCTTAAAGGCCACCTAAGAGAGAGAGAGAGAGAGAAAAAGAGAGAGAGAGTCTAAGTCAAAACTCCTTTAAATATGACGCTGACAGGAAATGGGCTCATTGGGCCAGTCAACGCGGCTAATAATACAGTATTATTATTATTATTATTGTTGTTATGGGATAAGAATTGAGCTGACTAAAATGTATATTCCCCCCCTTTAGACATATAAGATTCCCATCAATGCTAATAATGGGATAAGACTGAGCTGACCAAAAGCGGAGGTGGGCCCGTGGTTTGGGGTGAATTACGTAGGGCTTGCGGTGACTACGACTTGAAAGTTTTATCTGTTAATTGGTCAACGCTTTGACATATCTTGGCTTACGTCAGCCGTGGGGAGTAGAATATTCTAACTCAGGCCTCTTTTAAGTCCTGAGAATTCCCCGCCTGAGGGGCTTTTTAGCTCGGATCTCTTTTGCATGATTTGGGGTCTTGCAGGGTTCCCCGTATCCATGCATTGAAGGAAAAAGGGAGAGAGTGAAAGCTAGAGAGAGAGAGAGAAGATGCCAAATGAGAAGAACTCATGGTATTCATATGCGCAAAATACCTACCTATTAAAGCATTGTAATCCATAAATACAAGCATTCAAAACCGAGGAGGGGGATGCGCACAGAATATTTGTAGCCTAAACGATAGTAGGATATTGGAGTCAACGCCATTCATTACCGTTAGAAAAGATAGTATAGGGCTGTACTTGGATCATAAGGGCCCATTTTTCGGGAATTTCTCTAGTTCTGACTGAGGCGCATACGCATAAATAGAAAAAAAATCAAACCTCGTAAACGGAAAAAGAAATCCGCCGGGTATGTGTCTGGTTACGACAAAATCGAACCTCATGAACGGACAAAAGTCAAAACGACGGCCACCTGTTGTAGCCTTCGTGGCATTGTTCTCCGGGTCAACGGACTAGCAACTCGATCTGGGATTCTGAAGTAACAACCCGCTTGCCCCTCTGAGACTCCAAAATCTCCCTAAAAAATGGACGCGTTGACCTCCGTAGACTCCCGGGACAGCGAGCTCTACAAGAAAAGGTGGTAGTAAAAGCCCTAAAAACTCCCAAATCTCCTCTACTTGCCGGTCGTCTCTGCTGCTGACCTTCCGTGAAACAAATGCCCCTTACTTAGAGGAAGCTCCTCCGGCCGGGGGGGAGCCAGCCGCCGGCTTCTTCTTGGCGGCGCCGCCCGGCGAGTCATCCTGGCCGGCGGGCTGCGGCGGCGGCGGCGCTTCGCCCTCGGGCGGCGGGTGGGTGGGGGGGAGGAAGACGCCGGTGCCGGGGACGGGGTGTCGCGGCGGTGCCGCCGGGGGCCAGGCGGCGGAGGCCGCTGGAGGGAGGGGGAGGGCGGCGGTGACGAGGGGAGGAGCGGCGGCGATGAAGAGCGGCGGCGCCGCCGGGGGTTGGAGGACGCCGGCGGCGTGGGGCACTGGGTAGTGCTTGGGGTGGCTGGTGCTGTGGGGCCTACCGGGGGGAGGGGCCCACTGGGGGAGGGGCTTCCTGGGGAGGGACTTGCCGAAGAGGAGGATGACGCGGGGTTTGCGGGTGGAGGAGAGGGCGTGCTTGGCCAGGTCTGCGCTCCTCCCCTGCATCACCAGTAGCGACCTGCGGTGCGGTGGTTCCCCACTTAAACAAAAATACCGCCTTTTCATCTATCTACAGAAAAAGGTTCCCCGGTAGAGAGAGAGAGAGAGAGAGAAAGGAAGAGAGAGGGTCGACAAGGCAGAATCCGAGGGAAATGACGGCTACCCGGGGCAGAATCTAGAAAGCAAACAAGAAAATCAGAGAAATGAGCGCATACCCAGGCAAGAGAGGGGGGGGGAAGAGAGAGAGAGAGAGAGAGAGAATTGGCAAGGCAGAATCTGAGAGAAATAAGGGCTACCCGAGGCATAATCTAGAAAGCAAACACGAAAATCTGAGAAAAGAGCCCAGAACCAATGAGGGAGAAAGCCAAGCGGTAGATAGAGGAGAGAGAAAGTTGACAAGGCAGAACCCGAGAGAAATGAGGCTTACCCGAAGCATAATCTAGAAAGCAAACACAAAAATCTGAGAAATGAGCGCAGACCCAGTGGGGAGAAAGCCAAAGCAGTAGAGATAGAGAGAGAAAGAGAGAGAGAGAGAGCGTACCCGGGGGAGAGAGAGAGCTTGAGGGGGCCCCTGTAGTTCCCTCGATGATCGACGCCAATGACTTGTCCGAACACCATGTCGCTTTCCGTCAGGAAGAGACTGAAGACGGGGCGACCGTACCACGCCGGCCACGTGTAAGGTTGCGAGTGATCCCCCTAGAAGAAGAAGAAGAGGGAAAAAAGGAAGGATATCAGACCGAGCTCATTCATCAACTACGCATCAGAATCTCACAGCAAGGACTTCACCACAGAGTTGACCTATTCTCTCCCACCTCATTGTAGAAGTCAACGATGCAGTAGTCAGGCCGAGAGGTGACCACCTGCCGACGGACCAACCGGTCGATGATGTCTTCGATGGCGCCGGGGATGGGGTCAACCTTCCGCTCTGCGGGTCGATTTTCGAAGATGAATTCCTCGGCTTTTTTACCAAGAGAAAAAATAAATAAATCATCCACAGCAGACCAGCGTCGAATCGGGAGGACTCACCTTTCGGAATGGCGGCGCCATTTTCCTCATCTGGAGGCCTGTCGGTGACTGGAACGCCGAACTGGAGCATGTCCCTTCCATGGCCTTTGGACGGCCTCTTTGACCCCACAAATGTCTGCCCTGCTGCAAGAAACCCATTGAACGCGGTCGTTAAACGGAGCTCCTCGAGATCGATTCTTTTCTCCCATGCTCATCACGCATATGAAGAACCATAAATAATCACAGACCAGAGAAAATAAAAAGAAAAAAGAGGTGGAGAGAGCGGGGAAAAAAGAAAAAAATAAAAAGAACTATTGATTAAACATAATCAATAATCACATCCCCGTAAATCCTGGAATCGAGCATCTCATGTAGATTCCCAGGTAGTCAGACTAAAGAGAGGAAGAGTCCAATAATTTTATGGAGGATAAATAAATTCAGATGCATAATTTTTAATTAAAAATGCTCGATATTAAATTCTTCCCACAAAGTAAACAATTTACAGAATATTTATTTTACATAAATGCGGCAACCCAAACCGAGTGACATCAACAACCAGACAATGAAGGGATATTAGACCTGGATCTCATAATACGCTTTGAACATGTATGCCTACTTGAGCTGTCAGAGATCTTTCTGTTATACTTTCTGTATGCCTACTTGATTTGTGAGAGAGCTGAAGATCACCCATCCATCGAACATGTGTAACTCGGCCATGCTTTAAGTCAATTGATGAATATCCATACAACTTTCCTTCTTGAGCATATAAAGCCATTGGTTATCAGACACAGACAAAAGAATTCCCATATATATTGGTATGAATGTCTGCATAACTCAACATTCTACAGCTAGTTCCCTTAGGTAAGTAGCACAAGACTGATGTATTATTTGGAGCAGGGTGTGGTTCATCCACCAAATATACGGAAGATCCTACGACTCAGCATGCCGATATTTTGAAACAAATTTCTAATTGAGTTTATTTCCCATGAATTTCCGTCAGTTTTCCCGCTCCAAATGCCGAAGAACGATTAGAAATAGAGGAAGACATGTGGTAATGAGCCAAACAGGCGACATGTTCACTCACCTTGAAACTCTCCTTTCTGCCCAGAAATCCTCCATTCATTTGCAGCAGCCACAAGAGTTGAGATTTCTGAATTCTCAAATAAGTCATCGTAGAGTTTCAGTCCGTCCACGACATTAACCTGACAGAGTATTTATAATTTACTGAAGAGACGGAAACATATGAACATGGCTTCCAAGAAGAAATACCAGACTTGGCAGTCAAGAATTTACCGTCTTTCCATTGCACAATTCATTAAATTCGAAAACTTTAGGAATAGGAACAGACTTCTGCGTCCCTTCCTGGTTTGGAGTTGCATCTTGGCCTGCTAAAATGAATCACGTAGAATATTGAGGAACCCTAACATGAACACGTTTTTATAAAATCATGGAAATAAAATTCATAAAATCAAATAATTGAAACATAATTCTTGTCTCGAATGTTTTTTGCTGAAAATTAGGATCTTTCCGAGGCAAAGGATAACTAATGGATGACTGTCAAAGAGGCATTGGTCTTGAACGTTAATATCAATACTTGACACTCTTTCGTGATGTATCTTGCATATGTTTTGTCTAAAAAATCAGATCAGATGACGAACATGGCAAATAAGGCAAATCCAATCTTATCCGAATCACATTGGATTGACTAAATTGGCCAAATGGGGAGGGGAAATGAAATTGGAAAAAATGAGAAAGAGTAGGAGGATATTTTTATAATTTGAAGTTATAATTATAATTTATGAATTATAAATTTAATATAGACGTCCACGTCAACTCATAAGCAACACCAGCCAAACAGCCACTCCAAACCTAATCCTCCCCAAAACCAGACACTTTTATTCTTCTCTTTAATATTTCTAGGTGGGTCGATTTTGCCATTTAAAATCACATCATCCATGCCCAGCTCAGACGAAAAATGACAGTTCAATGTAATTTATCACAACCTAAAGTTTCCACACACACGTTGGAAATTCTTTGGTAACCTTTTCATTAAGGGGAAATTTAATTTATAATTGAAAATTTAAATCATCACAAGAGAGGATTCATTCGTATGAATTATCCATGAAAGGTTGAAACAGAGCTATCCATCATGCAGTATGAATACGTTTTTAACTTCAAGCATAATCTCAAAGCTGCAAGCTTTAAAATGTTGGACGCTAAAACAACAGATATGAAGAAAGGAATACCTTTTGCGTTGACAATGGCACCATCTCGAATTGACACAGAATCCAACTTATCACATATAGGCCCAATAGAATCTTCCCCCTCCTTTTGACTGCACTCACCCTTACAAGGAGCGTCGCTCGACCCTGAATCATGCACAGGAAAACACAATCAAATCAAAGCTTCTGGATCAAAACTAACAAACCACAAAGACCAATCTGGATCAAAACTTACGAACCATAATGACCAACAGGATCAAAACTAACCATAAAGACCATGCTGGGTAAAACGATTCAGTTCCACTAATGATTCAGACTTATTCAACTTTATTTTTGTGAACCCTACGTTCAAATGCATCTGAAAATAATATAAACTTTATCTATGTCACTTGTGCTGACAGATGCAAGTTGATTTCATACGGGAAAACTGGCTCCAAATGCCAGTATAAAGAAAGATTATTTGAGATTCATCGATTGACATGGATATCTGGGGAGATCGACATATCTGCAGCCTGCTTTTTTACCAACTGTGTGCACTGCGTACTTATGGGAATTAATAAAGTCACGTTACGGTAAAGCGAGTAAAAATTTAACGTCATCACAGTAATGAATGTTACATACATCAGCGCCATTTTTCCAATAACATTGGGGCAGCACCGTTCAGACTCGGATTATCATATTCAAGCACAGGAAGATATGAATCAGTATAAAGGATTCATCTTAAATATTTTTCTAGAAGGAAAACATAAACGCCTAATAAAGTTGTCACTATCATCAGGACACAAAAATTAGTGTTACCATCGTTCTCAGGCAAAACACTTAAAGCATTTCCATGCAGTACTTGGACCTCGGTCTTCTGCTTAACCTCCTCTCTCTTTGTAGATTCTTCTTCCGTCTTCTGAGCTTTTGCAACTGGGCTCAAGTACTGAGCAGAAGAACTATGATTTTCCCTCATATTTTCAAGCTTCTGCACTTGTCTATATCCAAACGTTTGTTTCTTGAAATCTTTTTCTACAGGCTTCGGTTGATCAAAATGCCTTGGTTGCTTCCGCCAGGCCACTTGCTGCAATGCAAGGTTGATCTCTGCTACGGAGAAGTACTGCTGCAAGTAGAGAACTGGTGTCCAGTTGCACCGTCTCTGCTGAATGCATCCGACAACCATATCATACTCGCCAGGCTCACTTGTGGTCCTTAAATGTTCACAGAGTGAATCTATTATGGCATTTGCTGCTGCAAATTCTCCCTTCAGCCAATATATGAAACCATCCCGCTCATCTGGGAACCACTGCCGCTGGGCATGGGCATCACCCCCATTCGAGAATTGCATTTTTCTGGGAATCACTGAATTCCCAGACGGCATGGCCATGAGCAAATCCTCTCTAATTAGTTCTCATTATTTTGTGGTAAAAAATCCAATTTTAAAGCATTTAATAGATCTATGGAAGCATAGGATGATATCTTCGGATCAACCAGATAAAAACACCATAAATATGTTACAATATACTGCAGTTGGTTGCAGGGATAGCAAAGTCATTGCGTGCAATCCAGCCCTCCCGAATGGATCCACCTGGTGATGAAGAAAACAACAAGTTGAGACCTAAAGATCGGATTGCCTAAGGGATCGATGAATTTCAAAAATTTCACAACAGTTCTAACGGAGAGCAGCAGAAACACCAACGAGAATGTGGCCGGTTGAGTCGAGAACGCAGGCAGGAATATCGGATAAAAAACACAAAGCGAAGCTATAGATCAGGATTCACTATGCACACCCAGAGCCGCGTCGACCGCACCTATCCGACGATCGCGGCCCCGAACTATGGCTAAATGCGAGTGATTACGGAAACAGATCGAGGTCGAGGTGGGTGAAGGAAGTAAATGAAGCCAGAAGCTCTGCCGGCGGAGCGCTAGTCAAATGCAGGAAAACCGATCTTGAGTGCAATTGTCCAGATCTGGATCCAACCCAGATAACTTCTAAAGGGAGTGGTAAAGAAACCAGATGCAGTACAACACGGAGTGACAGGATTGGTTGAACGAAGGATAAGAAATGGAAGCGAGATTTAAGGGACGATCTGTAGCTCGTTAGAACAGGACGATGGCTTCGGGGGAACGCAGAGAGCATCTGGCCCTGCAACTGCCTCCAATGGAGAGAGAGTTCGCTGTGACTGAGGTGTGGAGAAGATTCGGTACAGGGACATTCTCGGAAGCCCACCTAATTACATAGCTTCACCCGACCCCCCGCATCTTTCTCTCACCGACTGCTACCGACTGTAGCCCGTCGGCTGCGTCCAACCACGGTCTTCTCGGCGGGAAGCTCGCCCACAGGTGTCCGTCGCTCGGCGGTCAGCTTCCCCTGCGCGCCGTGCCTAACGTGCGCCCCCATTTCCAGGAAATATCGCGATATTCTGTGTGGACCTCGGGGAGGCGCACGGTGTTCTCCCCATTGGACGGCGGTGATGATGCCCATGGACGGCCCGCCTCCCATCATCAGATGTGATGGGGGGGGAGGGGGTCAGTGGCAATCCAAGTAATTATAACCTTCATTAATCAAACTAGCGTAAACCGGACCGGAGAAGGCGAATCGTCGGGCCGGACAGGTTTGGGCTTTCTTTCTGTAGTGGGTAGGAGGTATGAAAAACGGACGAGAAAAGGACCGGAAAACGAGTTATTGGCTTCCGGGTCATATCACGTCTCTCGCGGGCCTCATTTTAAAGCCCAAATACTGAGAAAAATGGGCCGGACTAACCTGAAAACCGATCGGGCCCGTTAAGAGTAATGCAGCTGAGAGACTAAAGCTGGCTACTTTGTTTGGATGGAGTTGCTTATCTCATCAAACTTTTGGGAAGTCCGGAAACGTATGATTTAGCTTATTTACCCTCCTGATTTTTTATATAATTTAAAATATTATTAAATTATAAATATAAACCAATTAACTCATTGATTTTTGCTAAATTAGTTAATTACAATAATTTTATGGTCTTCATCTCCAGTCTTATAAAATCCAAACAATGGACTGGATGTTGGACTAGGCTGGTCATGTTGTCTCCACAATACAAGTAGAGTCACAATGTTGGCTATATTAAGACAACACAAGGAGTCTACTAGTAATTTTCATGAAATTCTTTCTCTTTCAAAGTCTATTCTCATGAATTTGTATGGTTCAGTCTACCTAAATTACTCTATTCTCTAAAGAATCTCTTTGGTTCCACCCAATTTTTAAAGTTTGACACTAAATAGAATGATTCAACCAATTTTCATGAGATCTAAAAGCTCCAACCAGCTTAGTGGTTTCTCTCAAAACTTGATTTTGCATTTATAGATTTTAAGTGATTAATTAAAAGATCACCACATTATATTCATGACTCAATAGACAAACTCTTAAGAGTATTGAATCTAAAAGAGGTGATACTAACACTTTAAATATGATGTATTGAGAATCTAAGATATTGTTTTACCTTAGAAGGTATACTTAATCTTAAAGGTCATATCGTACAGATTTTTTACTATTTTAATATATAATTAATTTTAGAATTTTAACATAGAGAGAGAGTAGAAATAAGAAAGTTTTAAAAATTAAATTCTTTAAAAAATCAAGGGATAATTAGTCTCAATAATTATCTCTGGAAATATTTTAGGTCGCACTTAGATTGTGAAGATGAAGTTGAATTGATTGGATCTTATATTTAACTTGATCAATTATTTCTGATCTCTTCAATCACCTTTCTTTGACCATAAATCATAAAACTCTTTCCATCTAAATTTAAAGAGCTCAATTATTTTTATAGTGTTATAGTATTCATAATACTTTGATGATTGACAAATACTTATAAGATCAATTAAAAGATAAGACCATGTTTTGTTCATGTCTATGCATGCATATGAATTTGATTGAATGTGAATTCATAAATAATGATAAATAATAATGTTAACTACTTAAATAAGAACTAATTAATTATGCATGATATCAATCATGTTGAATTTATATGTTAGGTACATTGACAAAGTAGAATTATTATTTTCTACATTATTATAAAAAATTAAAAATATATATCATAGTGAGAAAGTAACAATTCTCATGTCCAAGTCAATGAGAATTCTTGAAGTAAAATATAGATATACAAATCTCATAGTTTGGTATGTGCTCAAGATGTGATATGATTATTTTAAAGTGATTTTGATGTCAAATTAATAGATTGAATTCATAGTACTCATACTACTAAAAGTTTTTTGAATATTAATAAATATATAGATACTAATAATTTAAAATTATTATACTAATTAATTTAAGTATCAAAATTGTAACTCAATCTGTACATCATATTTTATCTAAAGTGGTTGGATAAGTCTTATGCCTCATCTTTAGTCTATTTAGGCATGTACTATTGCCTCCATTCTAATGACATCACATCATTAAACTTCATCATATTGACACCCTTCAGATATAGTGTAAAATATTTAGTTGTCAAGAAGATATCTAAATCATTCTTGAAAGACATCATATTTATTTTTCTGCTATTTTAATTTCTTACTAATTTTTAAAATTTAAATATTGAGAGACAACATAAATTAAGAGTTTTTTGAAAAAAATGTAAGCTAATCACTTTTCTAATGATTAATTAGTTGTGATTGGGGTATTTGATTTAGTAGAACTCAAGAATAGGTTCGTTCTTGGAGAGTAGATGTAGATAAAGAGCCAAGCCACTTAAAAATTTCATATCTTCTTGATTCACATACATCATTAGATTTTTAGGACAAAATCAGAAATCTTAGAGATTTCTAACCAAAATCAAATATAGAAATTGACTATGTGACAAATTTCCAACATAATATGGGAGGTGGCAAACTTACCACCCCACTATGACATTTAGATCATTAGATTTTATTTTACTTTACTTTCTATCAATGTACTTGTCTTATGTGTTACCTTTGACAAAAACATTCCAAAGATAATTTTGACCTATTCATTATTTTCTTGTTAATTTAATACTCATGACATTACAAAAAACCTTTCTAACATCATGTAATATAGAATATTATAAATAATACAACACTATTGGTAGATCATCATGGGTATAATCTAAATCAAATATTTAAATTCTATGAAATGTCAATGTATGGATCATATATAACATGTGATGACATGCCATATGACTGTATATTAAAAAACAATCGTTGATTCTTTTTCAATTGATATTTTTTTCTCTTAAAACTTTTGTAAGATAGAAGAAAACTCAATCTTGTGGATAAAGACCATAGATTTCATCAAAAAAACTGAAATCATAATGATTATAAAAATGATTGAATATGATTAGTTCATTGAATATTTAGTTCACATAGGTTAGACATATAAATGAAAACTCAATCTCATCCCTTATCAATCTAAAATATGAGATAGTGAGCTTTCAATAAACTTTTACTTGTAATCATCAAAAACGAAATGCATCAATGTTATATTCATGTTCAAGGTTAATTCTTGATCTCAACAAATCATTATGATTTGATTAAAGGTGTTTAACATAATTACTTTCTAAATGTAATGATTGTCAACAAAAATTACCTGTCATAGGCATATGAATAGACAAGGATAAGATATTCCAAATGGAAAGGAGAAGAGAAAATTGAACAACATAAAATATAATGATATTCACAAGATAAACCACCTAACTAACTCAAGTTCATCTCTTCAAAGACAACCCTCTAACATCCAATATGGCTACCAGCATCTTGTGTCTTAATCCAATGCACTTTCTCCTCACCACCTAATTATCTTAAAGTATGATGGAGACTAAAAATTGAGATGACTAAGTTGATCATTTGTCATAATAAATTGATGGAGAAGATGTAGCTTTCTCATGCATCATTAATACATGCGACAAAAATAAATTGATTGTAAGCATTGAATCTTGGGGTGTTCAATCAATTTTTATTCATATCTCTTCTTCCATAAGTAAACCTTGTTCTATATCAGTTTCCTTATTTTATTGGATCACCAACATTTGAAATCTCTTTTGAAAGATTTACTATTTTTCGAAATGCACAATAATAACATTTAAACATTCCAATCTTTGAATCTCCCTCTTATCATGGCTATTTCAGTTCAAATTTAATCTAGAGTTTCCTAACTTCACAAAGAATAGTTTGATGTACATCTCATATCTAAATCATCATTTTTACCTTTACTTTTTGTCAACATAGGTAGCTAACTTGTCACCATCAATATGATATCATCAAACTTGAATATCTCATTCTTTTTCTTAATTTATTGATGACTCAATCCACCTAATATCTTACAAAACTTGTCTAACATCATTTTGAAATGATTAATAATACATAATATGGTTGGAGCATCATATAATCAAAGATAACATATTTCATATGATTACTTTGACTTTTAGCATAAAACTAAGGTTATCAATAAATATTACAAAGGAAAAAGTAAAAAGTAATCATGGATATTTGCTATTTACTTAGATGCCACTAATAAATTTGTAAATTCATATGTTCATGATAACTTATTATAAACCAAACTCAAAGGGGAATACAATGAAATAAAAAGTGTATCTCGAAGTGTAATGTTAGTGGTCCATTATGGTGCATATAAAAGAAGGTCCTCCTATCATATTAGGGTAAGAGAAAAAGAAAAGGAAGATAAAGCTTTCACATCACCCATCTTCTTACTCTAAGGAGTTCAAGAAATATTTCTCAATTCATAAGCACCACAATAAGGTTTTTAATAATGTGGCAGGCTTTGAAATTTAGGTGATCAATTGATTTGAACCATTTAGTGAGGGACATACAATCAACTATATCAATGGTCTACAAACTCGTGGATTATATAAGTATCAATGCAATGACTTGTGATGCTAGTTTCACATATTAGAAAGGCCAAAGACAAAGAATGAAAAAATCGAGGCAGACCCAAGATGAAAAAATGGTGGTAGTGACATAACATTATAGTTTACAAAGGTGTACATATTTCATTTTTTCAAGCCCTCATCAATACAACTATAACATAACATTTATATCTGCTTCATGTCAATTTAAATTGATTTTGATAATGATTTGATAATATGAATACATAATCGATAACATGTTACATTGGTATGATAATTTTTCAATAAAACTTATGAGATTTTTTTTAATAGGAAATCTGTTTTTAAGAGAATATTCTAAACCATAATTTTGATATTCATAATAATAGTTTTGGCGATTTAAGATATCTCATATAATTTTATAAAATATATTTCTCAATCTTTAAAAAATCATGTTTGACATAATAAATAGTTTGAAACCAATTAATTATTTTGGTATGAAAATTAGTCAAAATTAATGATCTAAATTTCATGAGTGCATAAAAGAATTAATAACTTTCACACATATATTTTACTATGTGTCATGTTGCACATGATGTCCATACTATTTCTTTTTCACCATGTTATATTTTGTAGATATTATGATTTCTACGACAATATGTGAAGGTTTTATTGAGGCTAAGATGAAATACCAAGAGCAAGTGAGGAGAATTGATTTTCTATGACTTCTATTATATTTTGATTTTCTATCTACGAGTGTATGTGTTGACATAAGTTCTCACACAATTGTTTCGTCTTAAGTAAGGGTTTACTCAATGCTCTCTCTCTCTCTCTCTCTCTCTCTCTCTCTCTCTCTCTCTCTCTCTCTCTCTCTCTATGTGAGTTTCTTCTCGACTCTCTCATTGCCATTAAGGACATAGATTTTAATATTTCAACACTTGGCTACTTCTAATCCCATATGATATTTTATATTTGAGTTTACTATTATTTATTATAAATACACACTAATTTAATGAGATCAATAGCATAACTGCACATGTCAAATCTCCTAATTATTTTTTTTAGGTCACTATTTTCAAATGTAGTAGTAATATATTTTTTCGTTCTTAGTTGAAGTTTGTAATAGCTAAACTTTAATAAAAGAAGATAGATGTTCCTTTGACCATTCATAGTCATTGTAGAAAATGTTTTTGTTGTACTTTTTCCTTCTTTTTCTCAAGCTCCTTCTTTTTATTCTCTAACATTCTTTTATCTTTTAATGTTTTGAAAAATGATCATGTAAATTCAAATATGTTCTTGTTGCTCTTTCAAATACATTAAGCTTTTGATGTAAAAAATGATCGTGTTTTGAAAAATAATCATGTAATCTTGTTGCTCTTTCAAATATATTAAGCTTTTGATGTCAATTATTATGATGTTCATTGAATATTGAATAAACATTCAGTAAATAAATTTTCATTTGTGGTATCAAAATCAAAGGCATCAACAATATGTAGTATGATCATTTGTAGACATGAGATCAATCAATCTTGTAGTTTCAAATTATTAGCATGCCATATATTACATGGGTTTTCATCTAAATAGTTAGAAATGTTACATTGAATCATAAACAAATATTTTAATTATAAATGTTATTGAGAATTAATAGAGTAAAATATCAGTATGAACTTACTCATTGAAATTATTACTTTGATTAATATTTATATCAAGTTAACTGATTAAATTTAAAGTGATTATTCAATTGCCCAAAATTTTTACAATACTCAAGTATATTGATTGAAAAATTATAATATTCTATTTTATTCAAAAAATATGATATTAACTTTCCAACTAAACATGTCAAATTGACATTCATGATTTATTTGGGTAGTTTGTATAAGTTTTGAGTGAGAAATCATTACTTCATCTCAAGAAATATTATCAAATTCTATTTCAACAATAGTGAATTATTTTTTAGCATGTTTAAATTGATCATATATATTAGTTTTCTTAGAAGACATCCTATCTGTAAAGGTCATGTTGTATTAGTTTATAATCAGTGGGTCTTTTCCAAAAATAAACAAACTCTACATGTATATGAGGCATGCACATCTTGATTATCCCCTCCTCTCACCTATGTAAGCTCTTGATTACCAAACAAAGGTAAAATCAGTTGATGTCATCCTCTAATCTTAAGAACTTGACACTGTTTTAACTGTTTTGGTGTTGAAATTAATAATAATAATAATAAGATAAAAGAAAAAGTGATAAAATATGTTACTATTACATTGAGGAATGAATGAAGATCAGATCTAGTCCACTTATTTTATTATGTTTTTGAGGCATAAAAAATGAAGAGAATCAGCAAGCAAGAGATACAGAAGAAATCTAAAATCAGAACAACAAAAAATACTGTAGAAGAGAAACTAACTTAAGTTGAGAGAGGGTCAATCCGGGGGTTGACTCATGTGAGGTAAAACAGTCATCACAAAGTCACAACTGAGGAAAGAAATTCCTTGTAAAGATTTAGTGTGACAACAATTTAAAAAGTCAAACCCAGGAAAGAGAAAAATGAAGGTTATAATTGGGATTTAACACATCCAAGGTCTTAGACTCTATTGACGAGTACTAGAGCATCTCTGATCATCTGCAGTGAATCCTGAAATATCAGGAGATTAAATAAGAGAATCTCAAGCAGACAAATCATAATAGTAGGCCAAAAAGTTGGCCAACAATCTGACTGTGTGCTATGGCATCTTCCCATGAAAGCAGCAACCCGCAGAATTTGTAGGAAAGATCAAAATTTAGATCGAACTTAGCGCCCAGAGTATACAAGAACACCATGCAGAGGGTCTAAGGGGCTACCAGGCTTCCTATATATATAAAAAATTACACTTACTTTACAACCTGCCCAGAAAGGATATGGTTCGAATTGATAAAATATGGACCATAAACAACAGGATTACCTTACCAAAGAGAATCTTAGAGCTGTCTAGACATCAACAAACCCCAAGACGATCAGTGTTGGGTTCCCATCCTGTGAATGGCAAGAAGCTACTCCAAACTGGGTGCCACCTCGGTCGGATTGACTTCAAACACATCAGAACCAGATGAGTCAGGCTCCTCTAGCAGTTCTTGTGACTGCATTGACTCCTTGAAGACCGGGGTCTCTTTGAAGTCCGTTGCCCCTTCATTGTATGTGGCCACCGCAATCCCACATGCAATTAACTGCAACCAGTGTCCAAGAGACTTGTTTAACTCGACAAATATATCAGAAACAAGGTCATTTATGTAAAAAAAATATCTGTCAACATATCATTGTAGATAATGTGATCTGTAACATCAATAGTTTAGTAGATGAAATATATAGTAATATTAAATTGATATATGCAGATTTTGTCAATAGTCTCTCACTGATCCTCGAAACGTTAAGTCCAATGTTTATAAACTAACACTCGTGAATGTTAGTGGATATTTCAACCCTATGCAAAAAAAAGGAAACTCAGAGCCCCTTAGTATACAAATCTTGAGCCGTTAGCCTGAGGAACAGTTATCAGCTGTTGGTAATAAAGGTAGGAAACCAGAACAAATTAGACGCTGTTCAAAAAGCCACAGAAGATAAGCAAGGTCTTAAATAAGCAGCCGAGTTATTACTCTTCCTCTCTCATATATTAACCACGTGAAACAGTCTCACTTCCAAGAGATTAAAGCCTTCCTGAGCGAACGAGACTGCTTAGAACTTTCTGTGAACTTTAAATTTTAGAGTTCATTTCAATGAAAAGGGGTAACATTTCTAAGGCGTCGAAGTTATGATGGAGAGACTAATTCACCAACTGACTAAAGTTTCTGCTATTTTTTCGCAAAATGCTATAATCATGGCAGTAGTAAAAGATTGAGATGTAAATAGAACAAAATTGGAATAGCTTCCTTGGTGTTAAGTTATTAATATGATAAGTAGATGGAACAAATACAGCCAAAGCAGTGGACACCGAGCAATAATTACAGCCAAACCAGCATCCTCTCAAACTGCTCAAAAATAAAGGCAGCCATGCCTCCCCAAACACACATCTCCATCTGTAGGTTAGATTGGCATAGCCTCATGTCCATAGATATGTATGAAACGATCTTCTTCATGGTTTAAAAAGATTAAAGTTACGAAATCGAACGCCTCTTCATTTTTGAACTTGGGGTTTGCAGTTTTGACAGATCTCATCTTAGAATCCAGACACCCAATGAAACAGCATCATTGCTCCAAAAATAAAGGGTCCATCCTTTGAGACTAAAACTTAGGTTCCTTCTACGAATAGCCTCGGGACCATCATCTATTTTAAGAGCCTCCATTCTATTCATTTCTCTTATTGAAATACATCCACAAATCAACACCACCAAAGAACCATTCTAAAAATGAAATGTGAACAATTACAAAGCCAATTTCCATTTACAATTCAACAAGAAATCAAAAATCTTGCAGCACGTATTCAGATGATCCTCCGTATTTTAACAGATACATCCATATTCTTCAGAGATCTAGCAATATGAAGCATAGAATCCATTAAAGGTTCTAATCATTTGGCATGAGCTGGAATGTTATAGAACAGCCTCCCTGAATTTTTTTGCAGTATATTGTCATGCAATGAAAGTTGATCTCTCTCGCTCGATGTAGCAATCATGAGAAGGAACAACATTTGAAATAGAGTAAATCACAGGTGCATGGTTTCCTAACTTGGTTAGATGACTTAGAGAAGCTTTCAGACTTCTCAAGTCATAGTTGATCCCTCCTTAGCTAACTAGCCAAGTGGATCAGATCTCCTGCGAATCTTGGTACCATACTGACCAATTCACATCCAACTACTTCTATCTCATGAGACGCTGCAATATGGGTTTATATCGAACATATAAGTTGTCAAAAATAAAAACGACCAGAATAAACATGAACAGAGACACATAAAAATTCAAAATTTTGACCCCTCTCCCCATACTTGATGACAAGTCAAGTGAAAGGATCAAGGACGGCGGCCAATGCTGGAGCCACAACAGCAGCAAAAGTAAGCTAGAGTCCAACAACAGAGAAAGAGAAAGAACGGACGAATGTCCACTGGAATAGCAGCAATAGGTGCAAGAATGGTGGTGATCAAGCCAATTTTCTCATCTTCTTATGTTTCTCTTATTCCTCCTCTTTTCTTCCTCTTCTTTGGTGCAACTTTTCCCTTCCACCATTTCAGTCACAGAGAAAATTCCAACACAAAAAGATGGAGGTTATTGAGCAGACACATTGAAAACCTGTAAGGAGCGTGGGCAAGGTAACTCCGTCCTGCCCAGGGCAACTAATAGAATGAAAATCATAACAGACCAAACCGACTAATAGGTTTCTACAAAATGGACGTGGAGTGTGAGTAAGCATAACAAAAGGCTGTAGCATTAAGAAATATTTTAGATTAGCAAATCCTGGCCCAAAAATGGGATAGGGGTCAAGGTGCAGCTGGAAGCCAGCGGCTTACTCAAATGTCCCCAAAACTGTGCCGGTAACTGCAATCTCTCCTTTCAGATTCACATCTCATTATTCTGACCCTTTTTTGGTACTTTAAAGAGATTTCCACAACTCGTATCTAGAGCTGTTCATCTATTTTTCAACAGGGAACCTTCTCAATTTGAAGTCGATAAAGGCACCAAAACTAGCTATCTATCCTCTCTCCTTCATGCCAGAATATAATTCTTTTCCCAAAGACATCATTTTTGGAGTAAGTAAAAATTTAAAAGTTAAATGGGTACCAATAACGTTAAAAGAGAAAAAAAATAAATACAAATATCCACTGAGAAGAAATATTGAATGTCCAAAAAAAGTGCTATATAGTGGAGAGAAGATGAAAACAGAGAAATTTGAATTTAGAATCGTGTTTAATAGCCAAGTGTGCCAAGGAAAAATGTTAATAGAAAAAAATGTTTTGGGGGAGACGGCTAATGCCATTTGTAACCATCACAATATCATGTCTTCTTACTTCCTAGTGTCTATGCAGACTCACCTGCATCCATCAGTTCATCAAAATTCCGTATCCGCTAGCTTGATACCAGAAAACATTGCTGTTAGCTTGAGGACTTTAAATCTTCATATAAATCGTGATATTTTATTCAAAGAACTAACTTCCCTCCGTCAAAAACGTTCACCAGAACTATAGATTGTGGCTTTAAGCATCATCTAAGCAAATTCAACTATTGAAATTTCAGAATACACATAAACTCTATAACTTATTCATATCTGTCACCAAAACAATATGATGGAGCTCTCTAAACCAAAATCAACCTTTAGAGAAGCTCGAAAATTTGTAATATATTTGACACAAAATGGCCAAAAACTATGGGAAGAATTAACTGAAATGCACTGGTTCTGCGCCGTATATATAACAACTGGAATGGCACTATCACATAAGCAAGCGATAGGAAATCCTAAAAACCATTCACCGATACTAAAAGAGAACTATGGTAGGAACATATTGAAATCTTACTGCGAAAACAATGCCAAAAGCCCAGAGGTACTGCACGATGAAGCCAAAGGTATCCCACTTGGACCCCTCCCAGAAATCAGTCGTCAGACCCGGCAAATCCGGAATCGGCGTCGACACCGAGCTCGCTCCATCCGTCCCCAGCAGCTCTCCTTCAGCGGAGGAAGGCAGGGAATCATCCACCTCACCCCCTAATTCCTCCTCCTTGGGCGCGGTAGTGGTGGCACCGCCCTTCTTTCCCCGATTATCCAGCCTGCGGGTCCGGGAAGAGAGCCCCTTCCTGGCGCAAACTATCAGGGCAGAGCCCCTGCGGCCTCCACCATCCTTCCTCCAAGAGATAGATAGAAGAGGGATAGGCCCAGAGGAAGGCGCCACTCCTCTCACCTGAGCTCGCTGCAAGCAGCAGCTTCCGCCTCCTGTGGAGCACACCAGAGCCATCACGGTGGTCTCGAGGTGCCGGAGATGGCGGCGATGGAGGCGGGATGTGAAAGGCGGCCTGAAGCTCTCCTTCCACAGAGACAGAGAGACAGACAAAGAGACACAGACGGACAGATAGAAGAAATAGCCGCCGACGAGAAGATAAGAGAGGTGAGAGAGGCACTCAGAAAATCCCACGGGGCCCACAGGGTGAAAGCATGAAGCTGCTACCGACGGGCCGAGCCGTAGCTGCCCAATGTTTCAAGCCTGGCCCGATGAATTTTTAACGACTTTCGGGCCGGTATTGGTGGCCGGAGGAGAGAGAGGGGAGGGCCCGAGACGACCGGCGGGGCGGTCCAGGAATTCACGGGCTTCCTGGCGTGTCTATTTAAATGGCCGGCTAGAACATCGGCCCGGGCCCACTTTCTTTCTCCGTGGTCCAATAAGAACGCTTCAGTATAACGGTCTGTGACCCTCCACGTCACTCTGAGGAAATGGACATATATGCATACAATCCAGTGATTCGCCAAAGCGGGGAGGAGGCGAGAGTTCCTAGTTCCCTCGTCGGCTCCCTCGATGAACTGCGAATCCTCCTGGCGGTGGGTCGGAAGCCGCAGCGCCGGCGCCGCCACCTCCGGAGGGGCGTCGTGTCGGAGCTGTTTCCTCGTCGTTTATGGCCTCTCTCGCAGCAACGTCAGGCGGGGTGTCGTTTGTACGAGCGTACCTCGGGATGTGGCCGGACCCGAAGACAGGCAAAGGACCTGGGCCGATCCTGAGGAAGAGAAGAGAGAGGGGAGGGGGAGATGGGCGAGGCGGCAGGAACTCCAGCGCCGCTGGGTCGAGGTAGAAAATTGGGGCTCCGATGGCGGTAGAGATCGAGGTAATGCTTTCAGTACTCGGATGCGGTACACAGGCCCTTTCTGGGTTCTCCGAGCATCAATTGCCGGGAGAAACGTTAATTTTATTTTTCGCGATGTCCATCACACTTTCGGTGCACTTGTATTCATCGGTATGACGAGTAGGATGTCTTTTCAAATGGGATGTCTTCCCTTCCCTTTGCGTCATCAAGTTACTGCTTAGCATTCATCTGTCATTACTGCCAAGAATAAATAAAATATCTAAAATATTGAATGAGCTGGATTTTCTTGCGATTTTTATGGAACGTTTTTATCAGCCACCCAGTCCAAACTGATGTTCCCTATGGTGAGGCTGATATTAAAGATCGTCTGAATTTGGCTCCAAAATTGGTTTTGAATCGAGACTCTTTCGCGTTGCTACAAGTTTAGACCGTGTTCAGGTTGTCCGCCAAAGTTTCCGAAAGGACAGCTGCTATCATCAAACGACATATAACAGTAGTAATCGGAAGACAGTCTCACTTTTCTGCTTGAACTTCATGAGCCTAGACGGAGTATATTCTGATGCAATGAAAGAAGTCACTTTTAGGGCAGAGATCCTGGTCATTACGGATTACTATCAAACCCGACGTTACAGAATGAAGAGGAAAATTTCTAACAAGACAATTAATATGCATAGGTAACACAGCCATTGATGATGGTTTTTACTGCAACATATCCATAGGTTTAAATGATATGGAAAAAAAAAAAAACTAAGATGTCCTCTTCACAGTAAATGGTAACATTTACTAAGATGTGAAAGTTTCGTTTCATCTTTTGAGACTCGAACTCAATCCTAAGATCCTGGACTCCATATGTCGTCATTATCTTCTTACTTCGTTTTTAACCGCTCAATATTGCTTACTCCCTCCCCTATTATACAGCGGATTTTGCAATTGTGTCACACAACATATTGGGGGATCATAATGCTTCAAAACACCGTGATCTCTATCCAAATATACCATTTGATTATATGAAGTGGGACAGGCGGAAAGAGCTCATTTTCCAAGATATCTGTCGGTGGAATGCTGAAATAGTATGCCTACAGGTGAGTTTGAGAAAAATTTGTTAATAGAACTTCCATTAATCTATTTTTTAAAATTAATAATTCCTTTAAAATACATTATGGGCATTATCAAGGAGGTTGATAGATATCATGATCTCCTAAACTATATGAGGAGCGAAGGCTATGCTGGAACTTTTAAGGTATATGTCTTCTCCTATTCAATGCAAGCTTGTTCTCACACTTTCTCCTCGAAGCTGTGTAACGTAAAGAGAATTGGATCTTTCACAGAGACGAACTGGAGGGTCCACGGATGGATGTGCTATATTTTGGAGAGAGAATGAGTAAGAAAATATTTATTCATCACATTTTCACATGGGTCATGTCGTTTGTATGATATATTTTCTGACCCTGGATCAATATTGTAGATTCCACTTATTAGAGGAAAAAAGCATCGAATTCAAAAGTTTCCATCTTCGTGACAACATAGCTCAGCTTTGCATTTTTGAGGTAAAAATGTTAATTTGATCCTTCAATCATGAAATATTTCCATGATCCTTTTATATTTTTTTTCGTTATTTTTGTAGTTGAGTCCAACAAATATCTTCATTTTTATTTAAGACCGTAACTCAGAGGTACATCTGGTGCTCCAACCGTAAGAAATGGTTCTTGTTAAAACCAGTTTTAAAATCACTCGATCTGAACCGAATAGCTCAGGGCAGGTTTGTTTACCATGACATCTTGACTTTGTGAGGGAAAAAAGAAAAGGAATGAACCCAAAGCTTATCTGATCCACCCCAGGTTCACACTTTGAGGCCGAGAAGACCCACATCATGCCCTTGTTCAGATCATCTAGAAGTGTGGTCAGACCTTACCCTGTCAACAGTCAAAATGACCAGATCCTTGCTTCATTACTAAATGAAATCTTGACGAAAGAGGGATTCCCACCATTGAAACGTTCATCAGGTCGATATAAATTTGGTACAGTAATGTATTAAAAACTATGTTGTAGAAAATAGTTACACGAACAGTTCCCAAGAAATGGGCATCCTTCTAGAATGTAGAGACTAATTGAAGCTACATTTGAATTTTTTTCTCTTCTTTTTTGTTGTATAGCAGACGTAATGAATATTTATAATTCCTTTCATTATATACCTATATGTACGTTCTAAATTTCATTCCTTCCTAGGCAACCAAAATCATGTTCTCCATACCATAGTATTACATTGAGAGGTGTGTCTTGAGTACGGCATAAGGGAGAGCGTCTCATCCAAGTTAGTGTCAGTTGGTCATCATTCTACCACTGGAATAGTGGAATTAGTCACATTCACACCCTAGCTTATTTTCTCATATGCAGGTAGACGTGTCCCCCAGTCTGTTTATCCCATCTTTAATTCGTACGCAAACTTCTTTTCAATATGTCACAAGTCTCTTGATGTATAGATATCACAGTATGAATGCTTCAGGCTCTCTTCATCTTATTTATAAACTTTAGTGACTGAGGTCAAGAAAATGCGCGTCAGGTGCATCGTAGCAGTGAATAGAAGATGTTTCCCTCCATATAAAGTAATCCTAAAATGGAATTGGTGTAGATTTATTTATTTTTAATTGAACAATAATGTATTAAATTAAGTGCAGCTTTTATGCCATTCGTTGTGCGTAATATCCAGCGATACATTATTTCTCGTATAATAATGTTGAAGATGTTCTGCAATGTAAGGTAGGCGTCTTGTATTTGCTTAAGACGAAGATAATTACATTTCTATCGGAAACTTGTTTTCATATACTGAGATGGATGATTTACGCAACAAAAGTATGGAGAAGATATCCCTCTGTTATTTCGGGTAAAGGATACTTATATTTCCCTATAAAACCCTGCTTTCACCATTGAGGCATTGATGGGAATACATTTTTTGTCAACAAAATATTGATAGTTTACATAAATATGTATTAAAAAATAACCATTGGAAAATATCTTGTTCTGGCACGTCATTGGATATAGACTTCAAAGATCGATAGACAGAACTTGGCAATGTCAATTTGGTTGCAACTTACAATGTGTTGAGTCTTCTGAGTTATGGCTTGTCTGTTTATGCTCAGAGCATCTATTGAACGATATACCATCGTTGAAACTCCTGATCTGTAACAAAAGTGAGAACTGAAGTCAACTTGCGTGAGTTGGCATGAGACAGGTCAATTAATCGAACCATGCTAAAACACATTCAAAAACGTGCATTGGCTATACACGACTGAATATTTTTCGATTCTGATCTTCCTTCTCCTTGGTAGGTTGCTTACTAATTTAACTAAATATTTTACTAAAATTACAGTTCCATATGCAATGCCTCCTTTTGTCTTATTTATTTTATTGCAGTTAGACCCGTAAAGGAAATACAAGAAGATTCCTGGTTGGTAATATTCATGTTCTCTTCAACCCAAACCGGGGAGAAATAAAATTAGGTCAGGTATGTTTTCATTTACACTTCGATTCAAAGGTATTTCAATTACAATATCTTTCAATGTCAGTTCTCAACTTGATTGAGACGATAAATGTTGCTACTTTTGTATCTGGAATTCATCTTGAAAAATCAGTTAATTACAGGTTCTTTTAATTTCCTCAAAATAGATGAGACTAGAAAAAAAAACATATTTTCTGAACTTGAAAGTAATTCCCCAAAGTTCAATGTTAGTAGAAAAAAAAATCATGGTTAAAATTCATTTAAAAAATTCACACAGAATATTTTTCTGACTTACCCAAAAAAAAATGTCGATTTTAAGATTAAAAATTATCCATTTCCATTCAATATTTAGTCCTGTGGATTGAGCTTGTCTGGCACTTGGGTCCTAGAATAATGAAACTAATAATAATTACCTGTGTAAATTATATTTTGTTATTAATGCGGCCTGATCGAAGTGGTATCGTATATATTTTGTTATTAATGCCGAAGTGGTCTTGCATATCTTTGAGTAAAATTTTGTTAGTCAATAATAGGGAAGAAAAATTCATACTGTTTTCATGACTTATTTTACATAGTTAATAATAAGGAAAAAAAATCGGTGACAGCAACATCAACCCTTGGTTGCATGCTTTCTAAGCACCTAATTCATATTAATATTCTTCATAGGCATGTCAGCTTGGAGTGGTTTCGTAGACATGCCTACATAACAGAAAAGTTGGCTTTGTTCTTCTTAATGATAGTATAGTAACCCATTTTCTTATAAGTTCTGATGTATTTTTTATTAATTAATCATTCATCTACTCTCTTGATAAACCGATTTAAGAGAGAGAAAGAGAGAGGGCCATAACTTCTTGTACGAACAAACACTAGAGAGAGAATTAGCCTGTAAGATCGTATGCTCTTTTTTCTCTCTCTCTCACTTTATCTGCACTATCCTTGTAACACATGGATGTTTCCTCCTGGCTGCCACTTTCTCCCATCTCAGATTCGCATCCTACTGCAAAACGCGCATGCTTTGGCTCAGAAGAGGGGAGGCATTCCAGTCGTGCTTGCTGGCGATTTCAACAGCACACCACAGGTGGCGAAGTTTCCCATAACCTGTGGTAGAAGAAATTAAGAGTCTACGATTATTTCTCTCTCACACGCGCACACGTCCACCCATTCCTGTTCCTCGAGTTGGGAAGAACTCAGTTGCCCAGCAAGGACAATGCAAGATTAATAGCACAGTTTACTCATTAGTTCGTCAATTAGCCACCTGATGCTCTGCAAAGAAATCCTGAACTCACAGATTCAAAAATATTTATCGACCATATTTAAATTCGGCATTCCATAATCTTCTTCATGTCCATAAATTAATCACATGACTCCAGCAGGGTATAGCTCCGAAAAATCTAATTGCAGTTACCCTCTTTTATCCAGAGTGCAGTTTACGAGTTCCTATCGACATCAGAGGTGAAACTTTTTTGACATGCTGACCGCATTGGATTTCATTCACCGGATGATCCATGTAGAACAACAGAGCATTGCATAACTGGGTATTGACAAGATAGTTTTTTTTTTGTTTTTCCACTGTTTCTTTCAGCTGAATTTAGCTGCCCACGATAGAAAATACCTATCCGGACAAAATAAGCATCATCCTCTATCAGTCACCTCTACAAGGTTGGTAGAAAACTATATTTCGCAGATTTTTCTTGGATCACGGTCAGTTCCATTTATAAACCAAAGATAAATCCCATAGTTCATTCATAATGAGAAGAATTTATCCATAGTTAATGTTTTGCGGGTTACAAGTGCACCTGACCACAGATGTATGGATTACCCTTGGACAAATGAAGAGCTTAGAACCGCAACTGGTCACTGGGGATGTGCACAGCTTGAGCATTCCTTGAAGCTCCAGAGTGCCTACGCGAGTGTTAAGGTACTGTCATATCTCGAACCATCCTCAAAATAATCAGCGTCAGAGCCCACTTTCGGACTGCCAGATGAAATCTTCATCTCCTCAGGGGGCTTCAACGACGAGGGGACCCAAAGGAGAACCATTGGCCACAACCTACCACTCGAAATTTCTAGGAACAGTGGACTATGTCTGGTAAGCCAAAAGTTTTCAAAGATTCCTCAGATCGTCCTTGAGAGATCCAAGATGATGAAGATCTCCCTTGTGCAGGTATTCTTCTGGGCTTTCACCATTGAGGGTTCTCGATACGCTGTCACTTTCCGATTTAAGGAAAATCGATGGGCTTCCATGGGAAGTAAGAACTCACTTCTAGCTTGTTCAGCTTTCTGGTCCCCTTATTCTAAGTTGCTTGGGGGTTATATAATAGACGAGTAGAAGATTCCCAGTTTTTAGGAGAGGAGATGATCTATCGTCCTGAGAAAATGAATCTCGACAAGAAGCTGAGGGTTCTTTGACTCGCTACATTAGATTACTCGGGTTCAACAGAGGCAGAGAAGATGGTGATTTTCGTGTGTATGTGTGTGTGAGAGAGAGACAGACAGAGAGGCAAGGTCACAGACACGTCTCTTTCCTAGAGATCTTCCACTCTGGCGTTTTGCTCCTTCAAGCAACCGACCAAGAATCAACTAAATGGGTAAACTTTGATGAACTCCAAACTTACTCAAAGTAGCCTGCAACCATGTGAAATGCCCAAAACTGATGTACATCCAGGTCTTGCTTGAAGCTGTTAATGGGATTGGGGAGGCCCGAAAAACCCATTCCAGGCTTTTTTCTTCTTCTAACACTTGGCATTTTGAATCATACTCAGACACAGAAGCAGGCCCGGAGTGAGATCTCAGCTTCGAAGATAAAGACGGAAGATAAAGACGGGCTAGATTAAGATGGAAAGGAGTGATTTTTTTTAGATTCTTCTGACCATAACCTCCCTTGTTTCCCATCTGGTGCCCGCAGGGAATAGGTAGCGACCACCTGGCCCTGGCCTGCGACTTCGTCTTCACCGAAAAGCACACTGAGCTGGGCCAAACAGCACCGGGCAAATGAGTGCAAGTGCTCAAGCGGGTGACGAAGAGATGGTCGAGAAACCATTGAAGCCCAGACAAGGAACAAATGAGTGAAAACACTCTCAATATCATTAATGTCACCTCGCCGACAAGGTTTCACTGATACAATGCCCACCTGAGGGAGCATCTGGGCCTCTCTAGCAGTTGATGCCCAGAGTTTCAGACCCTTTCTCGCTCTACCCTCGTAATCGAAATAAATACCCATTTCAACGGATTCGAGCTTCTCTCAAGAACTAGAACGCCACCGCTGAGGATCTGAGAAAGTTGAAACCTTTCTCGTGATTATTCGATGGGTAAAATTGAAGAGAGAGCCTCTACACCTCGAATTCAAAGTCAAGCAGGGGGAACACGTTATTTCTAGAGAGAGAGGGAGAGAGAGAGAGAAGGGGACTTGATACTCAGACTTGAAGAACAGAATCACATCCCAAGCAATAATAAGCAAGGAAAAGAGATGATAATGACGCCCCGCCCCCACACTCAGGTCCAGCTACCGGATACAAAATTGCACCTAGAAAGAGTCCCCCATTACAGCCCGTCAAAGCTTTTTTTCACGGCGGCATCACGGCGGCGTCAGTTGCGCCCCCTGGATGAGGACCACGAGGTCGAGGACGTCGGCGCCCTGGAGGCGCCGCCGCCCGGGAACGGCTTGCGGTCGTCGCTCCGCCATCGATCCCCACCGCCAGCTTGGGGAGGGCGGTCATCCGGCCTGCTCCACCGGTCGCCCTCCGGCGGCGGGGCGGCGGCGGGGGCAGTCTCACGGCGGAACCTGGGCACATATTTGCCGGACGCGGGCGCAGCGGCTGGTGGAGCCGCCGCTGGTGGAACCGCCGCTGCGGGTGCCACCGCTGCAGGTGCCGCCGCTGCAGGTGCCGCTACCACAGGTTCGGCAGGCCGTGCTCCGGCTACAGGAAGGTCAAAGCCCCGCGGAGGTGGCTCAGGAACCGCCCTCAAGAGTGCTTCTCTCCTCAGCCTCTCCTTCTCCTCCAGCTCCTTCTCCCTCTGCCTCTGCCGTTCAGCAATCTCATCCAGCTTGGCCTTGCGCTCAACCTCCTCCCTCTTCCTCCTCTCAATTTCTGCAACACAACAAGAACGTTTCATTCTCAGAGGGGAGCACTATAATTAGCATAAAATCCAGGAAATCAGCCGCCAGTTCGTTCACCTTCTTGCTTCCGCGCCTCCTCTTCTTCCCGCAGCCTGGTGAGCCGCTCTTCCTCGGATTTCAGGAAGAAGATGAGCTTGCGCTTGGTTTCCCTCTCGCGCCTCCTCTCTGCTACGAGCTGCCTGATTCTCTCATCCCTCTCCTTCTTCAAGCGACTGTACTCCGCCTCACGATGGCTGACAATCTTCTCCTGGAACACAACCTGTTACAGCAATGGGAACCAAGATGAGATCCTTGTGAATTTCCAGCCATTCCAGAAAATCTCCGCATGATCCGGGCAGAAAGGAAGGCTAGAAACCATCTCAGCTGAAGAAATCATCAGTAGAAGCAAATCAGGCCCTTGAGCATTCTAGCAGAGAAAATCTCCACTAACAATGGGTACAATACTGAAAGGAGTCTCTGGTGATGATTAAATATCTATAAAAACTTGAGATATGGGTAGAAGAAGCTGGATTAATGGGCAGCAAGATCAGAGGCTCAGGAGCCCTAATCTAAACAGAAGGATTGCTTTAATGCAGTTTCCAAAAGAAGAGAGAATGTGGTAAGTGAACCTTATTCTCGAACATCCTCGAGAGCCTGTTCTTCTCCTGGAGATCTCCTACGTGATGCTGTTTGCTGAGCTCGTTTGCTTGCTGTGAAGAGATCACACAACGGCGAGATAAGAATTATGTCCAAGAAATGGACTGATACGAGGCAAAAGCGTAGTAGAGGAAGATAAGCTCAAAAGTAAACAACCAGCTGCTCCTGTTCGTGAAGTATTTGCTCCTCCACTAAACGCTGCTGGTATGCCGCCTCGATCAGCGGGGCCTCCTCCTCCCTTTTTGCTCTTTCCATGTAGTCCATCGTTCTGGCCAGCTTCTGCAGCTTCTTCTCCATCTCCTGGCGCTCCTTGAGCTGTTCGCTTAATGCTAACTCCATCAGAGCCTGCTTCGTTACCTTCTCCTGCACAAATCAAAATTGTTCAAATAATCGACCACAGGTCATTACAAAACTTGAATGCACCTTTTTAAAATAAATAAATAAAACTTCTTTTCTCGAGGTGATTGCAGAGATTTGAATCGCTATGGAACATTACTGCTGATCTGCGACCTACTGTTGACTTTTATAGAAAGTCAACAGTAGCATGCCGCCAGTTCTAAATACAAATGCTCCAGTGAATTCTGAATGATCACACTATTATTATGATGTAAATTTACTTGTAAAAAACTTAAAAAATGGCATACCGTTCAATCAGATGTATATATAAGCTTATAATAGAAACACAAAAAGGACAGGTTTGTGCAGGTTAGAAACGATGTTCCCCATGCTCCTCCCCCCTGATCTTTGAATTACTAAACAATGGAGTCTAGATCAACATAATAACTGTACATGAGATAATTACAGATATTTCCTGACAAAAACATTTTAAAGAGAAATAAAATACATGAATAATGCGGGAAAAGAAAATGGCATTCATAAACCAACATTCAGTCTAAAATTTTCCGTTCCTAACTTCATCATTATGCTCAGTATTGTACGTATAGAAACAAACTATACTGGATAGAATTTTACTACTTGCTGAGACAACTCGTCATTAGTGTTCTAGTTGCAAAATTTGGAATCAAGTGCAAATAATAGGCTCCGAGATCATGAACAAAGCTTACCCCTTCAATAGCTGGCCTCTTTCCCTTCTTTTTACCTCGCTTTTCTGCTTCCAAAAGTAATGCCTGAGCCTCTTGATTTTCACGTTCCTCAATTTCGCGACGGATTCTTTGCTCCTCACGACGAGAATATTCAGTTGCAAGTCTCTTCTGCTCAGCTTCCTCAGTTAACTTTTGTAATTTCATTCTCTTTGACTCTTCTTCACGCTCCTTCCGAATCATAAAATTAGGTCAGAAAAAAATCAAAAAAAAAAAAAAAAGACAGCTAGCGCATGAGAAGCAGTAGGACATGAGAAAGGTCGAGAGGTATACAAGTTCTAGCATTTGCCGTTCATGCTCTTCTTTGCGCTTCTCAATTATTGACTTCCGGGCAAGGAGTCTCTTGTGTTCCTTGTCCACCACCTCTGCCAAATTCACAAAGTTCTCCCCTAGCTTCGATTGTTTTTTAACCGGAGGATAAATCATGTTCCTGGCTTTATTTAAAGATTCAGCAAGTATCGCAAGGTGTTCACGAAGCCCATCGGATTCAAGGTCCTAAAAATTAGATCTTTAATTAGAAGTCACAAAGGTAAATATACAGGTTCTAAGCAAATATACCTCGAGATTAAAAAGTCAAAACGAAAATAAATCATGACAAAATATAAATAATTCATAAAAAATACAAATCAACGCTTAAAAGAACAGGGCAAACCGTCAAGTATACTAGTAAAACAGTAAAAGGTAAGGAAAACCATCACGTATACCAGGATTTTCATCAACTTTTCAACCCAAATCATGACTCTGAAAATAAATAAAATAAAGAACTTATATCCTCAGCCTAGAAACTTTGACTCTCCTCACTAACTATAGTTTGGGATAACAACGATGTATTTACGAACAACAGCGTGTACAGAAATCAACGACAAGGACATAAAAACAACCACATTCTGTACATCATCCATTTCAACGTAAATGCTGCACCACATAGATTAAATTAACAGACGAGAATAACATGCTGCACCACGTAAATGAAGATATTACAAGCATCAAAGAAGTTTAGCGCACCATAATGCAGAAAAGATGGACCTTTGCCAATATGGGAAATCAAGTTTAAATCTAAGTCCATGATACAAGGATATAAAGAGAAAATCAAAGCAAAGCCTCGAAAATTCTACAGATGAAAAAATAGCATTTAAAGTAAAAACAAAATCCCAAAGACAGAAGTATCAAATGTATACCTCTATACATTGATCAAAGTTCACATAAGTGCAATCACAAACATGCATACCTCTATACAATAAAAGACAGAATTCTAGATAATATCCGATAAAATAAAGTATTAAATGTAAAATCCATCAAGAGATGAGAAGTGTACGCACCAAATTATTAAAATGAACTGCACCATTCAGGTGATCAACTTTCATCGAAACAAAATCATATTTCACTGCGTCAACTGCAATCTTCTCTATCGCTAAAAAGTCAAAGAACGGGATCATCTTTGAGATCATCTCTATTTTCATTGTCTGGTACACCTTAGAGACCTGAAAAAGAAGGAAATGATAGCTGAGTTATCAGTACGATGAAGCTACCTCCTAATCAACATCTGCTCAAAAAAACCTCGAAAAGAAAACAAACCTGCTGAAGAACTCTCAAGGCAGTTAGTTTTTCTAGAGCAGGAACATACTGTGACAATTGAACCTCTGGAACAGACGAAGCTGAAGCAAGCTTAGATCCAATTTTCGATATCTTGGCCAACAGGGGTTGAACTCTTGGAGAAAGATCCAATGGGAGAAATTCTTGTTCTAAAAGATGGTAGAGGTCCTTCGCTTCTTGTGAGACACAAGACATGACACCTTTCGAAGCCTTCAGAAAATAAAATTTTGCAAGTTAGTCAACAAGAGGCGAGGAGTAAAACATTGTAATTAAATGTGAACAGTCACTTATGAGACAAAAGACTGATGGAAATCATCAGTGATGTTACCATCTGACAGGAACAAACATGCCAATCCGAACAGCCAAAACATGGAAGAAGTGAACAACCTTGTTTCCCCGTAATAAATATCAATAGAGAATCACCAGGAAAAATATTAGATACCAAGAATTTTAAGACAGTGATATCATCATCTTTTATGTATCTTACTGAAACCGTCTGAGAAAGATCACAGAAGTCATTGTTCACGTACTAACTTTTTTACTTGCTAGAAATTGCATTAGTCAAACTATAGCGCAAAGCAAATTGCAGTCCCAGGACAGTGATTTCTTCAACTATACTGAATACTGCTTGAGAAAAAAGCACTCCCGCAGCAGCCAACCCTGAGACTTTTGCTAAGATAAATATGTAATAAATAATGAACGCATGAGACAGGAATACACATATATCTCGTTGTGTAAATAGCAGCATTCAATCATTCAAACTAGGTTTAAGACCATCGGAAGAATGTATGGACTTCTAGACTTTTAAACTGGATCTAGCCAATAAGATATGTTAATGTTTCCATTAAAAAAGGTACTGTCATTAAATGACATTCATGCACAATATGGCCATGTGAAAATTGCTAATATGAAGTATAAAATGTCCAAACAATCATATGATGGAATCTAAGACAATTAAGAGTTTTTTTGAAGAAGAGAGGAGAAAGGTCGGGAAGCAACACACACACACACACACACACAAAGAGAGAGAGAGAGAGAGAGAGAGAGAAGAGCCGACACATGGAGATTCCCTAGGTTTTATCATATGCTTTTAAAGAAATTGAATTGGCCGATAAATCATTGTCACACCAAAATGATTGTAATACCCAGTACATTCAGTAATTCTTTGATCAGGTTCCATCTATAAAACCGCTAAGGTATTTTCCCGTAAAAGGTTGGCATGAAACAATGAGGCCTTCCGACTTGATTGTGCCAACTTTTCATAGAGCATTGCCCAAATCAAACAAGTGAACATTTTCTCCTTCCAGAAACTGAGGTGTATCAGGTGTCCTGACTATGGTCGTCCAGTTGGGATGCAAGAATGAGAATATCTCTTCAAACATTAGCTCGTCCAGTAGGCATGATGATTCAAGCTAAAATTACTCAAATTAATCAGATCAAAGCTCGTAAATTATACAGAAGTTAATAGTCCGTACATCTACAAATGTAACCTGGATATTCAATATTATATTATCATGTAATCTTACAGATCATCACATGAACAACTGAAGGAGCAGCTGCACTTTTACATTTGAATGACTAGATGCTTACATGTTCGGTGATAGAAGACTCTATAAAACATACGGGATGCTTTGCAGGTTTATTTTCATCAATTAAACGGTTTCAAGCCAATCTACACTATGGGTAATAGATTGGAAGCCATGACAACATCTTCAGAGCTGTACCAGAGTCAGTGCAATTGGTTTCCATAAAGATAACGTAATCATTAACTTTCACAAGCAAGTCGCATCTTCAATGACGGATGCCACAACTAAAAATTGACGATTTCAACCTTACTTGAAAAGTTAATGATCTTTCAAAAGAGAAAAAAAAGGTTTCAACAAAAAATTAATGTCTTACCAATTCTGCAAGGAGTGATGACCTTGTCAGCTGCAGATAAGTTCAAAAGGGCTGTCAGAATCTTGGATAGATAAGTGTCAAGAAAACAGCATAAATGGTGGAAATTTCACAAGAGAATACCATTTCTTTGCTCTCTCGTTTAGGCTCGAGACTAAAGTTTATGAGACTAGCCATTCTCAAATTGCGCTCTCTTTCATTTTCAAGTTCCATGTGCGATGCACCATGTTTAGAGTCATATGGAGCTACTGACAGAGCAGCCAACAGAACAGAAGATGCTATCAATTGCAGATCCTTCTGAGATAAGTTTTTGTTGTGACTTTTCTGGAGAACAAAAAGTTTGAGCCATGCATATGCATGATATAGGTGACTATCCGAAACCCAGAATATCTCCGTTAGCTTGGCATAATAGATGACCATCAAAGATGGCTTTGGCGTCTTCTTAACCATACACATTAGACCATGGGCATCCTCAACAGAACGAAATGCCTCCTGAAAAACACAATTAAAACCTCCGTTCAAATATTATGTTATCTAATACAGTCAGTGAAATAACAACTAAATATGGGAACATCAAAGCTACGAGTTCACAACCTGCCATAGCTCAAGGTCAGTTGCAATCTTGAGCTGCTCTACTCTAGTATCCAAGAAGAGCTGCAAAGTTTCAGGAACTGCCAAATCAGGCCTATCCCTCTGATCTCGATACTTGTTCAGATTAGCAAGGTGGTTCCTTATGATTTCGCAAAGTCTGCGGAATTCAGTGGTTCTCTTATATTGCTTACAAAACTGGAAGGCTCGGTGGGCGGTCATCTAAAAAGAGAGCAAAAAAACATTAGCGTCTTTCAATCAACAGCAATGTCATAAATAATACGTGTTGACGAGGTAAGCATTACATCAAAGCTAATTAAAAATCCATTACATCCTCAAAGGAAAGGCAATTTTACTGTGCATGGTATTCCAAAAAGGTCATTGCATTCCTTTTAATGAACGAAATCCTAAGGAATAACACACGATGCAAATGATAAACTTCATTCTATAATTCCACGGGATCAAATGTTACATATGTAGTCTTCGTGTTAAAATTCATTGCAATCCACATCATACATAATATACATTCGGGATACTGTGATAACCTATTTAAATTAGTAACTCATAATTCCAAAAGCTGCTCGCTTCTGCGATTTTCACGTCATTCCATGAAACTGAATCATCTCAGACGACCATACTAAGCTTCAGCTACAGCAAATATGACCACAGTTATCTTCCAAACATAATTTGTAATACAGTTTCTTGCCGTGCAAAAAAACACGACATTCGTTTTCACTGCAAAAAAAAAAAAATTAAAAGTAATTTATCTCAGTCACACTCTATAGATACATCCGTACTCATATACGCATTTATTCGATTAAATAATCATGAGTAGCATGTACAACTTTCCTCACTAAGCAACCAGACTTACAAATCCGTTGTCACGGTACTGCAGAAATTGACATGACTTCGGTTCCAGGGAATATTCCATAAAACATACGAAACCTTAATTAGCCCTTAAACTAACACATCGCAAGTTAAGCGTGAAAAAATCAGCTGCTTCTCTCACATACACCTTCCCACTAGTCATTAACAGTCTCAGGGGCAGCCTTGGCAATGATCATCAAACAATACGAAATCCATAGATAGTTTATTGTGCTTTCTCTGAGTAAACAAACCGCAAAAAGCATAAAGAGAACCATTATTTCTACGAAAGTACACCATTGATTATCTAGGCAGAATATGTTGCTCATTAGATCGTCTTCCTAGCAAAAGACTAACTTGCTCCACTAATTTTAGTTAAAAAATCTTCAAAACAAATTACATGAAAAGATAAAGTGCTGAGATGAGGAAAAGAAAAAAAGAGATGTAATATTGTTTAAAATGTACCAGGGATAGTGGCTACAGCAAAATGAGGTAGCTTACCGCATACAAGGCTTCCAACTTGGAATTGTTGCGAAGGATCTCCAACACAGTCCTGTAGGTTTCCCATAGAAATTTAAACCACGGAGTAACCAGCTCCCTGTCTGAGCGATCCTTCCCTTTCTCCCCACTGACGTAACTGAGCATTAAGTCTTCTGGTCTCTTGTCAGCCTCTAAATCCTCAACATCCAAGGCATCTTCGAGTGCCTGAGCTTGGCTTCGAGCCTGCTCCGCTTTCTCAGTTGAAAGTTGCATAAAATGTTTTATAACCTCCTCCAAAGAGCTAACATTAACTTGCTGGCAAACAATCCGATATTGAATTAGGCCATCTTTGGCAAATCTGCCTCTCCGCAAGTCCACACACAGCTCAACATACTTGAACATGATACGCTCCAAAGGCTTCTGCCAAGCCCTGTACCTTTTAGATGTGATAACATCATGGAGCGCTTGCAAAGCAGATTGTTTCTGACCTACATTTATCAATTCTGCAAAGAAAGATAATGAAATTCAGCTCTAAATCCTAAATACAGTAAATTTTCGAGATACTGCAACTTAAAATAAAAGTTTCCAATACGAAACTTCGGATTAATAACAAGCAACGAGTGGTCAAGAAAACAATAAGACATTGTGTATCTGCTTTCTACAGAATATGATAATTACAACAATAAAAGATTGAAAATCGGCATCCTTCTTTAGTTGAAATCTACATATTCTTCTCAGAGATAAAATGATTTCCAGGTGTCCAGGTTCTCAAAATAAATTATTAAGCAAGATCTGGCATGCAATAGGCTTAGGCAAGTTTAGCATTCTAAGAGGCACGCCTTATTTATCGCTAAGCATGGTAAACGAAAATTTAAGCAATCAGTCTACTTGCACCAGTATGAACTTTAGGAAAACCAAAACGTTACCACTAGGTCTAACTTACCCTCTGCTCGCTTTAGAGCATTTTCCGGTTTTGCAAAAGTCGCCATGATTGCAAATCAACTGAAGTCACGCCTGCTTATCTAAAGCAGGCGAGAAGAATACCTATGTCATACAGAGGAAAAATGTACGAAATGTTAGAAAACAGAATCGACATCGACCGGTTTTTGCCAAATATGCAACGATCTATGAAATGAAACAAAACCCAGTCAAACCGAGTTTACACGCTTCAGTGACACAGAAAACTACAGAATTCCTCTTGTAAAGAAAAGGTCAATGTTCCTGTAACCCCGAGCCCTAGCATCCCAAGAGTTCCAACGCGGAAGGAATAAGATCGATAAAAAGGGATAAACCAAGCATCCTCCAGCAGTTCCCTACACATCATAACTCCCCACTGCAGAGGAAGGGGCATCCAAGTCCAAGCATCCCCCCTGCAACCCATTTCCCCAAAGAAACCAGCACCGATGACCAATCAAAAGGGATAAACCAAGCATCCTCCAGCATCTCCCTACACATCACAACCCCCTCCCCACAACAGGGGGGAGCATCCACGTCCTAGCATCCCCCCTGCCACCCATTTCCTGGAAGAAACCACCATCGATGACCAATCAAAAGCCCCAGTGAACAACAAAGAGAGCAAGCATACCTGACAACCCCTCCGCGGCGGGCGTCTCGATGGCCGCCTCCCTTCAGCGCTCTCGCGGAGACACCGGGAGTGGGCGACAGCGACAGAGGAGGAAGAAGAGGAGCAGGCGTTGAGGCCGAAGGGATGCATTAGGGTTTTCTGGCGCCGCCGCGGATAGCCCATTATAGTCGGATCCATTGCGGTCAACCGACCGACTTGTTCCCAGGGACCCGTTCGGATTCGGACCGGACAACCCGGTTCTGTTCGGACCATTCCGGCTCGCTCGGTTGCCGCCTGGCCCCTTCAGGTCTCCCAACTTGGGATATAAAACAGAATCTTTGAAACTTCCAGGTTGAAATTTAATGTTCAGGAGGAGGGAAATTAATTTATCGATATTTTTATTTATTTCTTTCTTTTATATGGGCTTGAAAAATAGAGGGTTTCTTCATGTGTTTTGGATAAATACCACCTTTTTTTCAATAAAAATATAGTTTTTATTGGTTGAATTATGCTCAAATGACAAGGACTCCCAAATCCTTGATTTATTTTTTTCATATAAAAATAAGAAAATATTATATCGATTAAAATAAATTGGAAATACTTTCTATTATCTAAGAGCTTCCTACCATACATATTTCCCACTTTAAGAGGTTGACATCTACATGACTACCCTCTAAATCATGCACCAAATGGTTAGATATCCACCATATCTTACATTTTATTTATTTTTAAAAAAATATTTTTTCTTGGCACAAACCACATTTTATTATAAAAAAATATTTGGCGAAATTTCTTTCACTTATTTCCATGATGACTAATAATGATAAAATGATCTTTTTGGAGGGCTGAAAATTATTTTTTAAAAATAGATTAAACGACTAGAAGCCTCTCCCAGTAATTAAAATTAAAGAAATATTTCATATTTCTATTGAATTTTTCAGTAATTTTCATTGGATATATGGACAAATGACTCAAAACCTTCCTATTTTTTATTTACGCCTGCTCATTTTCCCATAGCCCCAACCAACCCTGAATAGAAACCCTGTTCATAAAAACTTGAGAGAGACCCTAGAAAAAGCCCAGACCCAAAGTTGGGTTCTTGGCCAAAGTGGGTTGACTTGAATGTTATAGTTTAAGAGAGAAGGGTTGACCGATTGATTTTAACTTGAGAGGGCCTCTTCTCACCATCTTCAATCCAGGGATCTTCTCAGTCGACGAGCCTATATTGAAGCTGAACTCGAATTTCCCGGTTGTACGTGGTGCATTGACCAGGAAGAAGGCTACCAGACATGGGTTTTATTGAAGAAGTCAACGGGAAGAGAGAGACATTGGCAGGTTCAAAGGACCAACCAAACCAAAATAGGCCCTACTTATTAAACCCCTTGCATAAAAGCTTGAGAGACCCTGCAAAAAGGCCCCACCCAAAGTTGGGCTCTTGGGCAAGGTGGGTTGACCTTAATGTCCATATTTTTGGGAAAAAGAGTTGACCGAGTGGTCTTAACTTTAGGGGCTCTTCTTCTCTATCGACCCCACCCCTAAATTGAAACCGAACTCGAATTCCCCCGGTGTGTGTGTGGGCCTGTTGACCAGGACGGAGACTATCAGACATGGGTTTTTATTGAAAAAGTCAACTGGAAGAGATGCATCTGTGGGAGGTGGGTTTCAGGGGACGGCGGGGGGCTGGAGAGAGGAGGGTATCTGGAGGCGGCGTTGGTTCATCACCTCCCTGGCGCGGGCGCTGCGGTACTGGAGGCGCTGGTGGAGGGTCTCCGAGAGCTGGTCGAAGAACTCCGCGTCCCACCGGTGGATCAGAGAAGGATCCTCCGCGAAGCACACGTAGATTGAGGTGACGGCGCTCTCCACCACTACCACCGCCAGACCCACCTGAAACACAAGGACAGCTCGGAAGATTTTTCATGCCAATTCCGGAGAGAGAGAGAGAGAGAGAGAGAGAGAGAGCTTCCTTCCACGGGAAGGGAGCCAAATTAGGATGGAGACAGATGGAAAACACTGACTAGCAGCTGGGGCACTCTGATGGATAGATGGAAGCACCATGAAGATGGGTACATCCCACAAGTAAGTGGAGTTGGAGATTCCGCACTCTTAGTTAGACAGATGAGAGAGAGAGAGAGAGAGAGAGAGCTCACCAGGATCATCCCCATGAGTGCTGACGTGGAGCCAACCATGACGACAGTGCCCTCATTCCTGATCCACGCCCAGGCGCCGGCGCACGTTCCGGTGACGAGGCCGCCCAGGATGGCGCCCATCAGGAGCACAGCCCCTGAACAGTCATAGGCAATGAGGGACTCGATCCCAGTAGACTGGAAGAGCTCCCAGGCATCCCTCGCTGACTGGTTGAAGCCCTTCCCGTTGACTACTATCTGAGCACAAAAGTCAACCATCGTCGGTCGGCCAGCAACACAAAATTATGATGGTCAGAAAAACATTTATTAAGAAGAAAATTCAGAACAGAATGCTCGAAAAAAGGGCTAATCTGGGTCAGATCTGTTGGTCTTTAATGGCTCAAATAATTTCCTCCAATATTTCAGGAACTTAATATATATAAAAAAACTTGAAAATAAAAACCCTGGAAACCATGCCAAAACCCACAATGCTCGCGTTACTGTGGAAGGAGAGACCTTATAGAAGGGTTTGAGCAGGGTTGACTAACTCATCACCTGAACGTAGGCATACTTGTTGAAAAACCTGACCAGGGTCTCCACCATATGGAACAAGAAGTCAACGCAGCAGAGCAAGCATTCATTTTTCCCTATTTTCGACCGAATTCCCCGAATCTGAAGCCAAAGAGAAGAAAAAAAAATAATAACACCAAATATCAATGGAGTTATTTATTTATCCATCTATCTGTGGACCAGTCTTAGTCAAAGGGTGGTAGCAAAGCAAGAGACCTCCCAACGTAGTGTGCGGATTGCAGCCGTGAAAAGTGAACCATAACAGATGCTCCCAAAAGACGTCGTCACAGCGCATCTAATGGAGTTTACCAATGGCCTGGGGGGCATCGAGGGAGATCCCCGGCCGCCATGGTACAGAACGAGGAACACCATGCCAGATACAACAACATGGACTGTGTTGCAGAGCACAGCGCCGGTCCAGAACAAGCTCACTGAGAACACCTACATGGAAATTTGGAGAGAGATGATGACGTCACAGCTGGGCAAGAATGGCATCGATGGAGGAGAAACAAAGGAAAAAAAGAGAAAACTTGCCAGCTCACCACAAGAAGCCACCAGCGTCCTTCGTACCCTATGTTCGAGGCCACGACGCCGGCAACCCCAAACGACCAGATCGTCATCCAGGAGAGCATGATCAGCATGAAGGCGTAAGGCACCCGCATTACCTCAGGGAGGCTCCAGACCGTCTTTACTGCCTTTTGCAAGACCAGCATTGTAAATGGAAGCCTACGAGGAGAACACTCAGAGGAACTGATACATAGAATTATAAGCAACATAGCAGTATTTATCTATTTATTTATGTATTTATTTCAGATATTAAACAACTGGTGCATTATATTATAACTTCTACTAGATTCCTAGAAAAAGACAGCAGACCCAACCTTGCTAAATAATCATTTGATTTTCAATGAAATGTTTCTTATTAAGTAAATAAGTGGGCCCGTTTCAAAGGGAACCTGTGGAGAGTTTGAAGTAGCAACCATCAAACAACTGGTGCATTGTATTTATAACTTCTACTGGATTCCTAGAAAAAGACAGCAGACCATAACCTTGCTAAATAATCATTTGATTTTCAAGGAAATATTTCTAATTAAGTAAATAAATGGACCCGTTTCAAAGGGAACGTGTGGAGAGTTTGAAGTAGCAACCATCAATCTCAAAGCTTTGAATGGTGTAAATATGGCCCATACTAAGTACACACTGAAGGGAAAGTAGTAGGCATCAATTTAGACGGATAGTTTTCTTCAGGGCGGAAAATTGTACCTGTCAAGTACTGACATGACATACAGGAACTGGAGGGTGGCGCCAACTGCGAAAGCGATTCCCCAGAAGAACTGTTTGCTCCAAAAGCATAAGACACTAATGACGGAGAGATAAGTCGTGAGGAAATGGACCGAGATTTTCAGCATCTGGCTTGCACATGAACCGAGAAGTAGCAGCCAAGTCCACCCTAGGACTGTCCCAACACCTCCAGCCACACCATACAAAGGCCAGTAAGTCTCTGTAAGCTCCAGATGACTCGTACTGTTTCGGCTAGTAAATCTATCTATCTTAAGCCTATCTGGCGTTTGAAATCGGTTTATTCCGAGTAGTGAAAGAACAAATCCAAACGCAAGCAGGTGAAAAGCAAATATTACTAGCCAGAAAACATCTCTCCAATGCCTGCGCTCTGAAATCACCTGAGGTGGCAAAATGCTGCCTCTATTCTGACTTTGGCTCTCTTGAACATCCTGAAGCAATACAAGAACGTTTTAGTTATAATCCACCGTCAGAAAACTAGTAAACAGCAGCACAAGACGAAAAATCATTCGACAAATCAGAAATAAGAAAAAAGAATATCATGAAAGCGATTCTTTCAGGCATTTGTCCTAGTGTGGTTTCTTCATCCTGCTTGATGCGTAATGTTCTTAGTCCTGCTGCCTCACAAAGTATGATAGGCCTATTGCTCGAGTGCAAACCAGTACAAGAGTCTATGACATGTCGGCAAAGGAACATGTTTAACCGTGCAAACAATGTATCTACCAAAAAAATCATACCATCTAGGTTGGAATGAGAGTAAGACAACCAAATTCCAGATGTTCTGAACATGGTTTTCCCGTGGAGAGTCTAACATCAACTTTTGCATTAGTTATGGTACTAACCACTTGTGAAAACGAAAAGAATTCAGTTTGCTATCGCACAAACTTAAACTAAAGCCTGGTGGTTTCTGGTTTAAAATTTTAGTCATTGGATGTAAGTAAGTCTACTAGAAAAAGATGATGACTGCGTATGTTCAGATAAGAGCCTATCTCTGATCCGATACAATTTTGGAACAGAGTCGTGGATCTATACACTAGCCTACCAATTGACCTAGTGATCAAATTACAAAGAGCAATGGATACATATACAATGCATTCTGGCAATTATGACTAAGTGACCACATTATAGGAGAGAAATAGAAACAAGAAACCTTCTAAGATAAAACGAAAACGAAATTTTTTTTTCAAAAGAAAAGCAGTCATATGAGCAACAAGGTTCAAAGACCTATTTACAGGAAGCAAAAGTATTGGTTAATCTTTGATTGCAGTCAGCGACATGAGGAAAAGCGGGTTTTCCCCGTTTAGATGGACTATAAACAATTCAAATGGATCATTCACCCTTCTTTAGGCTCCTTGCTTGGCACTAAGCAGCACTTGATGCACATACCTTCGCACTTTAGTGACATTCTAATCCAAGTGAGGATCTTTTCATGTCCTCTGAATTCTTTCGGTCAGCATAATTTTCCCATCTTCACAGCCAAAATGAGAATATGCCCACAGAAGTTACCAAACGGAGCAAACGTTTAGGAGTTCACTTTCTGTTTTATTTCCAATTTTTTATGACTACACTGTCTTACGGGCCATTCTTCCAGGCAGAACATCTGCAAGCAACAACGCTTGCATCGGATGATTATAAATAAATGTGCATAGATAGATAGAGATAGATACATACATACGTAGATACATCGAGAGAGAGAGAGAGAGAGAGCGAGAGAGAGAAAAGAGAGAGTAGAGGGGGTGGGGGGGTGGCTATAGAGGATAGCCCAAACCTGTCTAGCACCAAGCAAATCCCATGGAGAACAAGGCACTTGCAAACATCCCCTCAGTCATTTTTAACAGAAAACATGTTTGAGCTCAGAACTTCCACTTCTCAAAGCGAAGAAGGTTGTGGAAAATGGACCCAGAGACCCCCACTGGAAGATTTGATTTGATTTGATTGGGAGGCATGATGCACACTGGAATCCTCTCGATGAAATCAAAGGGAATTCAAATTTTGTCGGGATACCGGAGACAAAAAGTTCCTTCTGAACCCCGTCCTCCTAATCCGACAAGCCAGATGATGAGAAAAAAAACAGGGACGCGAAAGCAGACGACGGGACGTCAGCCCCTCGCCCTCGTTGATTTGGTCATGCATATCAAAAGATCCAAGCATCATCAGTGAAGAACCCTTCTATCCGAATTCCCACCGTCAGAAAAACAACATTGCCGTCGCAATTCAGTCAGAGGGAGAAGGCATACAGTGAGCAATGGAACCGCAGTGTTGGATATCTCAAAAGAGAAGGAAATAGAAACCTCAATGGAGCCGCTGGAGGCGAAATCGGTGTCCGAAGACGCGCTGCGGAAGTCATCGTTCCTCATCTCCTGCTCCCGCTCCGGAACGAGTTTCGTTCACGCGGGAGGGAGCGCACGAAGAACAGACTCATCAAACCAAGCGACGGGGGAGAACGGCAGAGAAGAAGAGGGCGAAAAAGAGGGAGAGAAAGCGAAAGGTTTCAGCCAGTTTTCCGAAGGTCAACGCAGAGACTGGCCAACGAGCAGACGAGCGCGATTTTCAACGGCCTGGATGAACATCCCCTTTACGTCGACTTCCTCAGAGAGAGAGACAGAGACAGACAGAACGCGGCGGACGCTTTGATTTCCACTGCTAGCGAGAAAGAGAGTGTGTGTGAGAGAGGGAGAACGAGGCAGAACCCTGGAATTCGACTGCACAGCAGAGAGAGAGAGAGAGAGAGAGGGAACCGAAACCCCTTGATTCAACTGCTAGAGAGAGAGAGAGAGAAGGAACCGAATCCCCTTGATTTCAACTGCTAGAGAGAGAGAGAGAGAGACAGACAGACAGAAAAGGAACTGAATCCCCTTGATTTCATTGCTAGCGAGAGAGAGAGCCAGAAGGAACTTAATCCTCGATTTCAACTAATAGAGAGAGAGAGAGAGAGATAGAGAAAGAGAGGGAGGGAGAGAATCACATGAAACTGAAAGCGGTCGCTCATATGAGAGTGCGTGGTGTGTGTGGGGGTTTTCGATTTTGCATTACAGGAATGCATTCTCGAGTTTCCAATTACTCTCTCTCTCTCTCTCATTCCCAATAATTTATATACGAGAGAGAAGCAGTTTCCTCGAGACTTCCTTCCATTGCATTCTCATCCATCAACAAGAGCGAGAGTCGCCTCCAGCAAACCCCCGCCCACCGGCATTTTTTGTCGTTTTCCATGACGATATTGACCAAGATTTGTTCTCGTCCACCGCGCCATCAACGAGAGAACTGCCACTTACGAACCCGAGCTGGACCCCACAAGAGGACCCAGTGGACCGGGACCCCTATCCATCAGAGAAAGTAGCAGATCCTCCCCCTCCTAGCCGCTTCTGTTCAATACCCACTTTATAAATTGACGAGATGCCCTTTGACGAGCACTGAAACGACCACTTTATTATAAATAAAAAATCTTTTTTTCTGGGTCTTAAGCAGTTTCATCTCGATTTTTGCGGTTTATTTCGTGAAAAAAAAAACCGTGCCCACATTTCCTTGTTCTTCAAAAAGAATTTTGCAGAGGTCAAACTTGTCGCATCATGAAGCCTTTATTATGCTCAATCAAAAGTCAACGAACATGCTATTTATGGAGCATTTTTTAGGAAGAAATCCGAACTATGGACAGGTTTTCTTCTTGACATAGTCACAAGGGGGGGCGTGGGGGGGAGGGGGTACTACACCAGTGGAGGAAACCGGTTCCAGATGACAAGGAGAGGCGGGCTAAGCGGCGATTCCTTCCTCCTTCTTGACCCGCTACCCACCATGAATATGTATAGCCAGGCCGTTCCACAACTCGACAGAGAGAGAGAGAGAGAGAGAGAGAGAGAGAGAGAGAGGGGGAGAAAAGGGTGGTTCCCTGCTCACCATCGTCAGTTGAACTCGTGACTGTGATCCAGGAGATAGCTCGCTGCCAGCTCCTCGTTCTTGTTGCAGACAAAGAACACCCGCGTCACCTGCGCCCGGTCGAAGCCCATGGCTTCGAGCTAAAACCCCACATACAGAAAATTAATAATAGCAATAAAGTTTGAAAACGATGCGCGTGCAGAAAGGGGTAGAGGAGCAGGATCGATCCTCTCTCCATGTGGCAGGCCCAGGTTCGACAGCTAGCGAGAGAGAGGGAGAGAGAGAGAGAGGGTGGTTCAGTCTACTTTACTCGATTGATAGCTTCCTGCTCCTCGGGAGTGACCACCGCGGCCGCTGGGAGCTGCCCAGGTGGTTCACTGGGCAGCCTGGCAATGCCGCCCCGCCGCTCTTCGGCCTGAGGACCGGGGGTGCGTCGTTATCTCTCGCGGAGCATGGAAAATAATGAACCACCACCACCACCCACCACCACAGCTCGGACCACACCATTAATCATCGCTAACTAGGTTTCCAGAAACTCATGATTTGGGGAAAGGCTTTCCTACATTACACTTACAGAGAAGAAATCACCAAACAAGTTTTCCATAAACTAATAAATAACGAAGATCTTCATTCTGAGAACAGAAACATGACAACAAATCAAGTAGGTCAAAACTAATGACACCTACCTAGATTTCACCAAAAGACAAAGAAAGATAAGGGTATCAATAATGAGATAGTTTCACGTTATTGCCCTTCCTTTGAAAGACTTTCATAATTGAAACGCATCCGAATGGGTGACCGAATTTAAGCTTTCAATGTCATGGCCAGGACCCCATGAGGACTTTAAAACAAACAGAATAAGCATTCAAAATGCATAGGAGCAGTGTTGCATACCTGAGTTGCTGTTGACGACCCATCAGAAGTTCTACCCTGAAAGCATCTCAGAGTAGTTATTGGTGTGAGAAAATAAAGCAGCCAACAACAGATTATCAAACTGATATCAATAACCAACACCGTAGCATGCACAGCAGAGAAACCAACAATTAGATTACCATGGGACAAAGACGCAAAGAACCAAAAGGACTGAGAAGCATAAGGGAAAAGGATTCAACATGACAAGGAGAGGGGACACAAATAATCTCCCTCAAATCTCCTGGGTGACGGTAAAAATAACAGCATCTTTACCGGGCACCTTTTCTAAAGACTTACTACAAGCAGCATTAGCGGAATGTTTATTTTCTTGTGAAACCGAAAGGTTGAGTGAAGAGGGTTGATATGGGGAAAGCATTCTTACACTTTTTGGAAGATAAATCATACGTTAATAGTCCATGTGTCATTGGCAAACCTAGATACTTAATGAGGAAATCTCAGCTATTTGCAACAAGAGTTGAGGCTACAAGATCAGGTCCCTCCTTCTGAACACCACAATAACCAGTCCAGTTACCACCCCATGACTTTTGATAAAACGTTAGAGGAAATCCACCGTCTTTTCTCCACACACACACGCGCCCCCCAACCAAACACGTTAATTGATATTATAAACTTTGTTTCATAAATAAAAATTATCCACGTTGATTGAAAGACTTCAAAGACCTAAGCTTGATTCTACAACTAGCTCTCTTCTTCGAAAATTTCAGACCCCAGGAAAGCATTAAGCTGAGATGTACCAGAAAAATTAATCATGTATTTTTTCTTATTCTATGTATTTAAATCAAACATTGAACCAATAATAATGACTTCTGAAATAGACGAGGGTGAAAGATCAATCTACCTTATTCAACATTACGACTAGGAAACTTGAGTCCATAACCCCATTCTGTTCCAATGTTGTGTCATCTACAAGAATCTTTCCCTGGTAAATGAGCATCTGTTTCTCAGCTGGGTAAACATTCTGCCCTCGAAAAGACTCTATATTCTTCTTTACATCACAAACCTGAAATAACAATTTAGATACAGTTAAAATGGTACGACATTAATTACAGTTGTCAACAAGCGAGTAAGCATGTAGATACTTCATGAGATCACAACAACCAACTACAAATACATACTGACCTGTAGAGGGACAAAAATGATCATAGAACCAAAGCATCCGATCACCAAAAAAACTTGACGAATATAAAATTCAAACAGACTTCATTGTCTTATCTTAAATGCTTAAGTGGTATACTATTTAGCGAAAAAGAGCAGCTCATTAAAATAACAGTAGTGTTGGTCAAGAAGAACGGAAAAACGACGGAAAACTAAGAATTTGCATTGGCTTGCTTTTGTTGTTTCATCTGCACTTAACACAAAGTTGCAATTTGAAAACGTATTTATAAAACACCCTTTGAATTACAATTTGATAAACCAAAATTTTGTCCATAATTCCTTTTTTCGTCTATAACCCTTCTCCCAATGGTATTTCCTCTTCTCGTTTCTTCCCACGCTATTTTTCCAACTGATTAACAGAAACAACCTCAGTCATTACTTCCACATCCTATATCTGGTGGATAAAAATGATTCGACTTTCATACTAGCCTCAGCACGAGTCATAGTCTAGGTATTGAAGTAGTACCGATGAAAAATGAAAACTCAACCAGCTGCTAATGAATTGAGAATCGCCAAACCTGAACCTAACTCAGCATGAAAGAATAAGTACATCAGCCTTTCTCGTGCAACACCATGGGAAACGAAAAATAAATGCTTAGATTACAAGCCTTCCCATGGTACTAAGAATACAAAATATAATGCATCTCCCTCATCATCATGCAGTGGTACTCAGGGCCTTAGATTGGAGAACATAGAAAAGACATTGTGCACCGTGGCAGGAGTTAATGGAGCAGATGAATAGATATCAATTTCAGCATGAAACTTTAGGATAAATGAGGACGATCATGTCTCCGTGTTACATGACCTGAAACCAAACTTTAGGCAGCTCAAGAACTTCAATAGTCCAAACTTAAGGGTTTGAATGCTTGAGGAATCCAGTGTGTACACACACTGGCTTAACCTGAATCCAGTGTGTACGTACACCAAATTCCCCCGTCATCTCAGCTTCAGATAGTCAGCACAGAATGTGAGATTAATCTGCATTGTGTTTAAATGGATCATCTGAGCCCTGTGGGCCTGAACCAGACTCCAGTACACAAATGTCATGCCACCCTACCATTTCAGCATATGGTACGTGAAGAGATTCTGCAGTCCAAGATTTGAGTGTTTCTGTCAGCCAAGCCATGAGCACTTTCGCAACTAATTTTAGAGTAAAACATTATTCCACAGTTAAAAGTGTTTTAGACGCGAAATTCAAGATATATTTTCGGTGTACCACTTTCGGTTCATCCGAAAGTGTAACAACTAAACAAAGACCTACGGATAGATCCGACAAGAACTACAACATCCAAAAGCAATGCTCTCTAATCACCTCGCCATAAATCAACTCTGAAGCCTAATACCACCTCCTTTCCCTCAAGAACCTCCCAATGGCAATGAGACCCAAGGAATCAAGCAAATCACAATGCCGCCAACGCCAAGAAGCCGCATATTTCCCCCGTTAAGAGAGCCGCGACCACCGTCTAGGACGGCAACGGATGAAACAAATTAAGCACGGATTTCATCCCCGGTGAGCGCTGAGGCAGCATACCGTGTCCTCTGGCTTCACTTCGATCTCGAACTGGAAGCCCTTGAGCGTCTTCACGGACAGCTTCATCCCCGCTCCTTCCTCCCTCCCTCTCCCCCACCCCTCGTAGCTTAACCCCCTCCCAAACAGGGGAAGATCAAGAAGCAAAGAAGCAAGGGGGAAGGAAGCATGGAAGGAGACGAGTCGACAGGTATTTATACTCCACAGCACACGTGGGAGTTTAAATAAAGAATTAAATAATTTAACAAATAAACGAATAATTGTATCGGGTTAGCTCACTGGAATCGGATTCTTAACGGTATTCCATGTGTACCGATTGGCCCCGATAAAACCGAATAGCTAACAACAATACCCCTTCTTTTAAAGTTGCCATATTTTGAATTATATAATTATAAATTTTATTTTAAAAAGTTTCGGCTCTTCCCAGACCCGCCCCTCTTATAAATTATAAATTCTTATTATTATTATTATATATATTGTTTAAATTGTATTAAAAATATATAATATAATTATACTGTATATGTCCCTCGGAGTGGGCCTTCACGAGTCTTGAGTCAGGCGTTGAAGCGTTTCGTCGACATCTAGAGAGAGAGAGAGAGAGAGAGAGAGACGGGGATCGTGGGGGAATAATCAATTGTCTTCGGAATCTTAACAACTGGGGAGAGCCGGCTCTTGGAGGACGACCCGACCCGGGCCGACCACTTTGAAAGAAAGAGTTAATGTGTTAACAATAGTTAACAATTAATAACGATTTGAGTATCATTAACAATATATCCGGAAATATAATAATGATTACCTCCTTTAATGACATCATCATCGGCTGATTAACTCCTCCTCCAAATTATATGGTGCATCAATGTGTTTATATGGTGCATTATCCGAAAAGAATGGTGCATTATATGGTGCTATTTATGATGGATATTTTTTGGCATTTTTTGCCTTTAAATATTATTTTTCACTACACTACAAATTATTATGGTATTGAGCAAGGAAGATGACGAGCATTTGTCTCAGCGCTGACAAAAAATAGTAAATTATAATATTTTCTACTCCCACTTTATATTTTTCTAATATTTGGTGCCTCTCAACCATTATAATTAATAATCCATCATTATTTGCTAGATTCCGTGGGACCTACACCATTTTTAAATAAATAATAACTAAACTACGCCATTTTTTATGGGTTTTATGTGAGTGAGGCATGAACAAATGGGACCCACAAGAGGCGGCCAACGTTCGCTTTAACGAAGAAGCACCCCCGAACCCGTCCGAGGGCGGCTCGAGATTGGCTCGGCGCCTGTCCACCGATACGCCTGAATCACCGGGGCCACGTGTTGGAATTTTTTCTTCACGTGGGGAATTTCTTCTTGGACCCGCTCGTAGGCAGCCGCCAACCGTCCTCCACGCCGCTATCCACCGGGGATGGGGGCGCTCAGACAAACCGTCGACTTGTGCGTTTACACCAACGTGTACGTATGTGCACGACGTGGAAGTTGGACTGTCGACCAACAGTGGGGTCCCTCGCTAATCTTATTCGAACGGAAATACCCGTTAACATTAATTAATTGGATACGTCAAATTAATGTTCTTGAAGCTCCTTCAATAACTATTTTAGGAGGGTTTTCAGAGCGTTTATCCCGAGGGATTGACCTTCTAGATGGGCTTGTAACCTTATCTATTTTAGGACCGAGTCGTGTCCAACCGTCCACCCCGTTGCTACCTCTCTTTGTATAAGTCTGCTGAGTCCCTCGCCGAATCATCAGCCTTTTTTGACCCCCGCAGTCTTCCTCGTTCATCTCTCTGTCTCTCTCCCCCCTCTTAAAAGGCCTCCCCCTCCTAGGCATGTCACAGAGAGACAGAGAGGTCAGAGAGTTTGGAGAGAGAGAGAGAGGGAGATGGGGAACAGCATTGGAAGGAAGAGGACGGCGAAGGTGATGAAGGTGGACGGGAGCACGACGAACGTGAGGCCGCCGGCGACGGCGAGGGAGGTTCTACGGGACCACGCGGGGCACGTTATCATGGAGTCCGAGCAGGTGAAGCAGCTAGGGTTTCAGGCACAGCCCCTCGACCTGGAGGCGCCGCTCAAGCCAGGGAAGCTCTACTTCCTCTTCGAGCTCCCAAAAGCGCCGCCGGCTGCCGCCCGAGGCCCCGCCCGCCGGGTCAAATCCGCCATCGCCGGCATCTCCGCCGCCGACCGCCTCGAGGGCCTCAAACTCACCCGCCGGTCTTCCTCCGACGTCTCCTACTTCCCCGTAGCGGGCTCCTCTGCCGCCGCAGACGACGGCGGCTCCCGGAGGACGGTCCGTATCAGGCTTCCCAAGGCGGAGGTGGCGCGGCTGATAGAGGAGAGCAGAGACGCTGCCGAGGCGGCGCAGAAGATGGTGGAGCTCGTCGGCGCCGCCAGCGGCTCTTCTTCTTCCTCCGGGGAGCTGCCGGCGACGAAGAAGGAGGTAGCCGCCGTCCCTCTCATCGTTTTTATTCCGTCCTCGTCGTTGACTGCTGCTCTTCGGCACTTGAATACTCTAACCAGCGACACAGAAAAAAGGACTGGCGATTTTTTCTATTATTTCTATTACAATCTCACGTTTTCTTTTTTCCTGAATTACATCTATTTATTTTCTTCGCAATACGGTGCTGTGATCGCAGCGGGAAAAATAGATGAAAAATATGAAATCCCATTTTTGCTTTATTATATTCTTAGAAAATATCTGGCTCATTTTTTCTCATATGAAAATTACAGAAAAGGACGATATTCCCGTGGCTCATTTCTATTATCTTTCGTCCAATCTATCGCTCTCCGTTACTGAATTCCGTCTTTTTTTTTTATTCCAATGCATGAAAAATATAAAATCCCTTTTTAACTTTATTATATTCTTAGAAAATATCTGGCTCATTTATATCTCCATTGGAAATTACAGAAAAGGACGAGATTCACGGAACCACCGTTGGATGATGATCGGAGGGCAAGCTGAGCTGCCGCCGCGCCACGGCTTCTTGTTCATCCTTCTCCTTAGACGCCGTGGCATGCCGTCAACGGTTCTCAGGAGGTGACTTTGTCTCATGCGGCCTTCTTCGACGATAGGGCGATGACCAGACCTGCTCAGTCTTTGATCAATACGACATATAGATGCAGACTTTAGTGGAAGTGGGATTTGACACTACATAGTCAACTTATTTGACTCGGGCTGAAAGTCGACAGTGAAGAATCCACGATTGATTTCTGGCAGATGTTAGGCCGGTTATTGACTATTTTATCTGTGAAGTAATTCCTATTTATAGTATACTACTATAGAGAGAGAGGAAGAGAGAGAGAGAGAGACAGTCAACTCTTAAAACTAGTATTTTAAGACTTTGACATTTTATATAAAAAGATTTACAATACTAGTTTGTGATTTACGGGTATTATTCTTTTTATTACAAAACCTAGTCGGACTCGGGCGATCCGATCCCGGCGTAAGAAACCCGGCTTCGTAAGCGGAGTTGGGTCAATACTTACAGAATCGCCATCTTAAAACCCTACACGCAACGAGCTCTCTGGAGGGTGGAGCAGGCGGCAGATCGAGGGGTGGTGAGGTTGAAGGAGAAGGAGGAGGGGAGGATGGAGTACTGCTACGGCCGCGACTTCCTGTTCTGCGATATGTGTGGGACGCAGCTTTTGCTGAGCTCGCCAAAGTACGCCGAATGCCCTTTCTGTGGTTTCAGGCGGCCGGCCAAAGGTGAGGAGGGCTCCCGTTTCAATTTTGGTAGAAGCTGGTGTTTGGAGGCTTTTTGTGTATGATTTGATGTTCCGGCCGATCCAGCTCTACGGTACGGTTCTAGCTTTGGGATCTTTGGTCTCATCGTGTAGACCTGTGCTTTGGAGCTTGAGAGTGTGGCTGGAGTACTAGCGTATCTGGTCGGACGAAATCGTCGCCTCCGACAGGACTCTCTCCTCGGTACTAGCCACTGTGCATCTCTCGTGAGAGACCTGACGTAGACAGACCGTATTGAAATCCTTGAAAAGGATATGCAATGCTTAAGATGCAAATGTTTTTTCCTGTCTGATCGAAACACGATTCAAAATAAATTTTCAATTACGGCCATCGTAAAATGTGCCAAGCTGAAGGTACTACATGATCATGTAGCATAGTTCATGAACTGCTAGTTTTGAATGAAAAATATTTAATAGCTGGCCGATCCGTAAGAACTAGTGGAATGCATACGATTCGAGTTGTTAATTGCTAAATGTCACTTGAAGGTTTTGATTCCACTATATAGTCTTTGTGAACTCGCCTATGATTCTTCTTTTCTTAACCTAAAAAAGTTAATTCGATTCCACACTTTTTGTTTCTCTGTCTTCTCTGAGATGCTGGTCTCTATGTACATTGATGTTGTATGTGCACAATTCCAAAGATATTCAATTATGACTTAAACCTTTTCTGCCAAACTCTGGCGTCATGCATGGAATGAGCAAATTTCCACAGTCAAGTAATTGCTCACATGATTTTAATAAAGATCAATTATTTTTGTTGGGGGGAGTCTTGAGAGCTGTACTATTTGTTTGGTCTTTGAAGATTGTTATATATCTTGTAAATCAGGTTTTTTTTTTTTCTTTCATACCTTTTAAGTATGCGATATCTTTTTGTTCCAGAGATGAAGGGGAGAGAAATACGGTATACAATCACTGCTGAGGTACGTATTCGGATTTTGATAGTGCCTTTGTATGCCATCTTCAGAAATCTGAAGGCTCATGTATTTTAGCCACTATGGCATTGACTGTCAACATCTTTATGATACATTATTATAATCAATACCCATGAAATTACAAACATTTATTGACAGTACGTTATGAAAATGACTGTAACGTTGAATTTGAGATCTTGGTATGCGGAAGTGACCTATCTATGCATAAATTGTGTGCCGATTGGTATAGGCATAAGAAATTGGTTTGGCTTCCGATTATATTTCACTTCTGTGTAAGATGCAGTTTGCCCCTTAACAAAACAGCAAAATAAAAATTTTATGCTCCGGTCTATCTTGCAAGCTCGAAATATTATGTCTTTCGTTTTGAAAGGACAATCCTTGAAGATGCGGAAGTGGACTCTGAATGAAAAGTTTATCAGATATCAATGCACATAATACGTAGAATTCTGAGCTGAGAATCTGAGTGGAATAAAAGCTTCCTTCATGCAGAAATCTTTCACCAGGGATTTCTCGCAAGTTATACATCAGGGTGGATCCACTCTGACTAACATGAGGAATCAATCATAGCGCCTGGAGAATATCTTCAAGTCCTTATAAATAGTTTTGAGAGAGGTATGGAGAAATCAATAAACAACGGTTGGAAACTTCCTTGTGGGCCTGATGCGAGAGAAATGGAAGGAAATTCCAGTTCACCTGAAATAAAATTCAATACATTATCACTAAAGTAGAGACAAGATTGACCCCCTGACTGATAGTTTTGGGAAAGTATCATTGACTCATTCATCAACCGTAAGTTGAATCATCTCATAGAAGTTCGCGTCCTTGCTCACCATCTTTTCCGATGATTTTGATATGTTTATGACTTCTACCAGAGCCTACCTCAGTAAATTATCAAGGTGAACATTTTGATTTGCTACAAATTAGGTCCAATTACGAGCCAATTTGGACCTATCTGAAGGTTTTGCCGACTTGGGCACCTATCTGAATCGGGTGATTAATCCGGTGGCTGACCTAACAAATCTTATCGAGTCTGGAACGAGCTTGTCTCACGATATTTGGTAATGTTCAATCCAAATGCACTTCACTCAGCCATTGGATCAGCTTCCCCGTCTGCTAGAAATGCTTTATTGAGCTGGTAAGATCTTTGGTAATCAATGACTTCAGCTCGTCCCAATTCTACCCGATCGGAGTATCTATGGCATAAAGTAGCAGCTGATTTCTATTTTTGGGAGCTTGCCGAAGAGATCTAGATCGAGGGGTGTTGATGTGGTCTGCATCTTTCAGGACATCAGGAGGGAGCTGAAGATCGAGCCGTTTGTTCAGGTCGGGACAGTTCCTGAGCAGGAGGAAGAACTCCGACGTCCAGTCGTAAGTAGGAGTGTTTCATGTTGGGGCGGCTGGGAAACTTGGCCAGATGTTAGTTCTCACGGTCTCATCTCCTCTGTACCAGGCCAACAAGATTTGCCCCAACTGTGGCCACAACGAACTCGAGTACTACACCAAGCAGGTAATAGATTCTACGGATTGAATGCACTCCCCCCCTCCCTATCTCTCTCTCTCTCTCTCTCCCTTTCTCTCTTGCTCAACACACACACGCACACTTTTACATGCAGAGATATCAATTCTCTCCAACTCTCTGTCTGTCTCTCTCTAACGCACACACACGTACAGCCACCAATTCTGCATTCGTCCACTCTCTCTCTCTCTCTCTCTCTCTCTCTACTCTCTTTTTTTGCTATTGGCTGATGTGCTCACTCTTGCGTCCCATGTTGGGCAGATGCGGTCTGCCGACGAAGGGGCCACGACCTTCTACGAGTGCAGGAAATGCAAGCAAGGGTTTAGAGAACAATGAACCCCTCCCCACCACCAACCCTCGCTGCCCTTCTTCTGCCGATTGTAGTAAGAGCCCTTCTACTGCTTCTCTCCCTCGCTCCCACTGGATTGTCCCTTCGATATGCCAAAATTGCCGACTACATAACCCCCTGTCTCAGGGTCGTGCTGTTCATATCCTCGAAGTCAACGGTACGGCCCATTCACCCCATAAGATGCGGGGACATTTTAGTAACCTTATTCACTCTGCTTGCTAGGTTTGACCGTTGGTGAATCCCGTTGGATAGTTAGATGGATAGATCTAGATATAGATATAGATATAGATATAGATATAGATATAGAGAGAGAGAGAGAGAGAGAGAGAGAGAGAGGGAGGATTGATTTGATTGGTCAGATCCGAGAAAGCCATGGGGAAGCATGTGATTGGGGGGGGGGCTACAGGAGCTCGTAGAGGAAGGCTGAGATCTCCCGTACTCCGATCCTGTAGTGACAAGTTGTCAGGGAGAGGTGGACCTCATCCGTTGGCGGGTTTCCCAAAGTGGTCGCTAGAAAAGATTCCTTCCAAATATGTCAATCTTAAATGACATTTATGGGCATGTACCCACTCATCCCCCCTGATGGTCGACTATTCTTGTGGGGATCGTCCGAGCGGGGGGGGGGGTCTGTGGCTCGTCCGATTTCATCCCCGTGGCACGGACACGTGGCGGTACGGACGGTGTGGATCGAGCCCTCCCACCGGCGCTTCTCCGCGCGCGGGTCACCCCAGTCGTTGTACCGCCATGTTCAATGATGACCGCTGTCGGGCCATTTGCCGCGCAAGGCGGTGACGAGTAGTAATGGGGCTGGGCCCACCAGGTTGATCCCCCCGGCATCGCACAACGCCTCTCCCCATCGAAGCGCTGTCTGTTTATTGAAGGGTAAAGTTTCCTTTTTTTTTGTTGACCCGTCTTCACCCCAGAAGTCAAGTCCCGTGGCCTTCTCAATCACGGTCCACTGACTGCGATTTTTCCCTGCATACTAATTAATAAAATAATTTAGTATTTTCGTTTTATTACACACAAACTGCTTACGTCATCACCGCCAGTACCTCCTCATACGGGATGACGTGACTAGGGAATCAATACGTATTGGAGTGCACGGGAAATTACAGTACACTGCTCTGTCTGTCTGTATCTCTATCGCAAAGACCTGGGCTAGATGAAGACACGTGGCTGCGCATCCTGATGGTGCGCAAGGACACGTATGTTGATCAAGATAGTTTTGTAATAGGTGGGCCGGATTCGAGCACGTGGATGGGTGAGAGTCATGAAAGCAGCACCTGGTGACCGTCCGATGATCCTCGAGGTGGGGTAATCTGACGGACCACATTAGAGCTCGTGGGTTTTCGAAAGATAATAATTGTGGCATCCCGGCTACGAGTCTCTCTCTCTCTCCAACTACTGTGTGGAGCGTGGTGGTGACGGTGGTAGCTACCTTTTCGGGAGAACTCCGGGGAGGGGAAGCAGGAGGCGGCGGCGGCGGCGTGGGGGGCCTCCTGGCAGGCTTTTCGGGGCTGTGCGAAGAGGAGTGCTGATGGAGAGAGACTTTTTGGGGATCGGCGTGAGGGACTTGGCGGTGGAGGACTCAGGTTTGCTCAACGCGCCACCTCCTCCCTTCCCTCTTTGTTGTTGCATCAGTCGTAACGAACGACTTCGCATCTGTCGCTGGAAGAATTTCTGACGGTGTTATCGGCACCTGTAGTCAGTTCCTCATCATTGAATACGGCCTGTAATTAATTATCCTATTGTTTATGTGAATGTTTTCCAGTTTTAGCGTAGCAATTTTGGGATACTGATGTCATCTGGTCCTTTTTTGTTGAGAGGATGTCTTGGATTTCTTCTTTTAGGCTCCGTCACGGGATTTTTCGCGGTTTGGATCTATATTTTTCAGGAAAATATTCCTTTCTGGGAAATTTGACTCCTCCTATTAAGAACCCTCGGAGAGCTCGTTTTCCCCCTTTGTGGTCACTCGTAGGAAAGGGCTTCACCCAAAAATAGTGTCAGGGAAAGTCCGAGGATCCGAGTCCTGACGCAGTTCCCTCTTCCGTGCCTCGCGGGCTCTCTTTAATTAGCATTTCCGCTTCGCCGAGGAATTTCTTGTGTGACGATGATTTTAGACGCGGCGCATCGTCACTGAACTTTCTTCTTAATTGTTCGGCGACAGATTTAGGTTGAGAAACGTCCCCTGCAAGAAGCTCATTCAGGATCATCTTAAGATCTTCCGAGTATTTTCTTACGGATCCAGAGAACCTTGCACTGATCATTTATTTAAAAATTCTTCTCAGCTTCTCAGTCAACCACAGACTCGATTTGAAAACGTCCAGATGTTGGAGCACGATAACACGTTGAGTATTCTATCATCTAAAAAAACTTGTCGAAAACTATCTGTTGGATGATTTTTCACTCTACAAATTTTAGGGCCACTGTTCTCGGAAGAATTTGAGAATCATGACGCACTCTCATCTCATTCTTATCAGTCATCATCTCTGTATAGATCCATGCCATAGCCGGATCATCTTCATCTTCATCATCATCATCATCGGTTCGTGTTCTAACCCCCCCGGGTCCCTTTCCTAAATCTGCAGGCAGCCTGCGGAATTGTCCAGTCCCATGGGCTTTCTCTGGTAAGATACCATCCATGCAGCAATTCATGAGCTTGAAGGGTGCCCAAGAAGGGAGATCGAGGAGGATCGCCCTCAATCACCTCTCCCCATCTGGGTGCCAGCCATTACCGAATCCTCTCGGTATCCTTGAATCTAATCTCCGATTCTCACCCCTCTCGGCCCCACAGGTCAGCTGCATTTAGAAACTGCTCTATCTAGTTCTTCGACCCCCCTCTTACCTCAGACGGCGGATCGCATTGCTTACTAAAAATGCTTGTTCTTTCCATTCTGGGGCTTGCAGAAGCACTGGGTTATTGACAGGCCGGCCATCCACCAGCTCCAGCTGGCTGGTTATCCAAGTCCTGGAGCGGGTCCTCTGAATGCTTCTTTGGGGAATGACTTTGACGAGGCCGGGCATTTCCTTCGCCATCGTTCATTCCCCATGGCCACCAGCTGGCCCTTGCGGAAATTCTCTGCTCCTGGAGTCAACCCCATGAAGCACTCCAGAGTGGGTCCTCCTTCTGGGGGCCTCCCCATCTATCCTGCCTCCGCTCCAAGGTAACCCAGCTCCCCCCCCCCCCCCCGCCCGCCTTTTTCTTTTTTAAAAGGAATTCAGTGATCCTCAGTGTTTACAAGCTTCCCTTCCCTTTTTCCCTTTCACCTGATTGCAGCTGGAAACCCGAAGAACGGAACCCGAGCAAGCTCTCCGCCGCCACCTCACAGCTGACCATATTCTACGCCGGGGCGGTCAACGTCTACGACGACATCCCGGTCGACAAGGTCAAACATTCCTTATATTCTGATCTTTTCTGTTTGTGGGGGTGGGTATGTGTGGATCTGTAATATTTCTCGGTTGTTTCAGGCTGAGGCGATCATGCTTTTGGTGGCCAACGAGTTGAACATCAAGTCCAACGTCAGGAATGCGGGGGAGGAAGAATCGCTCACCATGAAGCTCGCCCCGAGCTCGACAGCGGCGGCCGGAACACAGAGACACACGGCGGCGGCGGCGGCGCCCTGCTCCGCCCTCTCCAGCCCGCTGTCGAGGACATCCCACACCGGAGATCAGTCGGGCAGCAGCTCCACCGCCACCGCCGCCGACGATCCGGCCGGCTCTACGGCTGCGCCTCCTCCCACCGCCGCCGCCCACACCATCCCCCAGGGTACGTGTCCCAGACCCATTACAACGCCGCCATGAATGCCCATGCCTGATTGATCTGATCTGATCTGATCTGATCTTATCTTCTCCCTCCCCCACCCCTGCAGCGATTCCCCAAGCTCGAAAGGCGTCGCTGGCCCGGTTCTTGGAGAAGCGCAAGGAAAGGTACGACTTTTCCCACGCTGCCATTGATCATCAATACCTGTGGGTCATCTATCGGTCGGGGTCCCTCCGTCTGGACCGCCAGCATCTTGTCCCCGTCTGACCTGAAGATGAGACACAGGATCTGTCGGAAGAACATTGAATTTTGTGGTCCTGTCAACGTGTCTCAGCTACCATTCACGGGACCGCTTGGTGGATGCCTCACGATGATCGATTTACCCTTTTGTTTTTCGGGGAGCTGACTTTGGCCGTTGACCGTTCCTCTTCCTCTTCCTCCCCGGCAGGGTTGCGGGGACCGCGCCTTATCCGTGTCCGCAGAGGCCGGAGACGGCCCAGTCGAGCAGCAGGGGGCCGCTGCCGTGGCAGATGAGCCTACCCGAGGACGGCGGCTGCTTCGGCGGCGGCGGCGGCGGCGGCGGCGGCGGAATGCTGGAGATCTAAGCCCTCAAGTCACTCACTTTTTTTAATTTTCTTTAATTTTTGTTGATCTTTCTTCTTCCAGCTCACGGCCGCCCCCGTTTTGTAGCCCTGGCCTTCTACTCCTCCGTCTCTGACTTCTGAGACGTGTGGTGGCCGTTGACCTTCTGCCGAGAAGCCCTCCTCGTTCTCCAGTGTTGCGGCGGCAGTTGTCCTTCTGATGAGGACGATCATTTGTGCCCGCAGTCATGGGGTGAAGGGGCGGTCTGGATATGTAGACCGGAAGGCGTCTCTTTGCCGGGGCCGGAAAGCCTCGCCTTAATTTTATTTTAAAAAAGGGCTTCCAGATGTCCCCTATTGTTTAAGTATCCTTAGTCGGGATTCTTAAAATTTGGGATAAGACCCTCACCAACCATGTATTTACCTTTCCGTCTGGTTTCCCACGTATAATGTATTCCGCGTCTTTCTAGAATTCTCCGCTTTTAAAAAAGGTGGGCGTCCTAGCGGGACCCCTCACGTGATTCATCAGCAATCACACAGCAATCGATGTGAATCACGTTTTGAACCGCTGGCGGCGCCGGAATCCAGAGTTTTTTTTGTCGGGACTTATCCTCAAAAATCGAGCCCCTCAGGGGGAAATATTTCAGGCGGGGACACTTTGGACCACTCAACTCATCTATTCGACGTCATCACTAGAGATCTACTCTCTCTCTCTCTCACATAGTGTTAATGGGCCGAAAGGGTACTTATTCTAAAGTTCGGTCTTCTTCCGGCCCAATTTCGGTGCATGGGCCGGCCAGCTTACTGGAAAATCCTCTACTCATCTATTTGACGTAATCACTAGAGATCTACTCTCTCTCTCTCTCTCTCTCTCTCTTTCTATCTCGAATATAGTTAATGGGTCGTATGGGAACTTTCCGGCCCAATAGTGGTCCAATAGTTAATGGGCTGGCCAGCATACTCGAAAATCCTCGGCTCATCTATCCGACGTCATCACTAGAGATCTACTCTCTCTTCTCTCTCATAGTGTTATTGGGCCGAAAGGCTAGTTATTCTTAAGTCCGGTCTTCTTCCGGCCCAATAGTGGTGCATGACAGGTTTCAAGAACACCAAGGTCAGCAGCTTATGGGGAAAGAGGCCTGGAGATCGCAAAAAGGGCGGCTTCTATACCCGGCCGTCATGCACCAATGTTGGGCCGGAAGAAGACCGGACTTTCGAATAAATAGCCTTACGGCCCATTAACTATATTCTACAGAGAGAGAGAGAGAGAGAGAGAGAGAGAGAGAGAGAGAGAGAGACTAGATCTCTAGCGATGACGTCAAATAGACGAGTAAAGGATTTTCCAGTAAGCACCTTAGCTAAGTTGGGTCTGACCAACGTCCTCATCACGTCAAACGTCTCATCAATTAATTATTATTATTATTTAAAATGTTGGTAGCTAAACATAATTCATACCAACTCTATTCTCGGGTGGTCAAGGCCGCGACCATGAACGAAACTATTTCGAGCAACTTTAATAATAATAATAATAATAAACTATTTCGATCCCAATAATTGATTAATAGCCCTAAATTTCCCTAATGAACGGGGAAAATCTCAGGTGAACACGAAATAAACATATTTATTAATTTTCAATCCTTCGCCATTAAAAAAAGGGGGATTTAATTTTTTTATTTATTTTACTGCCAAATAAATAAGTTGACACAAATAAATAAGAACACCACACACAACCTTACTAAAAATGGACACCTACATAAACCAAATAATAATCACATACCAACCTGGGCCAGAGGATCACTGGGCGGTCTTCGAGTGCTTAATGAGCCAGTCAATGACCACGTCGATGTTGACCGAGTCCTTGCAGGAGATCATGTGGCAGCAGACCTCCCTGCCTTTGATGGAGTCCAGGCCTCTGAGATCCCAAAAGTTTTTAGAGGCATTAAAAAAAATAAAAAAAAGGGGAGGGGGGATTTTTTAAAAAAGGCCCAGTATTTTTGGAAAGATAAGGTTGCTTAAGATGGTTGACTCACAGCTGGTCAACCAAGGCCTGCATGGAGAGCGCCTCCGACTTGTCTATCTTGTTGCCGAGGACCAGGAGGGGGATCCCATTCAAGGAGGGCCTCGTGAGCAGGTCGTGCAGCTCGCTTCTAGATACGGGGATGCTGTCGCGGTCAGCGGCGTCCACCACGTACCTGCCAAGGACGAGCAGTGAGAGATGGAACAACCTTCCTGCAGGAAATTGAATTGACTCGTGGCCGTGACCCCCTTTTTTAATTGAGTTCGTCCATTGTCTATAAAGTCAACGCTAATGAGCTGAAAAAGGATGTTTCTAAAGGATAAAACAAGTCTACTTTAGCAAAAGAGATGTCGCATCTCTCATCCCTGAAACAAATCTAAAAGGTTACCTCATCTCCTGATGGCACTGGTGTCCCACTAGATTTACAGTGCGTTCATGGTCTACAAAGTCAACGCTAATGAGATGGAACGAGGCACCGCATCTCTCAACCCTGAAACAAATCTAAAAGGGTAACTCATCTCCTGATGGCACCGGTGTCCGCTAGACTTCCAGTGCGTTCATTACCCACAAAGTCAACGCTAATGAGACGGAAAGAGCCATTGCGTTTCCCAACCCTGAAACTAATCTAAAAGGGTAACTCATCTCCTGATGACACAAGTGCCCACTAGATTTACACTCCCTTCATGGTCTACAAAGTCAACGCTAATGAGATGGAAAGGATATCGCTGAAGGATGGAAAAAAGTCTTCGCCACTATCAAAAGCATCAGTAAAATGAGGACCATCAGCAAGCTATCTATCCAACAAAAAACCTTATAAGGAATGCATGAAAAAAAAAAAAAAAAAAAAAAACCATACACTGACATGCAGTTTATCTCACTAAATCCTACTTACAGAATGGCAGATACTCCGCGACAGTAGCGCTCCCACATGGTTCGAAACCTCCTCTGTCCACCCAGATCCCATAGTTTTATTGTGACATTTCCCTTCGTAACCTTGCGCATGTTGAAGCCCACCTAGTTTTATGCACGAAGAATATTTTCGCATCAACAATGGCTTTCAGACAGATGGAAGAAGATATCATTTGCCTGCAGATGTCACTCACGGTGGGAATCATGTCTTCACTGTATCCACCCGTCTGGTAAGCAGGAGAGAGTCAGATCTGAAATGGCCTATGAGAAGGCAAATAAATGGAAACGCCACAAGTAGATAAGCATGGTTTTCTCACAGCGATTGCGTTGACAAGAGATGTCTTCCCGGCGTTTTGAAGGCCAATGAGAGAGAGTTCCATTTCCTGTTTGAAAAATAAACTGAGCAATACGTGCAGTCAGAACTCTGAAAAAAAAAAAAATCTAAAATGGAGGATTTATAATGGCTAGTCAACGCAAGAAACTGACGGCCCATCTTTACACACGCTTAAACATACACTTCAGTCAAAAAGCTGACTTTTTTTATTCGTCCATATGAACACATCTCGATGTTCCAAGAGCAGAGCCTTGGAAGTGCCTCCACTAGGTTCCTCTCGGAGACTGCCAGTCTACGAGAAGCTGACTTCAGGCAGCTTCTTGTGTGGGACCATTCTACATGCCACCTTAGTCAAACAGCTGACTTTTTTTATTCCTCCATATGAACACATCTCGATATTCCAAGAGCAGAGCCTTGGAAGTGCCTCCCATTAGGTTCCTCTCGGAGACTGCCAGTCTACATGAAGCTGGGAGAACTTTAGCCATTGGACCACATTGATCCTACCTAAATGGTGATTTTGAGCTTTTAAGAGTAGGAGAAATGCAGGCAAGCCTGGTTCTCCGAGACATGTTAGTGTTTTTGGATCATTCAGCTTAATAACTAATTGGCCATGTGGGGCAAGCTAATTGTTATAACCCCAAATTTAGATTTTTACCAACTTATACGAGAATATTGTAACAAGGCAAATGCTTTCAAAGGGTTAAAAAATGAAATAAACGTCATGTGATATTTCGTGTTCATCTAAATTCATTTGAAAAATGAAGAGAAATATCTTAGGTGAAGTAATGAGGGATGCAACAAAAATAAGGGAAAGAAAGAAAGGAAACGAAACTTCTTCTCTTCACAGCCTCAGTTCATTCAATTGAGAAAACAAAAGGTCTTCCCTTAGAAGCACTACGTCATTCAGTTGCTGAACTTGCTTCAAAATTCAGATAATCACACGGTTATGTAGAATGCGTGCATTTACCTCGAATTATTATCCGCCTTTGACCCAGATAAAGAGCAACTACTAAGAGGTTGTGTTCACGACTAATTCACTGATAGATGTCTAGTGTATGTGAAGAGAAAGACACGTGGGGCGAGCAAATTTAGTCAAGGTATAAAATCTCCACAATAATGTTTGTTTACCGTGAACTTTACAGTGAAGAATGGTTTCAACAATGCTTTTACTACCTGAGAGTGAAACTTTGTTTGGTGTATCGTCCAACTCAAGAGATGGTTTAAAATTTCATAGAAAGCAGTACTGTGTAACAATTGCTAAGCACATAAGCTTCGGCCTAGCCTCTCCTAATTCAACAATGCTTTAACTACCTGAGAGTGAAGGATGTGCACAAATGACGAGTCCGCCAGAAAATCATAAAGATGGAGCAAAAAAAGCTCTCTCCCAGAAATCTAATATTACGTGATGCAGCTAAGTTTCTTCTCTTTTTCCATTTGTTTCGACCAAAGATTCAAGTTGATGTGAGCATGCACACCAGTTATGTTTTTTATTCAAGAGAGCTCAAGGATTATTGAAGAATTAAGAAAAGAGGGTTGACTATAATACCTTGGAATTGAAACGTAATACATCACATCTTTTTTTAAAATAAGGGATCAACAATGAAGAAGAATATGGAAAGGCAAATATATGATCTAAGTAACAAGAAATGGTATCAGTGACCTTTTTTTTTCACTTCATTCAATTTGAAAAGCAGTAATTTGGTCTTTTCTCCTAAATTCTCATATTCTTGAACTTGAGATACCATAATATTGAATTTATGATCCGAGACTATCATGGCTTCCCACAAAATGGCTATACCAAATGTGTCACGGGAAACATTAGATATTTTGTAACAATAATGTACTTGAATCAGGTTACCAAAAACATCCCTGAGGAAATCCCATGAACAGAAGCCTGTATTTCTCCTTAAGGTCCAACCATGGCGTTGTCCAAGAAGCTGGCATCATATCTGACGCCTAATATATTCTGTCAATTAATCCAGCCACCTAAACCAGATTTGAGAAAAATGATACCCGGCCACATAATCTCCCTGAATGATGGACAACCAGAGGAAGCATCAGGGCCTAGATTTTACACCTAATGCAAGCAAAAAAAGTTTTAAATCCTGGCAACAACAACTGGCTGCTCAGAACAAAGTTGAGCATGTTGCAGATGATGTCAACATGGTTGGAAGCATCTTGTAAAAAGAGTCACGAAATGTAGAGGCATCGACTTCCAGCTCACGATATGGCTGGAGTGCGCCTTATTGTCACAGTCAGTATTCTTTTATTTACAGTCAAATGTTTTCCCCATTCCAGTGGAATCTTATTCACACTTCATGGTAATCTTCTTCATAATCTATTTTTCTTACTGTAGCTATAACTGAATCAATAAACATACCGTTTCTATGGGAATATTTTTTTTCCCAACACAAACATCCATAAACCTTCGTTATTTTACTATCGTTACATTACAGTAGAGCACTATGCAGTTTGGTCATTGGTTTTGGGATGCATCACTTAGCCTTCCTAAAATGTAGTTAAAGCAGAAAAGAGGAATACAAAACGCGAGTATAAAACTTGTGATTTTCAGAGAGAAGAGACACGAGCAGAGATCATGGATTTCACAAACATCCATAAACCTTCGTTATTTTACTATATTTACATCATACTAGATCACTATGCAGTTTGGTCATTGGTTTTGGGGATGCATCACTTAGCCTTCCTAAAATGTAGTTATAGCAGAAAAGAAGGATACAAAACGCGACTATAAAACTTGTGATTCCTAAGATGTACTTCCTAGAATGTAGTTATAGCAGGGATAATGGGTCTCACAAAGTGATGATGATGGATGATGTATAAATGATAATGAGGAAAAGACTCCGACAGTGAATGAGTAGAGGAAAGTCCTTTTATCCTAGAAGTCAACTAAAGAGAAGGAAGAGATGAATAGGCGCCAAGATAAGACCCGATTGTCTCAATCGATCCACATAATCGGACTGGGTATCTTGGTAGGCAGAGATCCATCTGCTCCAGATCAATGTTGGATAGGCCAGGAGTCATTTAACTCTCTGAAACAGGAGATCTGGACACCAGTTGAGACGCAAAGAATAATACCGGCACACTAGAGGTTCAAATTGAGCCCTTAATGGGAAGATGGAGGCGAATTTGTGGAACAATCAGATAGAATAACCAAGAAACTAATTTAGAATATATGTTAGAAGAAATATGCTCGACCCCAGAAAGTCCTCGGCTACAAAACGTCAGTTTAGTCCGTACTCGTGCAAAAAAAAAACCGACTCTCTATCTGCCGTCCAAGAACTATAGGACTCCTTTCCACCACCAGAAAAGAAGGGAAGGAGCCCGGAGATCTCACTATCGGTCGCAGTTGGATAACTACCCTCGCGTTTCCTGTGCGCAGCACGCGCGTAGTGGATAGCAACACCAAGGCCTACGGTCATGCACTGATACTTGCCGCTGGAAACAAAACTATCTCGAAACTACCGCGAGACATTTCCATTCCAACAACCAAACTTGATTGATGCCGCACGAAGCCCCATCGGTTCACACGCCTCCGGCATGGAGCGCCTCTTTACCTCACAGGAGTGAGGCTCTCGCAAGGCCCGCGCCGAAAGGCGTCGCACAAAGAATCATACCGAATTGCTAACTGGGAGAAGAGGTACAAGAGGGGAGATCAAACCTTCGAAGCCAGTTCAGAAGGGAATCCCAGAGGCCCATCTTAGTTGCACGAAGCCCTAACCAACCTGGCCTGACGGAGAAGACGAATGCGGCGAGGAAGGACAAAAGGAGAGCGGAACAGGGTGTCAGCTGGCGGGCATAGAGAGACAACCTGGTTTTCCTTCTTGGAAGGGAAGGATATCCGTTTCTCGAGATTTCCGGATTCAAATAACGGTTAACCGTTAATCCTTTAAAATAGTATCTTTTTTTCAACTAAATGATTTAGTTGGTCTAATTCACAAAAAAAACACATTTAATTAATAAAGCGATGCATTTTTGCAGTTTCATTTTGGCCCTCTGAAACTATATTTTATAAAAAAATTGTACCACATCTCATCAAAGTATAAAGTAGGAGTGAGAGAATATTCTCCTAAAATAAATAGATTATTTACTTTTAGGTTCCATACACACTTGAAATATTATTTACTATTTTCTAAAAAATTAAAGACATTTAGGAGTGATATGATATTTATCTAGAAATAAATGGATTATTTACCTTTGGGTTCCACACAAAGATCTGTAATTTCCCTTGGAAAATATAATTATTATTACGATGAAGTCCTCAATTAATGCAATGTCAAGGTAAATGAATTAAAAAAATATTATGTAAATGTATCATGTACCCATTCATCATGAAAAAAATATCTTTACATATTTACTTTGCTTTGAAGTAAATGCCTTTAAAATGTTAGTAAATTTATTATATATTATCTTTGTTAAATGTCTTTAAAATTAATTAACCATATGTAATTATAATATTTTATTTTATTTGGACCCCGTTAAAACCATATTTTTTTTCTAAAACAAACATTACTCCATACAATAAGATGATTGAAGAAATTGACTATTATTCAAGTTAAAGATAAATAAATAAATATTTTATTTAATTGGAGAAATTAAAGAAATTGCCACACTTATTCATGGTTGTAGCACACACTAAGATGGCACCATGATGAGTGGCCCTATAGATGGGCCATCAGATTTCAAAGTATAAGTGAGATTTTTTAAGATTTGGATGCATTGGGCAAGTAGACTATTTAAGATGGGTATACTTTAAGAAGTGGACGTTGACTACAAAGGCCTTTATAGGTTTAATGTTGACAAGATAATATATAAGGGTAAAATATTAATTTTATGCTACCCAAAGTATAGTTAGCTAATAGAGTTATCACTCATAGAAAATCAACATATGATTTCAAGATTGATTGGATGGCTCATATTTTTTTAAGAAGTGAGTTTTACACATACTAAGAAATATATTAAAGGGAAAATAGTACCTTTTATTTATGATATTAAATATTAAATAAATGTCAAAAATCTCACAATTTGTGGGCTTGTAACTTCTTATTTGACACCTCCGTTATAAGAACTGAGTCAACTCACTTAAAATGCAAAATGATCAAATATGTATGATATTGAGTAAGTGAGCTAGAAAGTGGCTTGACTTGTTGAGTAGGAAAAGACTTGAACCTAATTTATCACCTAAAAACACGAGTCGACTCATCTACGAACAACAAGTTTTAAGTTTTGTTTTGAGAAAATATATACACAGGGAAAAAATAAGAATGTCACATTAAAAGATCCAAAAACTTTCCAAAAGTGGTTAATTTTTTCTTGTGAAATTTTCTTTGAATTTTCAAAGCTGATTGTCCTACAATTTCAAAGCTGAAAAAATATGAATAAGACAAGCTTCAACAATACCCACAGAACTAGCTGTTGGAGTAATTATTGAGGTGACTAATTTTAACTATTTGTTATTATTTTAAAAAAATCAAAGGAAGAACATCAATATATAAAGTTCAAACATTCAAATGGACCACAAGATGAAAAATCATTTTAAGAACTATATTGCTATGTTGCATATACTCCCTCAATCATTCAAATGCCTTCTCTTCAAGAGATGCTTTTGCACCTTTGGACCATAAAATTCATGCCACTAGAAGCTATGTGCTAAATTTATAGGAGCATTCATTCGTTCTAATTTTTTATTTTACTCATTTTAATATTTAAAATGATCTAGAGATGTAAATTTAGAAAATATTAGTTAGGCAGTGATCTAGTTGGCATCATAGAATAAGGAATCTAAGACAAGATCCTTAAGATACGTTATTTTGAATCCTTCTTAATACGAATTGTGCTTAAGATTAAAATTTTTCTTCTTTTTTTCTATCTAATTTTTTTTATAAAATAGAAAAATATAATAAAATTATGAATCAATTGGTAATGTTTTCTTGACTGTTACTAAAAACGGCCCAATAAACATAGCACAAACATCGAAAGCAGGTATGCTTTAAGGCCGACCCTGTGACTATATTTTAGTACAAAGTTCAGGCCAAACTATGCTCTTTTTCAATATCATTTATGAAATATATGAAACAATTATGGTGATATTGAGCCTCAAACCCCAGAATCGGCCACTTCGGATGAGTAGTTTCCTCCTAATTTTCAAATAATGTCAATATATATGTTTTTATATATGCTTTGTATTGGCTCATACTTTGTAAAAATTTAGTAAATAACTGTTATGATTCGATGAAAACACACAATGACATCTCCATATGATTTTTTTTTTTTTTTTTCTCACATCTTATTATTCTTAACAAAGCTCAGAAAAACCACCCGAATCTAGTTAATCTCCTAATTACAATCAGGAAACTAGATGTACAACATGTACAGTATTTCTAAGAGCACTTACAGTTAGTTAGCTGACCCCCCAAGTGGGGAGGAGGGGGAGGGGTTGACATCTGGGTCAACTCTCCAACTTGACTGCTGTGTAGAGATCCAAGACTTTCTTAGGGAGGTCAGCCTGGACGATGCGCCCGCCATCATAGCCGTCCATCAGGAGCTTCCCTATCTTGGCCCGCCAGTCTGAAGTATTTCGTTCATGGCTCCGGTCGTGCACCACCCGGTCACAGTAGTTGAGCATCGAGCCCAGCCCGCAGTTCGGCCTCCACCCATAATCTTCAAGAACACGGGCTTCTCCCTCGGAGATGTCGGATCCAACCTGATAGGACCAACGGTAAGAGGGGGTGTTATGTCCTTGATGCGTCAGTCCTGGCCAATAACTGATAAAAAAATAAATAGAGGATTTAATCTAAATCATGGCGCACAGAATATTTCTATAAATATAAAAAAATAAAAATGTAGATTTATGGGAAATAAAGAATCTTGAGCATGACCCAGCCCGCCTAAGAATCCGACATCAAAATCTCTCTCAAAGGGTTGGAATCTAGAGAGAGAATTTTGTTAAGCACTTTGAATGAAACAAAGGGTCATCCTCTTTATTTGATGTGAGTTTGCAGACATTATCTTGCTAATTGCATCGAAGACAAATCGGACTATACATAGTATGGTTGACTGGTGAAGCTCCTGTCCCAGTGCTGCTGCAGAAGGAAGCTACTACGGTTCATTTTTCTGCAAGGCATGTCATGGGACCCCTATAAACAGAAAAAAAAAAGAAGAGAGAAAAATCTCGAAAGAATTCCGGAGTTCTCATTAAAATGCTGCCAGTGATGCCAATTGGACGCTCTAAAAGTTATGGTTTGACTCAGAATCAGGGAGCTGAGAAGCTTAGTACTTTGGAGTCTGAACATCATGCAATCAGTTCCGCACCAACACCTGATTTTCCATTTCTTCAACTTTGACTGTTGTCATAAAAATATTTAAGTTCACATTGACTCATGCGCACAATTATCTTTATCTAAGCAGCAGCGCAGCACATTAAAAAAAAAAAAAAAAAGAAGAAAAAAAGAGCTCAATTGATGATAACATGGGTTGTGGCCATCACTGTAACCATGCTGCAGCAATTCATTCTATATACAGTGCAAAGTGTTGTGGAGCAGGTTTCTGCCCAACACGATTTCAACCAGTTGTATCCCTTTTACTTCATAAAAGAAACCAAATCTGGATGCGCATTTGTTCAACGGATGCATTGAATTTCAGTTTGATACGAGAATAGTAACATCACTTGAAGAAAGACAGGAGTGCGCTCCAAAGTCATCAAGAAATTATGGCAAACAAAGGAAGGAAAGGGAATATATACCAACAAAGGCTTGTTCTCAATCAGCGTGACCCTACTACAACTGGTGAGCTTCATAGCTGTCACCAACCGCTTTATCTGCCAGTCAATGGGTAGAGATTCCACAAGCTCGAAGAAATATGTGGCATAGCCATATTCAGGGCGCTCTAAGACAATCCTGCATCGAATCAAAAAGGGAAACAGATGCAGGCAAAGCATCCATCAAGAAAAGGAGACAGATGGGCTAACCCACAAGCAAACCATATTTTAAAGAGATTCTACCTGTTGTGCATCTCAAAAACAAAAATAAATGATTGAAGGTCTCTGCACCAACCCCATTCCACGGGACAATTCCGGAATTGTAGATATCGAGCCTGAGTGATGAAAACCCAGAAAATGGAAATTTTGACATTAATTACACGAAACAAGAAAATGGGGAACATTCTCTACCATAAAGAAGTGTATCACGATCACTTCATTACCTGCTCTATAAGAGAAATTAAACAAGCCAGGCAGTAAACAGCCTTTGTTCCTTTACCAGGTCGTAATGGATTGAGCTTAAGTAGTGAATTGGACCGCTTAGAGAAAATCTGAAGAAGATTAAATAGAATTAGATGAATAATAAGAGATGAGATTGTGGGGGACTACTTAATTGCTGCATTAAAGGTGTGCACAATAGAGAGCGACAGGAATAGGATAATAGTAAAGTTTTTTTTATAAATAATGTTAAAGAGCATATTGTATGCGTAAAGTATACCAATCCCTTGTACTTCTCACAAAAGTTAGTAACAGTTGGCACACAACATCCTTTTACTGACAAAGCCACTGTAGGACTGTCTGTAATCTAATTCCTTCTCTGAGATTTTCCAGGATCTAATGATCAGATTAAAGAAAGATTCCTGTAAGTGTCAATCTTCGTCAGAATTTACTTCAAGGAAGTTCAAAGATTGTTATGAGGGCTCGTTCTTTTGCAGCCGTTTTTTTTTTTTTTTTGTGACTAATAAGATGTTACTATGTTTTCTTGTCTAAAGTGGTAACAGACTTTATCAATATTCAGAAGCACACATTTTGATTTTTGGCGGTAAGGTGGTTTATCCACTAGACGAGTTATATTGAGAATGACCATTTAGCTAATTCCTACTTTGTTTTTATAAATAGAAATCCTAGCATGATATCAGCTTTTGAAACCTTGAACTAGTATAATCCTAGTTTCCGTGTATATTTGATATACAGCCAACTTATACCTCATCCGTGTACATCACTAAATAGTCAAAAATGTCATTTTCTTGTTTCCTACGCATCCTATATTAGCTTATAAGTTTTTTAATTATTTTTAAGTATAGAAATTTAAAAGAAATACGGTTCATTTTGTTAATTTTCATCTAAACCTCATATTGAAAATAACTAAAATTGAACAAGTTCTGCTCCTATTGTGATGTCTTATAAACTTATTAAGTTCTTGCAGTCCTGTTCCTAAGGTTCCTAATGCAAGGCGTCAGAAACACATGATTCGATTTTCAGGACTCGTTAGAGGTGGAACTAAAACTAAAACTCTAACACACTGATGTAATGTAAATATTTCGAGGTCCCATAACATTGCGTCAGTTCAAACGGAAACGCCAGATAATTTTAATTTAGCAAATGACTCACATAATCAAAGAAAGAAAAAACTAAAATAATCATCAATGACACACCCACTATTGTCCTCCATAGATAAGTACGCAAGGTTCACCCTCTTGAAACATGAATCCAAGCCCTACGATAAGATATAAATAAAATCCACTTCACGATATTGATGAAGACTACTTGGAAATTCCCTAGCTATTGAAGGCACCAACCAAAATAAGATTAGAATCAGAGCAGAAATTAGCAATCCTACCACAAAGAGTCTGATGAAACTCGTCAGGGAATCAACGAGTCATGTCCTCAGAATATTTTTGGAACTACTAAATGAATACAAACTTATTTTTTGTCCGTAAAAGTCAATTTTTGTTCCTAAAAGTAATCTGAAACTTTTATTACTTATTTTCATATTTGAATGAAAATTTCCACCGTAAAGTTGCGTTTTTCCTTTAATCACATATTTCATCATCTTGGGCAAGCATCATAAAGAAGCAAATTGAACACAATGAAATTCAGGTCCAAGAGCTCTGAAACTATATCAAAATAATCTCCACAGAATAAATATTTTGTATACCTTAGATATCACACCCTCAAGGTCTTCAAAGCTGTTCTCATCAGATGCACAATCAAGTACATCATTGTCTTCTTCACACCCATAAAGCTTAATTTCATCAAGATTTATACCTTTATCAAGTAATCCCTATTATGACAAGAGGTTTAAGAATAAGAGTTCAGACCGACAAGATGGCTAAATGAACAAAAGCAACAACAAGTAAGAAAAACCTGGAGAAGTCCAGGAGCATCTTCTTCAAGTGCTATTTCAGCTGAATCCCTGCATCAATTCTTTCATTTGAGCAAGAAACGCACTAGATATTTTCGTAAAAAATGTGGCATGAACTTAGAGGAATGAAGATTGGCACTAACGTGGCTGTCTTTTTCCTTTTTCTTCGACGTGTGGAAGTTTCAGATTTAAGCTTCAACGAGTCAACAGAGTCACGTCCTGTTACAGCATGTACTCGAGTCTCTTTGAAACATCTCGATTTCCTAGCAGGTTCCAAAACTGAAGCCACGGTTGAGGTCAACATCATCATCCTTTCTGAGAGTGGCATAAGGTCTAGGATGTCCACAGAAGGTGCATTGATAACTTCACTCTTAGCTTCAACGACTCGCACATCAGAAGAAAGACTACCCAAATGAGGATCAAATAAATTATATGTGGTACTCTCCATGGGCTCGCTTTTTACTCCTAGGATATTCGATGGATATAAGGCACTTAAACTTTCACTAGTGCAACCAGAAGTTCTATCAGCCAAGTTCTCTTGCAACTTTTCAGCGTTTTTAGAGACCTTGAAAGCTGAAACATCTGAAACTAGAGGCTGGGTGGTCATACAAGTATTGTTCACACCAGTAACTAACGGAGCATCTGCAGGAAGATCAATTTCAGACGAGCTTATTGTGGTTTCTTGATTACATTGTAAACCAGAAACCCTACAACTGCTTATATTTTGGCAGTTGCCGGCGTCAGAAAAGCGTTCTACAGCTTGAAGGGAAGTCAATTCAGTAGTGTTGTTTGGCGAACCAAATATTGAACACCTAGAACTCTTTTTGGAATTAGTTTCATGGGTACCAGGAACATCATCTCCTTCTGATGGTTCATCCTTCACCATTGCATGACAGGTCGACAAAACAGAATCAGTGAGTAGACCAGCCATATGACTACGTGTTTGATGTTTTTCTCCAATAGGGACACCTCTAGATGATATGTATGAGCCTATAGTGTTCCTTTCTTTTTTCACTTGAAAATCGCAACAAGAAGAAAATTTACTAGAAAATGTGTTCGCGCATACAGTCTTGTCTAGGGAATCAGAACTTCTACCAACAAGGTTTCCTCCACATCTTTCTCTCTTGACTGTCGTTGAATCGATTTGTAAAACTGAATCAGAAAGCATATCTGTAATATCACTGCCATCAGGTACGACTTGATGGCTACGATTTTCTTCCAAGGCTCCAACATTAGCTCTAGCACTGGAGACGGGCAAAGTTGAAACACGTAGTTGACCCTTGGCACTGCCAGACGTCTCCTGTGAGTATCTGTCTCGATTCTTGCAACTCTCTTGTGAGTTTTGAACAGCACAAGGGAGCAAGTTATCTGAGCAGGTGAAGGTCTGCACTGAGCCCTGAGGACCATGATGCAATAGCTGTGGCATTTCTGAGACATCTACCTCTGAAAGCTGAACATCCGTATTTCCATCTGTAACTTCAACCTTCACCCTGGCAACGGATGCAGATAAAGGTGAACCAGGAAGTAGACAAAAAACATTTGAATGCGTTTCTTTCTGACTTACATTAGATGAATGGACTTCTTTTTCCAGTAAATTGCTAGCTTCGGAAAAACTTTTATCATTGCAAGCCGTTGGCAGAAGATTCGAAACATTTTTTGGAGTAAAAAGCTCTTGATGGTCAGAAGGCGATATGCTCATTTGTTCTGCAGTTTCTTCACAGACACAATTGGTATCGTCAAATTCGTCTCTGATTTTCAATATGGGAGCGGATAAAGTGCAACAAGAGGACTGCTCCTGACAATCATTTCTTTCAGAATCTTGTGAACCGCAGTCTTTAAATTGATAACTGTCCTCAACCTTAATGGCAATATGGAAAGATGTCAGAGCTGGCTCCAAATTTACTGTGGCAATATTGTTCTGGATACCATCTGACCTTCTCTTCACAAATATATGATTATTATCAGGATACATTTGCTCCGTTATGGATTTTTCATCCAAAAGATTGTAGCACGAAGAGGGGTCTGTGGATTTTTGTTCTTGACAACCATGTCGACTTGAGGGATTCAATGCACGAGTAAGTTCAGTTGTGAAAATCTCCTGGACAATTAACGGTTCTTAAGAGCAGATTATCTGGAGAAGAAAAGATAAATAGAAATCCAGACCAGAGCTGGAGATGAAAAAAGTACTTTGCTATAAATAGGTCTACGAATAGCAAAATTTCCATGAGATAATTCTATTTACTGGATCGACCTTCTGACATTGTCTCCTATGAGATCGTGCATTCCAGGATAATTCACATTGAAGCATCATGTAAGCTGGTTTCATAGGTTATCAAGACAAACATTAAGTTTCATTGAAAAGAGTTCATCCCTTTTAAGATCAAAGGTCAACTATAGGAAATCTCTATTAAAAAACTCCTCAAGTCAAATTTTATATTATTAAAATCTAGTAGTTGAAAGTACGGCCTACTTGACTCAAAGCAAATGACTATGATGGGAATGACTGAGAGGGATCTGGTATTAGGAAATGTTGATGGTCTATGTAAACTTCAGCAAAATCAACAACATGCTAATCATAAACCGCCAGACCAATCTTACTCGACCTAATTTAAGTTTGGGTAGCATCATCTGAAGTTTGGGTTGAGCATAGTCTACTGCTGACATAATTTACACTTTCTGACTGTGCACAGTCACAATGTGAAGCTAATTCAGTAAAAGCATTCTCCAACTGAATGATGGGACAAAAATCACTTAAAACCAAAAAAAAAAAAAAAGAAGGTAAATGACAGTTCTGAAGTCAATGACTTAATTGGATGAAAGATGATCAGAGGCTCTTAAAAATTCACTCAGTAAAGGAATTGCTACATCGTGCTGTATGCCTCAACTCGTTGAACCAAATCCTGAACCCAATCAGATAGTCAAATGGGATTCAAGGCTGATTCAAGACTGGCTGAATAAGACTTAAATATATGAAAAGAAAAATAAAGAGTATGTCCACAGAAATCATTATCTGTTTTACCTAGTCTTTTTAGGCATCTTCTCCCTTCTTCATTCTTTCTAGTTCTTACTGATCCTTCTCATTATCCTAGTCGTTCTCATTTCCATCTCCTTCAATGGGTACCAAGAGTGGCAATTCCTGCTCTAAAAGGAAGGAAAAGTCAAGAACCAGACCATCTTGATAATCTTCCAACAGGACCATACTTTAGGGTCATCCAATTTCACTAACTTTTTAACTATGAAGTGGGCTTCTATATTACGGAGCTGTAGCCAGAGATTGCTGAATCTAGTTCACTACTAATGAATAAAAAAGTAAAGCTTTTAATATCAACTTTACAAATCAATAGAGTAGAACTACGTGAGCTTTCCTCAATGCCAACCATAAAAACAATCCGAAGGTGTCCAGAAATCATCCACAATGTTCTGGTACACCACTAAATGATGCTAATCCCTTTCCAATATCAATAAATTTCAGGTTAAGCAATCATAGAATCAATGTTTCTACCCCCGAGCCAACTAACATGTAATAGCTAGCAAAGACGTAACTAGTTAACACTGCTTATGCCATACAACAAAAATATTTGCAGAGGTCGGAAATAATTATACCTTTTTCAAAAGATGCGAAGGATAAATACCACAATCGCCAGGAATCAAAAACCCATCTAGAAGTCACCATCCAACCGCCAGAGAATATCATCTTCCAACATACGTGGTATTTACAAGTCAAGAAACAATTCTAAATGATAGTTAGGGCTAGTATACATTGATTCTAAGGGTGTGTATGAATGAAAAAGTCTATTTTCTTATTTACACTGAGATGTACAAACAAAGATCTTAGAAATTTACAAATAAGTTCAACATATGAAAAGGTTACATCCCCACATTTTTCTCACTATGAAAATAACGGCCAACCAGCCACCTCAAATACCTTCTGCCATTAGATTATCACATCAATCAACCAAAATGGAAATTCAGACTCTAAGTTCATTAAACTCTTTTTTCCTTTCAATGAGTCAAATTTACCTCACAGCCCCCGACCTTTGATTCATCTATAGTAGAAGACTGTCAAAGTCTCCTTCTGTCCACAGTATTTTGGATTTGATGCGCACAGATGCAAAGTTCATTTCCCATGTTTGCCCCATATTTCATTGGTAAAGTGGCAAAATCCTTAAGCTTGGAACAACAGTATCCTTAATAATTTTACTTTGATGGGTTGACATTCTTAAGACAGTAAATGTAGGGCAAGGACTGAATCATTATATATATCATGTGATCATTCACATTTTCCATGCCTTTAAGTTCATAATTCAACTTGACATGAACCATTTCATATGCAGCAGCACCGTTTTCATCCCTTGGCTATTTGGCTCATTAAATTATTTCATGCCCTTGGCTTCAGGCTCTTTCTTGTGTACGCAATATAAGTCACATGGGGCCTAACATTTGACACACACAAATAATACCAAAATTTTCAGCTAATATAATATATAATGCATTTTTAAATAAAATAAAATAATTTATTAATTAATTTTTTGATCAGTTTGACAAACTAATAATGAGTTGTGACAGTCAAATAAATGATATTGGTTTTCCCAGACGACTGAAGTCTGAGGATAGCTAAGAATAAGTATTGATAGTCAGCATACCCCAAAAGTGAAGATCTTCTGATATTGAATGAGAAAAAATGTCAATAAATCTGGCAACCTAGTGAATGAGATTAGTTCGATCAAGGGAAAAGATTAAGCATCCTCACTGTTTTGAAACTTCACATTGTTAATAGTTTTAAGAAGTTTTAAAAAATATTTAACAATCAGACCAGTCATGTGGACCTAGACTGTTGGACTAAATGGTAATCAGAGAAAAGAGCACATTAAGGTGGCCATGTATGCGAAGTCAGGTAAACTAAGGAGATGAAAACCTACGGAACGTAATCCTCAGCAACCAGGGATGAAGCGTGTTCATTTCTGACTAGGTTGTATGTTCTCCTACTCACCAGTATGGACAATCGAATTTCCAGGATCCATAGATGGGTTGGTAGGAAAACAGCGGACGATGCATGGAATTCGAGAGACTTCTTTGATCCTACAAACCTAGGAGAATACACGGGAATTTTGGTATAGATTACGACAGGAAGACACCCCCTTGGAGAAGCGCTTACCGATTCTACGTGAGTGAAAGAGTAAAGGTAAAGCAAACCGATAACAATTTCATTCGTAAAATAATTTGATTACCAGGAAAAACCGAGGAGCACTCTCCTTCACAGCCATATCAACGCCACACCTGCAGGGACGAGGAACCTGTTGAATGAAAAAATGAATTCAACAAGATAACGAGGAATACAAGGACAACATTCAGAGGCAGGCACATGGGAAAACTTGTCCGCCATTTCGGTCGCCTTCCTGCGAGCAGCATCGTCTTCCGCTCAGCCAACGGGAGGAAATCAAGCGGGTCGATCCAGAGTTCAGCCCGAATCTCGATTTTGACCTTCTCAATCTCTGCACCCGCAACCTCCGGTGAAGATGCCATTCTACGCCACCCTAAATTCGACTTCCCGCCAAATGTCGATTCCGCATATGGATTGCTTTCCCCATCGGGTCTACCACATGTTGAACAACAACACTCTCTGGGACAGCAAGAGCAGAAGAGAGGCACGCGCTAGGGCTCCGGAGGATCAGGAATTTGAAGCGACAACCGACGGGGGAGGAGCAGACGGATTAACGCAAGAAACCTTATCGGAATGGGAGTCCCAGCTTCCAGCGGCGAATTTCCCGGACTATCATCCTCCTACCTTCCCGACGTCAGCCCTCCTCGCTGCCGGAGGGTGGAGCTACCCCGCCACCAGATGCCTAGCGGTCTGCTCCGGCAACGGCGGCCGGATCCAGGTAGCTATTTCCCATGCTCAGTCCAGTTAGAGATTTGATAAATTAATAAAATCTAAGTATATGATTTTTATATATAATGAAATAAAAATATCATTTTATATAAAAAATATTTTCTATAATCCCGTCTACTCCATGAATTCCCTTTTATTGACAGCCTCAAAACAGGAATATATAAATAAATAACAAAAATATTGATATATTTAGAGATATATCATATAATCTATAAATTCTTATTACGTGATATATATATATATCCAAATAAAATAAAATAGTATTTATAAAAATGATTTAATTTCTATAACCCCGCCAACTCCATTAATTCCCTTCTATTGACAACTTCGAAACATGAATATATAAATAAATAATATAAATATTGATATATTTAGCGAGAGTTATCCTGTCACCAGTTGGATATTTGGGCCGGCATAAGGTTGGCGGTCTTCCGGGCAATCTAGGCGCCATCAGAGGATTGGAGCACGGATGAACGGCCAAGATTGAAGAACCCCCAACACTGAAACAAAGGTGAATTTGGAGTGGTAGTTTGGTGGTATCATAAAACAACAGGGTTAAGTTCGACCGTTGCCCTAGTTTGCCTCTCGAGGCTGCTGGCTATATAAATCGCTGACTGCGCCCTACGGAGAGGAAGGAACGGCGCAGCTCATCTCCTCCGATATCAGTTGGTTCTCTCCTCGCCCTTCGCCCATTCCATGCAGTGTTCTTCCCCCTCGATTCGATTTTTTTGGTGGATTTCGCGAGCATCTTCTGGATCTATTGCTTCTCTCGATCCGCATCTCGTTCCGATGGGATGGCGGAAGAGGGAGAGGGGAAGGATGCGAGATCGAAGGAGCCCATTGGACATGCAGGTTCCTTCTCTTCAATGGACGCCATCGCATTTTCTCGAGGGCTCTACATGAATCCTAGGTTTTTCTCTGATATCTCGATTTTTGTTAAGGTTTTTACCTTTCTCGACGATATATGGAGCTCGATGATGATCTCTGCTTTAACCACACCGAAGGGAAGGGCGCCGGCCGACGACGGAGAGGCCCTCCCCCCTAGCGGCGATCTGTCTCTGCGGGGTTCAATAGATTAACTTCTGCGCCTGTGCTTGCTGTTTGCCTCGTGATCCGTCTTCTCCGCACATGCAATGGCGCCTGATCCCTACGATCTGTCCATTGCTGTGTGGAGTCGAGGGGGAAGTCTGTGGTTAGCCCTGCCAGAAGGGAGTTCTGATCCCGTGGAGTGGAGAAGGCGCTGGGTGGAGCAGGGCCTTGCTTGAGGCTGCGTTTGCTTCTTCTGTGGAAAACTCTGGCCTATCCCTGAGAGCTCTTGACTGAACGATTCGTTTCCTCTTCCTCGTTGCGTTTCTGTTTGCGATCCTTTCTCTTCTTCCTGCTGAGATCGAGGTCTCCTGGTAAAGACCAAGACGATATTCCTCGATCGTTCATCTTACCTCTCGAAAATATGGTCGCTGATGAATTTGATTTAATTCTTGCGAGGCGCTATCTATAGATCGAACAGCCGTAAACCTAAATTCTCGAGATGTTCTTGGTATTCATTTTTGTTTTGTTCGCATTAAAATCGAACAAATCGAGCAGTTGCCGAATGCACCATATTGCCAACGAGAATTCAAAAACTCGAACTAATGGAAACTCGTGAATCAAAATATTATTAAATATTTCATTCTCCGAATATCAGTCTTGCGAAATTAGCTCATTGCAGGCGAATTATCCGAAAAATATTGCAAGAACATGGATGAGATTTCTAGACGTCTACTTGTGCGTCTTTAGTATAATTAATGAGAATCCCATGTCTTAGGTAAGAATCCTAAACCAGGTCTCTACATTTCACAGAAACTTACATGAATTTCTTTTCTGGGTCAGTTAATAGGAAATTATCAGAAAATTTTGATGTACCTGAAAATTTGTCTTATTCTTGGTAAAAATATACAGATCCAACAGTTTGTTTCTCTTTAGATCTTTTGGCCTTCAATGAAAAACCTTCATCTAGTTGCCACATTTGACCAATTCTAGGTAACTTGAGAACACAAAATTCTTGCCGATTAGGAAAACCAGAATCAGATCCAATTAAAACAACTTTTCACACAAATTATCTTTGTTGAAAGCATATAATCACTGTCGGTTTACTTAAATGGTTAAAAAAAATGAATCATATTATGAGTTCTTGTTCATATATTTTCATCTATTCCGGGTCCCCTACCCTATTTATAAAAAAATAAATTCAGAAAGTCTGAAAGGACTATTTACAAAGGTGTTGACACACGTGTCAGCATGTGGTTCTTTTGGAAGTGATAGGCGTTCTGATGGGAGTCATGGGATTTACTGGCTCCGAGAGATCCCCCATCACTGGTCAAGGTGTTGACCGACAAGGACTCTATCCAGCTGGGTTGACCTGGGTTTAGCCCAAAAATAGAAAGCGACCATGACAAACAAATAAATGGCGGCAACTACATCCATCTGATGAATCTGTCCGAACGCAGGCGGCGGTGAAGACAGCGAGGGCCGTTGTTTATATATATACAACTCAGAGAAATGGAGGGGATCTGAGGTAAATGGGAGAGAATGAAATAGAATGAGAACTCATTGGAAACTCACGGTTCTAGACGCTCAACGGCAGTCTTGAAGAGGAGAATGTGGACCTTATCGATGGAGAAGTACAGAAAACCTCCTAAGGAATGCGTGACGTACGATCCGAAGCTTGTTCCCACAATGCAGTGCCATGCTGGGCCACATCGAGAGTCAAACTCCTGGGATCACAGTGAGCCAGGGACCAAGAGAGAGAAGGGAGGTCAGATAGAGAGAGAGAGAGAGAGAGAGGGCACAAAAAACTGTTCGGCAGCATCAATTATATTGAAAATAATGAATGAAAAAAAAAAAATTAAATCATGAAAAGGAACCAGTCTAGGTGATGGTGATAATATCATACCCCATGTTCTTCTAAACAAGGGATCAAGAAAAGTCCTCAGACATCCAGTTTTGAGTGTGAGGAAGCAGTCCGAACAATCGTTTTTGATATCAATTAAAAATAAAATAAAAATCTGTACCCGGATCCATGCTAACACTCTAAAACGTTTCACCTCCCCCTCCCCTTGCATGCACTTCCAGCGAATGTTGCAACACAAGAAATGCCCATGAATCGGTTCAATGGAGAAATATGAAAAGCTAACGTTTGACAGCTTTCCTAAATAAGCTGTAAGATGGTTCGGCGACAGTGAAATGTCCCGTTCTAGTGACCATCATGGAAGATTATTCAGATAACATAGGGAATATTTAATTAATTCAGATCCCTTTCTATACGAAAAACATTATTGGACATTGTGCCCAATAAAGTATTTCCCCTTTCTCCCTCTTTCCCCCATTGGAAACTGTGATTTCAGCTTCAATTGCTCGTATCTTTCAGAAGAAGATCTTGCGTTCAGTTCAGCTACAGCTGACCCAATTCGCCTCCAGCTACATGCTCACAGCAGTGAGATTCCCACTCAGATCAATGCAAGCAAAAGCATGAAAGTCTTAATCATTGGAACAGGGGAAATGAAAAGGCGCGCGATTGAGCTGGGGAGGCAAGAGAGATGTTATGTTACCTTCTTCAGCGTCTGAGCGAGACGCTTGCTCTCGAGCTTGGGCATTCCCGCGAGCACCTCCTGGGCGCACCGAAACGCCCGCATCTGCATCTTCGCGGGCATGTCGGCGGCCCTGATGCAGACCTTGCCCTGGGAGGCCCTGACGCCGGCGGTCCCTCCGCTGGCGCTGCAGCCCTCCTGAGTCTTCCGCTTCTGCTTCTCCTGTGGCTCCGGGGCCTTCTCGCCCTTGGCGTCCCCCTCCCTCCGATTCTCCATAAGCACCTCCCCCTCCTTCCCCAGCGCGCTCTTCCCCTCCTCTTGCCTCTCAATTATTCCCTCTGCTTTCCCTCTTCTGCTGAAGAGGATCTCTCAGGTGCCTGCCCGAGAGAGAGAGAGAGAGAGAGAGAGAGAGAGAGAGAGAGTCTGATGAAAGTAGAATCGGATGGGGATGTCATTAACCTTCACCCATGTTTTGACCAAAGTTCTCTACCGCCTCCTCCCCCGAGGTGAATGGATCCATGGATCTTGACTGTTTCAGCGGCGCCCTACATGCCCCTAACTTGTTTTCAGTGCTCCAGGGGCCTCCGCCACCGACTCTCGCGATCGTCATCATCTGCCTTCCAGCTGCGTTCCAGAAGAGGACCAGCGTCGGCCAGCTTCCCCGGAGATGCGCCGCCGCTTTTGAGCCCTCGGTCAACGCCTGCTCCGCCACCCCGGCCTGCCATCCCCTCATTTTTCCGAGTAAACCAGGTGACGACCAGTGGAACCCTCCTACTAAGGGCCCCTTGGGGACCCTCTTTTTAGTTTTAAATACATATTTAATTGTTATTTTTGAATTATTAGTAACCACGATTATAATTTTTTGATGCATTAATAATAATAATTCAAGCGTCAACGTCAAACAATTACTGCAACAACTATTTTCATATTATTCTTCTCTCTCCTCTCCTTTGTCTCTCTCTCTCTCTCTGGACCCTCTCTACCCGCATTCTACACGTGGAAGACATTACTCACTCTCTCTCTCTCTCTTTCTCTCTCCCCACCCCATTCACACATTGCTGGGCAATAATAAATTTATTTTTTTGGTGTAGATAGATTACGTAGAGTGAAAATAATAACGGGAGAAAATATCACGGAACCCATGGTACTGAGATTCATTAAATAAATAAATATTTATTTATTTATTTATTGTCACAATTGGTTTATTGGACATGTACTAAAGTACATTATGTAACTATAGAAAATATTGCAACCATTAAATACATATATTTCCTTTTAAAAAATAAATTCGAAGAAATCCCATTGAATACATATATTTACAAATAATTATTTCCACATCTATATATATGTAGAGAGAGAGAGAGAGAGAGAGGAGGAGAGGATGAAATGCTGGTATTGGGGCGGAGAGATGAGGGGGGTTTGGGCCCATTGAAGGGTGACGTGGCGAGATCTTTCTTGTGTTGCAAGAACGAGAGAGAAGAGAGCACCAGAAAACCCTAGGAACGGCCGAGGGTTTATACCTTGTCCTTCTCTCTCCTCAGTCTCGACCTGCTTCCTTCCTTCTCACTCCTCTGCGAGCTTCGAGGGCGACAATGGCGGGGGGTAGCCAGTTCGCCGTGTCCTTCCTGACGAACGTGGCGAGGGTGGCGTTGGGGCTGGGCGCCGGCGCCGCTCTGCTCAACTCCTCTCTCTACACCGTCGACGGCGGGGAGCGCGCCGTCATCTTCGACAGGTTTCGCGGGGTCCTGGAGAGCACCGTCGGCGAGGGCACCCACTTCCTGGTGCCATGGCTGCAGAAGCCCTACATCTTCGACATCCGCACCCGCCCCCATTCCTTCTCCTCCGCCTCTGGGACGAAGGATCTCCAGATGGTGAATCTGACCCTCCGAGTCCTCGCCCGCCCCCAGGTCGAGCGGCTTCCAACGATCTTCACCACCTTGGGGCTCGAGTATGACGAGAAGGTGCTCCCATCCATCGGCAACGAGGTCCTCAAGGCTGTCGTTGCCCAGTTCAACGCCGATCAGCTTCTTACGGACCGGCCCCAGGTCTCTGCCCTCGTCCGTGACAGCCTCGTACGCCGAGCCAAGGATTTCAACATTGAGCTGGACGACGTCTCTATTACTCATCTGTCCTACGGTCCCGAGTTCTCGCGGGCCGTCGAGCAGAAGCAGGTGGCGCAGCAGGAGGCCGAGCGATCGAAGTACGTGGTGATGAAGTCTGATCAAGAGCGACGTGCCACTGTCATTCGGGCTGAGGGTGAGAGTGAGTCAGCCCATCTTATCTCTGAAGCCACGGCGAAGGCTGGGAATGGTTTGATTGAGCTGAGAAGGATCGAGGCGTCGAGGGAGATCGCTGCTACACTGGCCAAGTCGCCTAACGTCGCTTATCTCCCTGGAGGGAACAACATGCTTTTGGCTCTCAACCCCTCGGCTGGCGGCCGGTGATTGCCCCTCTATATCATTACCATCTTTTGCTTCTTGGGGTGGGTATCGGCTTATGATGTTCATGTCCGATGTGAGAAGCTGCTTGAATCAGACTTCCTTTCTAAAGGGCTTTGAATCTTTCTCTCTGAGATGTGGCTAGTCCCGATGGTATTCAGAATTTTCAGTCCGTTTTATCTTGATATCCAGACGAATAATTTATACTCAGGCCTTCAGGATCTGCGATTGCTGCGGTATTATTGATTGCAAGATGCTCTTGTGATCAGGCTGCAGTAGCTGTTGTTGGTTGGAATGTTATATGCTGTTAATTTCTTTCCTGCAGTTTTTCTACTTCTTTGGAATGGAGAATGTTTGTTTCGGTTTTAGTATAGGCACTTCCGTGATCCTTATGACAACTCGTTCCTCTATTCTTCTCTTTGAAGTACTTATCTGGTTCTTTGGATGTGCTCAAACTTCATTTTATACTATATCGTATAATCTCTGATCCGTGTTCTCTTGGTGAAAATTAAAGTTGATGCGAATGCTTTTTTCTCACTCATTAAGAGACAAGTAGAGTATTGTTAGGATACCATAATAATTATTCTTTAATTTCCTTATGTCCCTTCTTCCTGGGAGCCTGTTGATTTTGAACGACCTTCGGGGGACGCTCTTCACTTCCCCGGACACTTATTTCCCACCATCTTGTGTACCTATCTATTTTAAACATTGAATCGTCTTCTTCTGGTGACTGCCTTCGATCAACATCCCTATGACTGGTGAGCTGTGGAAGGGCAGGTTCTACTTTGACATCAAATTCATGCTTTTTGAAGGAAAATGGAAGAAATGATGGAGCTGGTGGACAATAAAATCGACAATGATGATAATGATTATAGTGACGCAGATATGGCTTCTCTTGTAGATGTCCACTGTTGAGAAATTTGAACATTTTAATTTCCCATGTGTTTGATATGAGATTTCTTTCAGTCAGTCATCTGAAAACGTTCATACCTTGATTATCATCTTTGACATGTTATATATTCGGGCATTCTTTGCTGGATCTTCTTGCTGCAGATTGATGTAGTGATTTAAATTCACAAATGCATAATCCTATTTGATTTTCGTGGGCACTCGCCGGCAGTGTCTGTGTCCTGCAGATCATAGCGGATAACTTTATCTTCCAGCATATCTTTGTATGATATAATGGGATGGCTTGGATATCTTGTGTCCTGGGCTAAGATTATGCTTGAATACATGCTACTTACCGACTGTCAATGAGTGCCTATTTTGTCTAGTGTTTCTTTACTGATATATGTGTACTTAGTAGCAAGGAGCTTAATATGCACACGATAAGGGATTTTAGATAAGTTACGTAGATGGTGGTTCCATTGGTACATTTTGAAGTCTTCGTCTCCCTCATTCACATGCTCTGGTGTCCACCATTAATGATGGCAATCTGAATTCATTTGAAAGACTAAAGCCCTTTTAAACTCATTCTAATCGATTTCGAACCTGACGCAAAACCCTTTGTATCATTTGAGATCATTTTTCTTCAGCAATTCATCTGTTACTTCCTATTGGTCATTTGATGTGCCAATTTAATATTTTTTTTAACTGCTCATGTCATGGATTCAAGTCTTGGCGGGCCTCTGATAGATTCCCATCTGGTGTAAGGAGTTGAATCGCAGAAGCATTTGCTCATATTATTTCCGTGGTATAAGGTGTTCTTAGTGGGTTCCCTCTTCCCGACTCGGCCAACCTGTGAATTTGGTTCTTGAACCCAGTGGCGACTTGCTCAAGCAGATCTCTGAATGTAGTCTCAGGCTGTCCTTGAAAAGGCCAATGCACGATGAAGATTGGTGATTCATTGACTTGGCAATGTGTAGAGCCAGATAATTAGAACTGGAGTGAAGAGAATCCAGCAACAGAAGGTATCTGAATCTCAAGATCTAGGTATTTGGCTCCTAACTTTCACGTTATATATGCCCAGAAGGCAATTAATGAAAGAAACGCATTAAAAAGTATGGAATCGGATCATGGAATACTAACATTCATCAGAGTGGGAGCAAGATATATATGTTGCTATTTCTTTGGAAAACTGTTTGTTGTATCAGCATGTCAGTAACTTTACACCGGTGACCAGTGAGTACACTATCGCTTGCCTCTTCACAAGAAACAAGACTGCTTTCCTTGGGTTTGCTGCAGTATTCATCAGTGCCTCATCGAATTGCATCTCTTGACTGACTTGTTGGGTCAATTTATTTGTGTATGAAACTGACCAAGATTTGAGATTTATTTTAAACCTTATTTGTGTATGTGAGTCGAGATTTAGCTGCTGCCTAACCATTCCATTTTAGGAGGTCCAAATGAGCAATTGCAGAGAACGATTCAAAAACCTGTGCCAGCATTGAGTACTCATCTTGGAGTAAAGTGGGAATTAGAATGAGGTGTGGGAAATAATCTGAGGGGCAGAACTTATACATATGAAAATATCTGATCCATTCGAGGGCAATTTTGGTAGTCTTTCCAAAATCATATGACTATCATATATAGGAAGCGGTGTAATTCTGGGAATGAGAAGATATTAAAAAAAGAGGCAATTTTCAATTTTTGTTTTTTTTAATTTTTTGAATAGGGAGTCTTTCCATTCTGAATTCTTGTATAGTGTGAAGCCTTGTAGGGATGATTAGAGTCTGACTCCTGTTTCAAAGAATGACCAATTTTCCATGGAGAATTTGCTGAGATCAATTAAATCACGATATCTCTGATTAGTTACATGCATAATGCAATGCTATACACATTATATAAACTCCGTGCCCGTCAAACCTTGCTTTATTAGTGGTATACATGCAAAATGCATTATATATAATATATTAATCAGTTCGATTTTACTGTAGAAAAAATATTTCATCAGTAAAATATTTGTTTAACCTCATTTTTTTTGCCAAGCATATCTTACAAGATCTAATTCACATAAATGAATTCTTTCCTGGTTTAAAGACTGTTCAAATCCGATAAACCTACCTCTATTTACTTCACACACCGGCAAGAAAGAGCTACTGAATCTCATTAAGTAGAAGTACCGTTGCTTAATCTACGATGTTCATCAGCAGCACAACTCCGACCAAGATCACCCGGCCATTCAAGTCAGAAACCCTCCACGGTTCAACTCAACTCCAAAGGAAGGCAAAGGGGAGGGCGTGTCGTTTGGTTCCTTCTTTCTGCACAAAATTCTGGGTTTCCCCAGCTCAAAAACCCGGAGAGCGGAACTACCCTGCGCTTCTAGATGCTGACAAAAGGCCTCAGAGGTTTCAGTAAGAAGGCTCAAATAACGGCAAGGAGGAGAAGAAGGGGGAGAGGAAATAACTTGAGAAAGACCGGCACTCTTGAGTCCGCCAGTCTGGGATCTGTACTCTGAACAACAATCCCTCCAAGGGGAAACCTGATATTCCTCCGCCCTACTATGCGAGAAACAGCACCAAGCAAGCGAAAATCACCAATCTCTCTCTATCTCTCTCTCTCTTTCTCTCAGGAGGTGTTCATGGCATCCGCGTGATAGCTCTCCAGTTCCTTGTCCAAGTCTTCTGCCGACTTCTCGACAGATTGCTGCGCCCTGCCGCGCCCACGGCCGCCGCCGCCGCCGCCGCCGCCGCCGCCGCCTCGGCCTACACGGCCACCAAAACCACGGCCAATGCCGCCGCCGCCGCCGCCGACGCCTCGCCCACGGCCCCGGCCCACTTGGAAAGCGCCACGACCTCGCCCGCTGCATGGAAATCGGGTGGGCATTGCTAGTCAGGACCCAGAAAACCAAAAACAAGGGAGCGAAGTAGAGGTCTTTGAATCTTTCATAGCCCCTTGATTCACATTTATCCCCAAGAATCATACGCTCGATTGATCTTAGTAGGGGAGTAATATTTTTTTTTATAATTTTGTGGAGCAGGGGGGGAGACAAAGCTGGTAGGTAAGGAACTCACCCACGAGAAGCATTGAAGATAGTACCGCCCACAACAGGTTCGCCCAGCCTTGGCCTGCATATTAATGGAGGCATCAACATGGGAGGAAGAGAAGAAAATTGCACTGCTGGGAAGCTACCTCAAAAAAGGAATCAACATAAATCACATGGAGATTCAGCAATTGCTTCTGTTTTGATGGGAATAGAAGGGAGCAAGCTATTGAAGAAGAAGAACACTCGTTATTGAGAAGGCAGGCTTCTTACAATCACAATCAACCCGGGGGGGTTTGGGGGGGGGGGGGGGGGGGACACTGAATCCCTGACCTAGATGAACAGCAGTTTTTCATCTATGGGCCAAACTATCCAGTGTGACCAAGCTAGGCTAGGTCTATTGCATGATCCAGAGTTTTCTGAACCTCAGTCACAAAAAAGGGGGAGCCGTGGGAGCCTGACCAGCTTAGCTCGAATGATTTTTCTTGATAGGATCTCAAAAAGTGGGAGAAAGAAAAATTATTTAAATGCACGAAGGTAATCAAACAAACCTTCGAATAGGCATGTTTGAAAGGGCATGGATAATAATACGAATTGAAAGGGGGAAATATTTATTCAACTTACGTCATAACTACCGTCCTTCTTCCTCTTCCATTTGCCCCAACAACTTTGACATGGGCAGAAACAGGCAAGCCCGAATCAGAACCAATGATTTCAATCTTCATCGCTTTTCCATCCAGCTGGACATTGTTATAGCGTTTCAAGGCAGCAAATGCGTCACTTCTCCTTACAAAGACAACTTCAGCTGAGCCCTGTTTAAAGTTCTTCGCGAGCATTAGCAATTAATCTAGAGAAAGATTCCATTCACATATATAAGCAGGTAAAGCTAATGCTTCTGCATTTGATATTTACATGTTGGTTGATGTAGAGATATATATATATATATATATATATATATATATATATATATATATATATATATATATATATATACGTGTATATGTTAATCCCATCTGCCATAGTTTTTATAAAGAAGAAAAATGGAAAGGCTGCACAAAAAGGGAGTAATACAATGCAGAGCTTTCAAAAGTAAAATAACAAAAATAACTGAATAGTAGATAAATGATTTAATACACAAATGATAAAACTGTTGATAATCAACCCCCACGTCAGAGGAAAAGAGAATATTCAAGCCTTTAAGAGAGGCATATATATAACAGGTCAATGAGAGAAATTTGCGGCTGATTTTCATTCGGAATTCAATGGTTCTAAAATGACATAAAGCCGAATCACGTAAGGATTTTAGTCAAGGATGAAAGCAAATATAGTCCAAAGGGAAGATCAATGTACATGTTGGAAATAAAGCTCTTTTATGAATTGGGACGACTTGTTCTGGTGTAAACCGGGAACAATTGAGGTTTTTAAGACAGTCTAGGAGGTGAATCACCGACTTACTGTTTAGCTGACAAGGTCTGACATTAGGTGACGTCCAGATGAGGATCAGTCTCATGAAAATAAATTAATTATTACATAAGTTACAAATAATATGTAAAAATAATGATAAAACCACACGATACAGGTGTCATATTCTGATGTCAAATTATTCACATCCTTCAAACTTACATTGAACATAAATATTAGTTTATTATTGTCTACCATTTTTTGAGTCCCTGTTTATGAATGTAAATTTGCATTTCGCAAACCTTGCATTGGTATCCTAGACACCTTAGCTGTCCAGACTACTTTCTCACCATATGGTGGTGGCAAAGAACATGTGAACTCCTACTGGGACCTTTGTTCAAATGCTGCGAACAAAGATGCCTTTCTAGAACAGCAGACTATTCAACGTTCCGATGCCTGGTAAGTGGTGGATCACTCTAATCCTCTGCTTTTTTTTAGGACATTAACAGTATTGGTAAGTGGAGACCAGAGGAAGATAAAGTATTGATGGAGAAATAAATTACGTTGATACTTCCATATGCTATAGGTAAGACATGTCACCTCTGTTTTCCCCGTATATCTTACACAATATATTTCAGGATTAAATCAAATCAGAGTTCGTCAATTCCTGCAAAATTTAATGGAGTGGGCTCAATAGCTCCAACATTTTTTCTCTGACCACCTTCCACCCAAAGGCCCCTAGGCATGATATTATATGCCTTCGAGAAAGACAAATGATATGACACAATGAGAAGTATTTGGTGATCAAGTGGTATTAAGGAAAACATGATTAGTAGAGAAGTGCGTTTGTCGCACTTTCTACAAGCTCAGGACAAAAGTCATAAAAGGATGATCTCAGGAGCATTTGAGGCATCATCAACTGTAAGAAAACATTTTATGGTGCCAAGCGAAGGATCCACTGGGCCAATTGATCTGTAGCCATCCGAGGAACGGAGGAAAAAAGGAGTAAAAGTTGGGGTTGAAACAATCCCTTACGGAATTCGGTTTAAGTGAAGAACGCTCCAGTGCAGCAACATCTCATATAGCGAAGCAACATGGAAAGATTTTTCATGACGCCACGTCAGCTAACGAAAAGGCACAGCAGGACAAGAATGAAATCAAAACCCAACTCCTCCATTTAATTTTAAACCAACTAGTCATGGAGTTCACTGATCGAAGACACTGTTTCAAGAAAATCTCAGAATAGAAGTTAAGGCATCATCTCCAGTCATTAAAAAAAAAAAGAGGGAATGCAATGTTCTATATAAAAGGAAATTGGGCACCAAGATGAAGCTAACCTACGACTTCTATCGATAGTTCTGGAAAACAGAATCTGAGGATAATATTTTAATCTATTAGGCACCCAAACTCCACTTAGTCCTTCAAAATAAAATATAGCAAATAAGTAGTAAAGTTTCAAGCTCATCTCCCTCTAAAGTGGTGACGCAGCTGCGTAAATATCATTGTTTGCTTATTACGTTGTACGTGAGTGGTGAAAACTGACAGTTCAAGATAATTATAGTACTTCTAAGGTTTAAAGACATTATTAACCTTATGGATTAAATAACGTGCCATCTTTTTGTGAGACAATCAGTGGACAGCGTTTCATAGGCTATAAAAATGTCTTCCGTTTAAATATGTTAGTGAAATTGTAGAAATGGGGAGAAGTTAAATTGAGATCCGACTGAGAGGAGTTCAGCAGAAAGAAAATCAGAAGAATTTTTTACCGTCATGACATCAACTTGACCAAAGACCGACATAGGATCACGGAAACAGGATGTAAGGAACAAATCCATGATATGGGCCAATGGTCTGTCTCTGAAGTACGTGCCGGCCCATTAAGATGACCAGGAAAAAAGCTGGTTCTGTCCAAGATAACACAGCTGAACTTCAAATCTTTTTAGGATGATCAACAGACAATGAAATTGAAAAGGAGAATTCAACCATTTTCATTTTTGCAGAGCTACGAAATCTTCCCTGTCAGATACAAGAAAGATTCCTCTAAGTAGTACGCAGACAACTGCTTATGCTGAATAAAGATGAGGTAATAGCGGAGAGGAAGAAAGAAGTTATGTAGAAAGTGGAAGAACAAATTCAGGTCAATTGCTGAAAACCTTTAATTCAAGCAGCAAATGATAAGCGATAAATCATAAGACAAATATTTAGCCGTCAGATGCATCCAAAACAAATTATTCGCTGTCCACTTCGAGCATAGATGGAGTATTGAAATGGTTCCACGGCACTGCAACTACTCCCACAATAAGCTATTTGAGGGAGCATGGTAATATGCTCAGGTTTTCTGTCAATGAAATGCTATTATTTTATTTCTCTTTTAAAACTGAAAAGGATAATTGGAGTAAATGAACAATGTTGCTGAGGGGTCATTACAAAAAGATTCTGCCAATACATTGAGCTGCCAATACAACTGTAAACATAGTAAAATGACAGAACTTACACTTGAACGGCCATTCCTATCATAGTGTAGTGTGCTCCTCCTCAGCTCGCCAAGCTCGGAAAATAACTCCTGATTTGAAACCCAAACAAAGGCAAAAGAACTGCTTTTCAGATCTTCAGGATCCCCGACATGGAGGAAACAACTTCAATGTACGAAATAGCATGATGGGATAGTTTAGCTGCTCCGACCAACACACCTTTATATCTTCGTTGGACACACCATAGTCCAAGTTGGAAACATATAGTTTTGTGCCAGTTTCAACTCCTCTAAGTCCAGCGGCAATCATGCTATCATTAAACAGATCAGGTCGCCGTATCAAGTCCGTTGCTCTGCTGAAAGACTATGTATGGGCGAAGAACATCCATATTGGCAGAAGAACGTGTTAGCACAGAATCACGAAACAGGATCAACTCCACATTCTTCTGGAGTTTAGAGGTCATAAAATTTTCATAACAGTAACATAAAGCTTTACTACTCTAGTAGTCACTACTGTTGAAGTTCTTGTAGCCCAGTTTCAAAAAATTAACTAATTTCAAATGAAGCACACAGCTAACAGATGGTAGTAGAGAGTCCTCCCAATAGGCAAATGCTGATCAGAGACAATGGTGAGATTCCAGTTCTGACAGAGGTGTAACCCAAAAGCTCCTTGGCATGAAAATCCATAAGAATCTAACCAACTTAAGGTCCACAATGCCGAAATATCACACTGCAGGACCATTCCTTGCGATCCCCATTCAGCATCCACTTGGATTTCGAGAATCCATCTGTCGTGCTTCATTTTTTTTATGAAGTGCAAGTCATGAATTCAACACACTAGAAACCCAATTCTCACAGTCAAAATGCCTTTCATTGAGCTTGCCAAGTTTCCAAGAAGATAGTAATCCTCCCTTCCATTTACGTGTTTCTATAGCATTGCAGTTTCTTGAACAAATGCAAAAAATATTAATGATTTTTGGCTTGCCTTGGCAGTCTTGTAAGCTGATGGACGAGTATTCACACTCAGAAATCCTTGATGGAGCATCCCAACTGCTCGTCCACGAGATGGACCACCTCGCCCTCGAACCCAGCCCCGGCCACGTCCACGACCTCTCCCTCTTACGCCAATGTTTCTATTTTTTATCATATCATCCAATGACATATCCAAAGAAGTTTCCATGAAATCGGTTTTCAAAAGCTCGTGATAATACAAGAACTAGACCCTGCCAAGAAAACCGAAAGAATTTAGCCACGTAGTTTAGCAACAGCTAACAGAATTCCAATTCAGTGAAAGCACATAATGCAAACACCCCTGCGTAAACGTTCAAAATGACACTTGTGTTCACAAGTAGCCTCTAGTAACTGCTTCCATGCAGTCAGTCATCAGTCAGGTACCCACGCTCAGGCTAAACCTCAAGCTTGTATCGTCGAAACAGAAGGGTATGATAAGCACATGTGATTTATCCAAGTTACCAAAACTAAAGGAGCCATGTAAAATAGTCATCATTAATCGCAAAGTTAAGGGAGAAATAAGGCAACAAAGTGGAAGAACGAAATAACAGAGAAGCAGCGACTAATAAGACATGGAGACGTAAGGTAAGGAAATCACTAACGGTATCAACAAGTAACTTATCAACAAAAGGAAGCCACTGATCTGCCCAGAAGGGACGGATCAAACAATAAAACACCCTAAAAAAGATAAAACTACGGAAGTACCATCTGCATTCCTTCTATACGAAACAGGAACGGCAATCGTGGGGTCGTCTCCAAGGAAGGGCAGAGAGACCACATGATTCACGTAACAATCCTCAACGGCGGTCGTGAAACCGTGACGCCAACCGCAATCGAAAGAAAAAAGTCGGGAATTCGACATAATCCACTAATTAAAGCTTCAACGCCCGCTTCCCGGCGGCAGACGCACAAAAAAAGGACCGTAAACAGAGCCAGAGGGGTTACCCGAATGGAATACACAGTCGCCTTCTCCCCCGGCACAAATGACGATCCTCGAAAGCTTCTTTTGCGCAGAGATGGAGGCTCAAACACCAGCGGAAATCAGACACTGAATGGCGCGACGCCGGAAGGAGAAGAGAAGGCAGAATAGCGAAAGATAATATCCAAGACTCCGAGGGCTGAATCCTGGCGAGCAGATGAGAGCGACAACCTTGGGAAGAGGGAAGAGAACACGCTCAAGAACGGGTTTCCTCACAAACGAAGGGGACCGCAATAACAATTTCTAGGGTTTCTCTCTCTCTCTCTCTCTCCCCCAAGAAGGTTAAATGTGGCTGGGCCGGAAAACATGACGTCATCATGCCATCACATGGAGCATCACGGATTCCACTTAAGGGCATTTTCGTCATACCGTCCTAAAACCCGGGGGTCGTTACACAATTTTTAACCGATTTATTAATGCACTTTGACCTCCGATAATTTTAAATAATTATTATAATTCGATAAAATCGGTCACCGGTCGAAATCCAAGTTTTCACGTCAGAACCCAGTAAACTTATTTGTTATCACCAAAAGAAAACATTTGACCCAAAATTGTGGATACCCCCTCTAATCGCTTCAAATTTTCCCATCTAGATATCTTAGACTGATGTTATGCCCTTTGAGAACGATCTATATCGCGCACATATGCCCCTTTAAAGAGATTTTTATACTCTTCTTACTTCTAGAAAGGATTAATAACTCCCTTCTGAAAGAGTCAAGGGTATATTTACAAAAACGTAGGGGCAGATGGAAAAGAAAAAAACGTTTCGACCTTTCATCTTCTTCTCCATGCCGCCGCGTGTGGGAAGGATGAACAAATCCTTGTGAAACAGTGGGAGGAAGAAAAAAATCACGCAGAGGGAAGATGAACAGACAGAAGAGTAATCACAGGCTCGGGGCAGATCCCCAGCGAGGAGAAGGATCGGGAGGAGGATGCAAATGGAGAAGGTACAGGAGCTCGGAGGGAGAGACGAGAAACAATAATGGCGTAGATGATGATCGATCACCTGGCTGGAAGAGTGGCGGCCATTTTTGAAGCTGCTGGTGTTGGTGGTGCTATACCTTCTGCTGGTCGTCAGAACGGGAGCTGGAGCGGTGGATCTGCTCGATGCGGGAAACTATCTCCGGCATGGCGGGGCGCTTATCGGGGTACTGGGCGGTACAGTCAATGGCGAGCTGGAGGAGCTGGACCATCTCGTCCTCCACGTCCTGGTATCGGAGAAGCTCTGGGTCGAAGACCTCGGAGGCCCACTCCTCCTTAACGACGGACTGCACCCAGCGGGGGAGATCGACGGCTTCTTCGTTGAGCAGCGCCTGCGCAGGGGCCTTGCCGGTGAGAAGCTCGAGGAGGAGGACGCCGAAGCTGTAGACGTCGGCCTTCTGGGAGATCCGGTGGGAATCGGTGACTTCCGGGGCCCGGTAGCCTGAGAGGCGGCCGGAGAAGGGGGAGGCGACGGCGCTGGCGAGGGGGGCTAGGCCGTGGTCGGAGACGAGGGCGGTGCCGGAGAGGAGGAGGACGTTGGAGGACTTGAGGTTACCGTGGGAGGCCGATGGGGAGGTGGAGTGGATGTAGGCGACGCCGCGGGCGGCGTCGAGAGCGATCTCCACCCTCGTCCGCCAGTGCAGCGGGGGACGCCCGGTTCCTTTGGTGCCTGTAAAATAGTCGACACATCGATCGATCGATCAGAATCCACCTTCTTCCCTGGTTTTCGATAGATTCTTGCTCCGGTTTGTCTAATTCCGACTGGTTCGGAACCGTTCGACGGAATTCCCGGAGGTCGAAGACCAGGAAGTAGTGATCTTAAGCAGGAAGAGAAGACAGGAAAGTAGGAAGCGGAAGACAGGAAGAGAGGAAGAGAGAAACGCGAAGAGAGGAAGAAAAAGAGGAAGAAGAAGAGGAAGGAGAGAGGAAGAGAAAGAGGAAGAAGAGGAAGCGGAAGACGAAAAGAGGAAGAGGAAGATGAAGAGAGAGAGGGAAAGAGAAAAGAGGAAGATGAAGAGGGAGAGGGAGAAGGTGAGAGGAAGAGGAAGAGGAAGAAGAAAGGAAGAAGAAGAGGAAGAATGGAGGGGCTTACCGTGGAGGAGGGAGGAGAGGCTACCCTCGGAGATGAAGTCGTAGACGAGGAGCTTCTCGTCCTTGCTGTAATAGTAGGCTCGAAGGGGAACCAGATTACCGTGGACCATGGCGCCGACGGGTTCGATCTTCGCCCTGAATTCCTGCTCCGGGAGCTCGACGTCCCTCAGCCTCTTCACGGCCAGCACCCTCTCGCTTTCCAGCACCGCCTTGTAGGCAGTGCCGAAGGTCCCCTTCCCGAGCACCTCCGCAGACGCCCTGAGCAGCTCCTCCACGTCGAATACTCTCGCATCTGATCCGAAGAACACCAGATTCTTGCTCGCGCCGCTGTTCGATTCTCCCCTCGCCGCCACCACCGCTGCTGAAGCAACCGCCGCGGAAGCAGCAGCTGCGGCGGCGCCGCCTCCTCCGGGGGCATCCCCTTTGGTCCTCGTCGATGCCTCCGCCCCCGGCGAGTGCGGAGATGCAGCAACCTCCACAGACCTCGTCCTGTTCTCCCTCCTTCCTCCGCAGAAAAGGAAGAATAGCAGCAGTGAGAGGACCAGGAACCCAACGACGGAGCCAATGGCGATGCCGGCGATCGCTCCACCGGACAGTTTCTTCTTCTTCCTGTTTCCGCCATCGTCAGGGGGGGTCGGTTCAACAGGAGAAGGCGCTGGCGAGGGGACCTCGTCGGGGCAAGGACTGGAGGGCAATCCGCAGACATCCAAGCCGAAGAAGGCGCTGCCCGGCATCGTCCGGAGGCTCCTAGGGATCGAGCCATTGAGCCGGTTGAAGGAGACGTTGAACTGGTCCAGAGTGAGATTGAAGTCGGGGATCTGGCCAGTCAACTGGTTCCCCTCGAGGAACAGGGTGCGCAGGCGCTTCAGGTTCCCGATCCCGGCAGGGATGCTGCCGGCGAACGCGTTTTGGGCGAGATTCAGCCGGACGAGGTTCCGCAGTGAGAGAATGGAAGAAGGGATCTCGCCGGAGAAGCGGTTGTTGTGCAGATAGAGATTCCGCAGTTCCCCAAGGGCCGCCAGGTCCGCCGGCAGCCTCCCCGAGAGGCCATTGAAGCGGAGGCTCAGAGTCCGCAGGCCGGTGAGGTTGCCGAGCGCGCCGTCAGGTATCCGGCCGTAGAGCCCCACGCCGGGGAGGCGGAGGATGGAGACGTTGCCAGCCTGGCAGGTGACCCCCTGCCATGAACACGGCGAGGAGGAGGACGCGTTCCACTGCAGCACGGATCTGCCGACGGCGTCGCGAAATGCCAGCAGAGCCGCCTTGTCCGACTCTAGATCAGGCTTCCCCGGGGGAAACCAGGAGAACAGGAAGAGAAAGAAGAGGAGGGGAACCATGGCCGGAGGCAACAAACCCGCCGCCATCGGCCTCGTCGCCGCCGTCAAAGATCAACTTCCAGAGGCAGCACCATCAACGCCACCTGCTCCCCTTCCTCTGCAAGGAGCGCGGGGACCAGAGCCTCCCGGAACAGGCGAAGAAGAAGAAGAAGACAAAACCCTAATTCCACCGCCGGTGAACGCGCTACACGAAGGGGATTATCTATCCATGAATATAGTTGATTAATGCTTTTGGGGCCCACTTAGGATCTAATTTTCCTCCGGTAAGCTCACCTTCCGTCTAGAGACGTTGACTTTCTGACCATGAAACGTCAATCTCCGACAATTTCATCCCTCTACCAGGTCATCGGTCGCCGGTGGCTGCAACCGCCCCCCCATCAACTCCCCCCGTCTCTGACGGCGGTGGAGCACCGTCCGTGGGGGAATAACTCCGTTGACTCCGTCAATTTCTTGCTATCCGAATGGCAAGCTCTGTGGAAGGATAGAGGCCCTGGTATTTCGGCGGAGAATTAGTCAAAACCCACGGGGAGGAGGCCGATAGAGGAAAAGCTAACGTTGACTGTTGATATATACTACAAACCAAGATTATAATCATTGGTCAAAACCACTACCTCCAGAGCGGGTTTGTCCTTTTTTTTTTTTCCCGGGCGCGGATGAAGAGTAATCATTGGAATCCCAATCACGGGTAATTCCTGAAAAGTTCAGAGTTTATTTTTTTTCAGTAATTAAAGAATTGCGGTTCCTGATAAATGGGGGCCATTAATTCACAGTGATGTTTTAATGATGACTTGGTCTTAGTAGCCACGTCAGGCTTGTTCTCAACGGCCGCCGTTGACCGCCGCTTTCAGCGCGCCGCAGTAGGATGCGTAATGGATGGGGCTTCAGGTGTAGGATGGTTTAAAAAAAAATAAAAAAAAATAAAAAACTCGAAGAACACGAAAGAAGGGTCGGATAATTATCCTTTAAAATTTAAGTAATTATCGTTGACTTGCTCCCCTTCTAGACTTGCTTCTTTTCTAACTTGGGCAAGAATATTGAATAAAAAGGATTGAAAAACATGGGCCCTTCTTGTTCAAGGCTATATGGGTTTTCCTTAATAATTATGTTTTCTGGATTGGAAATGAATTCTTATTTGGGAAAAACATGGATGAAAGGCTAATGAACCCTAGACAAGTAGAAACTGCAAGAGATGGATGAAGGGTGGGGAAGGGAAACCCTGGAGTATCTACAAGGATAGAAGAAGATAGTAACATCATCCACTATCTATTTAAGTTAATTGGTGGAGGCACCACAACATATCACAAGAAAAAACATAGGATATGATCAGGTAACTTGTATTCATATAGGTTGGGGACCCTCTTTGATTATGATATTGTTCTTCACCTTGAAGCTTTTTGATCTCACCTGTTTGATTGCAACAAGTGTCCTAAGTTGGGATCCACAGGTTGATTCATCTCCAAAATAAAAATCTTCACACAACAAAGAAGACCCTCAAATCTAGCATGAATATTTTCTTGACTTTGACAATTTTTTTTTAATTATTATTACCTTGAAGAACTTTGTTAGCAAAGAAGAGTTTTTTGATCTCCCACAACAAAAATCTTCACTCACATCTCCTCCTCTATTTATAAAATGCATAGTTCCTCAACTATGGCAATGCCCATTAGTACTAGCAAATTAACTTTGTTAGCAAAGATTAACACACTAAGGTGGGATCTACAGGTTGAAGCATGCATCACCCATAAAAGGAATCTTCACACACATTCCTCCAATTATAGAATACATAATTCTTCCACTATGATGGTGTTGTTTGATATTACCTCCAAGAACTTTGTTAGCAATGACAAAGTTTTTGATCTCATCTGTTAGATTGTAGAAAGTGTTCTTAGTTGGGACCCACAAGTTGGTGGATCTCTCACAACATAAATCTTCACTCACATCCCCTACTTTGCTATATAATGCATAGTTCTTTGACTATGATGATATTCTACATCCTTTTTAGTCCTATATAAAAGTATTACTATGTAACCTCAACTTATTTAATCCAAGTATTTTGAGTTTATCACTTGCGTTATCTTGTTCTTCCTTTGCTTTTGGATTCAAACACTTGGATCTTGTGAACGGGGCTGCTGGGGCTACACGTGCCGGTGGTCGTCGGAATGGGAGCTGGAGCGGTGGATTTGTTCGATGCGGGAGACGATGTCCGGCATGGCGGGGCGCTTGTCGTGGTACTGGGCGGTGCAGTCGATGGCGAGCTCGAGGAGCTGGACCATCTCGTCCTCCACGTCCTGGTATTGGAGAAGCTCTGGGTCGAAGACCTCGGAGGCCCACTCCTCCTTGACAACGGACTGCACCCAGCGGGGGAGATCGAAGGCTTCTTCGTAGAGCAGCGGATGCGCGGGGGCCTTGCCGGTGAGGAGCTCGAGGAGGAGGACGCCGAAGCTGTAGACGTCGGCGTTCTGGGAGATCCGGCGGGGGTCGGTGACCTCCGGGGCGGGGTGACCGGGGAAGGAGGCGGGGCGGCGGAGGGGGGCTAGGCCGTGGTCGGAGACGAGGGCGGTGCCGGAGAGGAGGAGGACGTTGGAGGACTTGAGGTTACCGTGGGAGGCCGACGGGGAGGTGGAGTGGATGTAGGCGATGCCGCGGGTGGCATCGAGGGCGATCTCCAGCCGCGCCCGCCAGTGCAGCTGCGGCTTCCCGGTTCCTTTGGTGTCTGCAAAACACTCGATCGATCAGAATCTATCTTTTTCCCTGGTTTTTCGATGCAGATTCTTGCTCTGGTTTGTCTGATTCCGACTGGGTCGAAGACCAGAAAGTAGTGATCTTAAGCAGGAAGAGGACGAAAAAGATAGGAAGAACGGAAGAGGAAGACAGAAGATGATGAAGAGGAAGGTAGGAAGAAGAAGAGGAAGACATGCAGAGGAAGATAGGAAGAGAGGAAGAGGAAGAGAGGGAGAGGATGAGTGGCGGGACTTACCGTGGAGGAGGGCGGAGACGCTACCTTCGGAGATGAAGTCGTAGACGAGGAGCTTCTCGTCCTTGCTGTAGTAGTAGGCTCGAAGCGGAACCAGATTACGGTGGACCATGGCGCCGACGGGTTCGATCTTCTCCCTGAATTCCTGCTCCGACAGCTCGACGTCCCTCAGCCTCTTCACGGCCAGCACCCTCTCGCTCACCAGCACCACCTTATAGGCGGTGCCGATGGTTCCCTTCCCGAGCACCTCTGCAGACGCCCTGAGCAGCTGCTCCAGGTCGAAAACTCTCGCATCTGATCCGAAGAACACTAGATTCTTGCTCTCGCCGCTGTTCGATCCTCCCCTCGCCGCCGCTCCTGCGGCGGCGCCGCCACCTCCTGGGATATTCCGTTTGCTCCTTGTCGACGCCTCCACCTCCACAGACCTCGCCCTGTTGTCCATCTTTCCTCCGCAGCAAAGGAAAAATGACATTTTGTTTCCTGGTCAGTAACCCAGACTCCATCGCCGGTGAATGCGCTCTGGACAGGATTATTTATCCATGCATTGGGGGCCCACTGGGATCTAATTTTCCTCCGGATGGGCCCACTATTTCCTTTCCCACATGGGAAGCAACGTTGACCTTCGGGAGTGGCGTCCGTTGTGGGGTGGGTAACTACTCGGGAGCACATCCGGACAGGCCGTTTCTTCTTGTTCTATTACCAAGCCATGTAGAAGGTCGAGGCCCTAGTATTTCGGTGGAATTAGTCAAAACCCACCAAGCAGAAGCCAATAGTAGATAAACGGACGTTGGTTATTGACATATAAGACATACCAAGGTCAGAGTCAAAGGGTAAGACCAAAAAGGCTTGTACAGTAGAAAATAATAAATATCTAGAGCGGGTTTGGCCTTCGTGTGCTAGTTTCTTTTTTGGCAGCCGCGGAAGAATTGTAATGGTTGGAATCCCAATACAGAGAAATTTATGAGAAGTTCAAATTTTATTTATTTTAATTAATTAAAGTATGTTGGTTCTTGGAGGCCATTAATTTGTAGTGATGTTTGAATGATGACTTGTTCTTCATAGCCACGTGGGGCTAGTCAAAGTTGGACTCCTTCATGTTGGAAGATGTTATTGGTGTGATGAGAGAGAGAGAGAGAGAGAGAGAGAGAGAGAGAGAGTAAAAAATGATTTCATTGACATAATCTGCCCCACCCTTAGGATTAAGATACTGAACCCCAAGGTGACATTTTAGAATGATTCCCTTGGGCTAAATGGGGCGAGTATCACTCTTCCTCAAGGTACAACATAAATACCTCTCATACTCAACTTGAAACAAATGATCTCTAGTCGACAATGAGGAAGTTCATTAGTAAAAATAGCTACCAATTGCTCTTTTGTAGGTATGGAATCTGCTGGGATCTTTTCAAATGCAAAAATATGAGAGAATTATTGATGATGAAATTGGTTGCTTTGTAAGCATAGTACATAGGAATAGATAGTAACACAAAGATACTAAAATTTTGAAGAATAGATATCACTTGACATGCAGGATGAGTCATGGATTTGTACTGTGATTCAACACTTGATCATAAAATAACATTTTACTTTTTACTTTGCCAAGTAACAAAGTATATAGGGAAGTTTGTAGTGGACCTTTATCTTCATGAACACTAACATAATATGCATCATAGTAGCCCTGCATATTAAAGTGCTTGTGATCCTTGAAATAAAGGTCATTCCTTAGTGATGACTTCAAGTATCTAAGTATTTGGTAAAATCTAACCCAATATATCTTTTTAGAATGTTGTATGAACTGGCTCAACCATTTGACTACTACTAATATGATGTAAGTCAAACTATGGTTTGTCAAAGTCACCAAGAGATAGTTGTAAGTCAAGAGGAATAACATCACATATATAATGAATCATGTCTATCTCACAAAAAAAGATCAAATATATACTTTATTTGAGAGAGAACTAAACCACTATCATTGTGACTCACTTCAATAGTAAGGAAATAATTAATGAGGACAAGATTCTTGTTAATAATTTGAGAGTGTATGAATTCTTTTGCTGCCACTATATCATCAACATGCACAATCAAAATCATATAGTTAGAAGAATGATATAGTGTAAAGATTAAATGATCACATCAAAATTATGTAAAAACTAAAATAGTAAAATGTCATATTAAATACGTCAAATAAGACACAAAGGCTCTTCTTCAATCCATATATAGTTTGTATACTTACATACACCCTCCTAAATAACAAAGATGGGGGATCACTCCATATAAACCTTGTCAGATAAGTTTACATATAAGAATATATTTTTAATATGAAGTTGAGAAATTTGTCGACAAGAATTCAATGCAAGGTACGATCTGTGTAGTGTTTAAGTGAGTTGTAGGAAATAAGGCCTCAAAATAATCGACACTATATGTATGTGTAGAATCTTTTGCCATAAATCAAAATTTGTACCCTCAATAGATCCATTTAAGATATATTTGAAGGTAAATACCTACCTACACCCTACAGCCATAACATATGGGGATAGATCTATCATATCCTATATTCAATTATAAATTAGAGTTGATATCTCTTCCTCTATAGCAACATTTTGAAAAGGATGGTGTAATGCCTCAATGTGACTTTAGAGAATCTGGTGACTATCAACATATATAGAGAACTATATATTTTGAATGAAATAAGATAACTAGCACAAGAGCAAGAACTATAACATTTCAAAATTAGAGAAATATAGCATTTATGGAGATGATCAAAGGTCATAAAATTAGATAACTAGCACAAGAACTATAACACTTTAAAAAAATGATAGATAAATCAATGTTAACAAGGAGTTTAGTAGAAGATTATTGAGTTTGATCTCCATTAGATGAAGTAGGACTAGGTAGGATAAAAATAGGATCAATAGTAAATAAGGGGTTCAATTGAGTTGGATATTGGTTGGGTTGGTGGTTAAGTAATTGGGGGTTCAATAATATGTAGAGTAGAGGGCATAAGCAAGATAACATGTCTAGTAATAATAATTTTACCTATTTTCTTTAAAATAGAAAAATGTGACTTATCTATATAGAAGGTGGCATTAGAATTGATGCTGGATTGATATGTAATTGGATCATAACAATAGTATATCTTCTAAGTCCTCGAGTAGACAAATAGACATACTTAACAGCATGCATACTCAACTTATTTGTCTGAAAGAGAGAACAAATAGAGAACAAAATATCTGAGGACCAAAAAGAAATTTATTCTTTTGGACATAAATTAAAATATAGAACTTTCCCCCTAATAATTGATAAGTAGACTTAATTTATGAGGAAAGCTATAGTTGGCACATTATTAAATCAATAAGATAGACATTTGAAACTTTATAGTACATGTCACATCAAGTAAATGATGTAACTTATATTCAACTAAACTATTTTTTGGAGACTTTTGAACACATAAAGCTTGATGAATCATTCCCAAGGAATTAAAGAAGGTAAACAAGTCATTTTTGACAAACTTGGAACCATTATCACTTCAAAACACAGAAATAGAAGTAAAATATTGATTATTTTTTTTAATGAGTATAAGATTTTTATACTTCTCTTAAAACATATAAACCCAAGATACTCTAGTAAAATTATCAACCATAAATAATAAATAGCAAAAAATACTCTAACACTACTAATTCATCAATGACCCCATAGATTGATATCTATTAAAAAAATTGAAATATATTTTTTATTGGCTCTATAAAGAAAAGAAAATGTATGATATGTTTCATGTTGACATAATTCACATTGAAACAATTCAATATAGGATAGATTTGAGAATTGACGATGAAACATTATCATGTTAGGGTGACCTAAGCGAAGATGAAGCTGTATAGAGGTGTTGTGAGTAATGGGAAGATATGTCAAGTGCTGAGATGTAAGGTAAGATATCAAAGGGCATCTTTCTCAAATCATCCACCAATTTATTTCATGCATGACAAAAAATAGCTCGACAATTAAGAGAACTTTTTATTTGATTAATAAACAATAGACTCAAGGTAAACTTAGAATCAATGATAGGAGATAGGGATCAGTTAACAACACGTGCATGAAATGGTGAAAAAGGAGGATGTAGTGAATCTAGTTAGAGACTTATATAAAGGGCATAAGTACCTTACGGACAAAAAATTGAGATAGTGGTAGAGAAGAGTAGGTAAGACTTATCTATAAAATCATTCTTCTTATAAATGAAGAGTCTATCATACTCTATGAAAATGATTACTTTGGTTTACTCCTCTATACTAGTATATTCTTGATTTGCTTTGGTTGTTAGGCATTCACTTAGATAACCATATTTTAAACCTAGTAAAAGTTGGAAGAATGATTAGTTTTGTGACAATGCTCACAGAACAATTTGCTTCCTCCACAGCCTCGACCAATATCAAGAGATTGACATTTTGTTCTATGACTAGAAAATGCTCATATACTTTGTCCTCTAATTGTAATTACAACTATGGAATCTAATTGAGTAATGGGGTGTGACACTTGAGTCTCAATATACAAGCATAGATCTGAGCTTCAGTAGGAATCTCCTCAAGTATAATCAATTGATCTATCACTAGTTATGCTCAAGGCCAAGAACTACTAGGAACTAAATTAATTGAATATCCTCTTGTTATTTGGTTATCTCAACAACATCAATAATAATTGATTGATGGATGTCTTATTCATTCTACATAGTCTAAAGAGAGTTATAACACTTTGCCAATGCCATGATTCTCTTCTTGAATGTGTGGATATCCTTAATCACTTTGTAGAAATGTGTGGTATTCCTCTTGAGGGAATGGATCTAATGTAACACTTCTCACATCTTCTTTGGTGATGCATACATGTGAATACTTAATTATTATAATTGTTTTAGCCTTTACTCTTCTTCTTCGATTCATCCTTTTGTGAGATCTCACAAATCATGTAAAGGAAGCAGACTAGACAAGGAAATTAGTACACACTCGAATTTGATAGTAGTATCTAGCATATGAGGAGATGTGCACTAGTGGTATTTATGCCCCACAAAGTCATCAGAAAAATTTCTCTTTTTAAAAGAATCTATCAGTACACAACTTGATGGGATAATGTGCTGAGAATGCTTAGTCAACTATCTAGAGCAAAGGTGATAATTATGTTGATTAGTGTTAACCATTGACTATTGAGTGTTGACCAAGACAAATGTAGACAGATATCTTTTATTAGTCATTACTATTGAACATTGATTGGGTTTGGATCTTAATTTAACTCAAATCTGGTCCCAGAACTAATCTAAGATCTAGTCCAGACCAAGATCACCCAATCAGCCAGTTGCATTTGTCCTGAAGAATTCAATAATCCCTTCAACAATTTTGTGATAGAGTTTTGATAGTGATTGTCAATGATCAATCAAATGACTTGACCAGATGATGTTGTGCAATGAACAAAAGAGTCACCAAATGAGGAATCTCAGAAGAAAGATATAGCCGAAGGCAAGATGATGAAGATGAGTCAGGGTTGTTGGAATCACCAAATAGATTAATCTTTGGAGTTTCGACACCGCTCAAGGTTACAAAGAAGTTGTGACTTCTTCCACTGTTGGATAATTGTCCTCTAATGTTTTAAGTAATTATTGCTGAATCGCTTCTCTTCAATCTCTCACGTGATCCCAAACTATGGCACACACATAACCGAAAAGATGCAGGTGGAGGGGGGATAGTATCGATTAGCCGCAGTTTTTACATGCAGAAGCTCAGAGCAGAAAGAAAAAGAAGAAAATTACCAGGAGTTTACAACTTTCCACCCTTGCTTCTGTTCTAACTTTGGCAAGAATATTGACTTGAAGGATCGAAGAACATGGGGCCTCTTGATCAAGATCATATGGGTTTTCCTCAATAATTATGCTTCCTCGGTTGTAAATGAGTTCTTATTTGGGTAAATATGAATGCTAGGATAATAAACCCGAGACAGGTAGAGACTGCAAGGGATGGATGAAGAGCAGGGCAGGGAAACCATGCCGGCTGTGGAGCTAAGCTGAGGGATGCAAACCTTGGAGTATCTTGATCGCCCCTGCAAAGATTGAAGAAGTGAGGAACATCATCCATTATCCATTAAAGTTAATCAGTGAAGGCACCACAACAGATCACAAGCAAAAACAGAGGATATGATTGGGTACTTTGTATTCATGTAGGTTGGGGCCCTTCATCAATTGTAGAGTGCATAGTTCATCAACTATGGCAGTGCTCTTCGGTGCTACCTTGAAGAACTTTGTTGGCAAAAATGAGTTTTCTGATCTCACCCGTTTGATTGCAGAAAGTATTCAAAGTTAGGATCCACAAGTTTTCACATCTCCCAAAATAGGAATCTTCACACACATCCCCTCCTCAAATGTAGAATGCGTAGTTCCTTGACTATGATAGTGTTCTTCGGTATTAACTTGAAGAACTTTGTTAGCAAATATGAGTTTTTTGATCTGACCCTTTTGATCGCAGAAAGTGTTCCAAGTTGTGATCCACCAGTTGATGCATCTCCCAAAATAGAAATCTTCAAGCACATCCCCTCCTCTTTGCTAACAAAGAGCTCTAAGTTGGCTTAGGTGGAGGTCTCCACTAGGAGAGCTTGTCACATTAGTGATGCTACTACAGACAACCAGATATTACTCCAAAAAGAATCCCTTCTAAATGAAGAGAGAGAGAGAGAGAGAGAGAGAGAGAGAGAGAGAGAGAGAGAGAGAGAGAGAGAGAGAGAGAGAGAGCAGCTAAAAGCTCTGCATTGCAACTAGAAACCTGTCAAATAGATGAGCAGGGTTCAAGAAATTGGGAAAAAACTAGCAAACATGGCCATAGAGGGCTTCGAATCAATTCAGGAAATAATACTGTCTTTTTGTAAGAAAATTCTGCTCCAAGCAATTTTTAAAAAATCAATTACTTCATGCAGAAGTAATAGATTTTGACTGGTAAATCGGATTTCTGGTTAAATTTCCATTATCAAGATCTTGAAATCTGTCTTGGTCAGTTTTAAGAGATACCCTCCCTTAATTCATTTCCGTTGACTTCACACAACTATATAAAAAGCTATGTAAATGAGGGTTTAAGTAATGAACAATAAGCAATCAAATTAATAAATCAAGAGAAGAGGATACCATCAGCAATACATTAAAACTTAGTTTCAATTAAACCAGAAAGAATTAGAACATACCGGAACAAGCTCCTAAATGATTTCCAAATGGACGGTTTAGTATCTTTTCTCTGTTTCCTCTGGCTTCGAGTTTTATGCTCTTGTGTGTCATAGTAGTCTCGAAAAAAACCTAGAAATCACAAAGAAGAAATCAATAATCATCAGAGATGTGTCGATTCTCAAGGTAAATTGAAAAAGCATACCCTTTTCTGAAGTCGTTTGTTCCTTTGATGAACTTCTAAGAGCATCCAATTTCTCTATTAGAACACGTTCAGCATCACTACGAGTGGGCAAGAAAAGGAAGGCAATGTCAAAGGCAACAACACACAAAGTAAAAATGTCGAAGGCACAACAAACATTAGCCCACTAAATGAAAAAAAATCTCCTTAAAAATAAAGGGAAATATATAAATATCAATCAGTATTAAAAGGCTTTGTTCAACTCCGAAATGGTGGTAAGCTGGAATCCACAAATGGATGGTCAAACAAAAATCCTAGAAGACTGATAATCTACATTTTTTTCTATTTCCTCTCAACTTAACATCCAAATTCTGTGGCTGTAATCATTATCAGAAGCGTACTAAAATTCAGAAAAAAATGGATCCATCCTATATTATCCACTATCAAATCGTTTTATGTTTTATCGAAAAATATTGATAAAAGATGCAATCAATAAAAGACATCCACAAATCTTTCAATAGTATTTTAGTGCGTAGAAGTAGATTCTTGGTGAAGCCAAAGTTGCCCATATATGTCACAAAAAAGAGCTTAGATAAAGAAAGGAAGAGAAAAACGTTTTATAATGGGGTAATCGTCAAGTATTAGGCTCCTTGGCAGTTCAAAACTCTGTTACAGGCAAAATATTTGACCTACTTTCTATTCTTAAAAGTTCACCTTCAGTAAAAGGGAAATTTGATGTTGTCAGAGGACTCAAGAAGTACCTAGTGGCAAATACCGACAGTCCCAAGGACAAACCATTGACCACCCTCGGCACCAAACGCCAAACCTAAATACTTGAAATAAGCTTTTTGAAGTAATCTTAAATGTCCAATTGAGCATGATGCTCATTTCCTCTTTTTTCCTTTCGAAGTTACATCTCACATGTTACACCTAGGCCTAACCAATCTTAAGAATTTTACATTCTAAAACACTCTAGGAATCTACAAAGCTTGCATTGAATCTCTAAAAATAGTCCCTCAAAATAGAAAAAGATCAATAAAACAAGGATCAATAAAACAAGGTGTTTACTGATTCAACCCCAATACGAGCAACGCCATCCACCAAAAGAATTATTGAGTGGTAATTGGTCCAGCTCAGAGTTCACTTCCTCCATTTAACTTGCACTACGTAAGGACACACATATCTGGACAATTATGTTGGGGGAAAGAAAAGCCCTGTTACATCCATCCACCAAAATGTCTATGACATGCATATGAAATATATACTATTTTTCCCTTTCTCCCAAATAACCTATTTATCAGTGAATACCAGCCCCTCTGTCTCGAGTGGTTTAGCCCATGATGGCCACATTATACTGGCGTTTTCGCCTCCCCTGTATTAATCCACAGACACAACTATCTACTGCTCGAGACCCATGCTTTCTTGCTGCTCTTTCCCTCCCGTGTGTGTGTGTGTGTGTGTGTGTGTGTGTGTCCATATATACATATCTCCCTGAGTATATACATCTACATGTTTATGTTTCGCAGAACAAGTCTTCTATATTAGGCTTTTATTCTATTTTTCTTTGTCCTCCTATTAGATGTATTTCCTTTTTTTGTGTTCCCATTGTTAGACCTTTCTCGGAAAGTTTATTAGACGCCAATATAAATACTAGCGTACTGCCCTGAGAAGGGCTAAGTCAGTTTTTCCCTTTTCCTGCTTCCACTTTATCTCGTAACAGTTTATCCATACATCTGTCCTGTGTTGTCAAGATAAGCAACAATAAAGATTTTTTAATTAGCAAACTCCAGATATCCTCTTTTGTCCGATCATATCACTAGTGCTTTTGACCCCTGAATTCTACATTTTTTTAGTGCATTTACATGAGGTTATAAAACAAAACGTTGCCCTACATGAGACTGCCCAATATGCAAAAGTTGTTGAAGGAATCAGTCACCAGTTTACAAATCATAAGAACTAGGAGACTGGCGAGACTAGTACAGCAAAAAATAACAGTAGTTAAGATAAGAATTGAGACATGAATGCGTGAGGAACAGTATGAGACAATATATGACCCTAAAGTACAAAGAGATCCATTTGATCCAAGTGGAGTTGGCTTTTCTTAAAAAGTAAGTTCAACCATGTATTGAATTCAAAAATCGAAAAAGTTAACATTCTGAAAGAGCACGAGAAAACATCTCTCGCTTGTTTGGAAGCTTAACCTGATATCCTTTGGAATTTCAATGTTCACAACAAAATGATGATCTCCACGAACAGATGGTTTCTTCATGTTTGGAACCCCCATATTCGGAAGTTTTAGCATCTCTCCAGGTTGTGTCCCAGGAGGAATATGAAGATCTCTGTACCCATTAATTGTTTCCACCTGAGAAAGAGAAATGATGGTAAACACCTTTAAACTTAATACACGCGCTGACATTAAGATGTAAGCTATGTTTACGTTTTAACTTTGATCTGAGAGGGACTGTGCTTTCCACTAAGTATTAAGTGACACACATGGAAGAAGTAGTGAGGTTACACATTCCACAATCCATAACAACGGTTTGCTTAAAGTTGATGAATTTTATTCCACTTGGTTTTAAAAGTGATATGGTACTCATGGGTTCAGTTCTCAAGCATTTACTTGGAACTAATCTTGGCTTCTTGTCGGCGATAGACTGTGGTTTGGTATTCAGATTATCCATTTTGTAATGCCTTTTGAACACTCTTCAGCCTTTGAAGCTGAAAAATCTAGACATTTGAAACACATGTTGCATTAACTCATTAGATTCTTTTTTGAGGCAACTACAAGAGAGAGGAGAGACATTTATCAGAGGGAAGACTTTCTGTTTAACTATTCTTAAGGTGTCTTCTTCTATAATTTTTTTTAAACTACGGGAAACTTTTATTTTATTCTAAAATTGATAATATATTCCACCTGCATCCTCTTCAAAAAACATATTTCAGAACATAAGTAGTGTATATTTCACAACACGGGAATGGATTATAGATGGGAATTTTTTTTATAGAATATCAGAGCACAGTTTGTTGATAACATATAAATTATCGTCCCCTCAGCAAGTGAATGCGAACCTTTCGTAATCTTTATGCAGAAGCTGATCAAAATGGAGGAGCTATCCTAATCGTTGACATTTGGAAATGCAAAGCAGCTAAAAACGATTTTGTACAATCGTATGACACACATGGCACTGAATAACATGCGAAATCTGGTGCGTGACATTTCTGCAAATGGAAAGAATGATGTTCCCAATTTCCACACTTTGATATCAATCTGAAAAAAAGTACTTGTGCATGGCATGTCGACTGATCCATCATGTGTACTAAGAAGATGCTTTATAAGAGGCTTCATAAGCCAAATAAATGAAGTAAAGTGAATCAAAATCCAACGTCCAGAACTCAAAAGTTTCTCAAGGACCACATGAATAATATTTTAAATCAACAGACTGAGAAATATTAACCGGAAAATAACATTAGGACAAGTAATAATGTTTTTCATTATTTGGTACTCCAAATCATGCCAATCGCGGATGTGTTACAGGAAGACTTGAAACATGAATTTTAGGAAAACAAAGGGCAGAGAAAATTTGTCTATGACTTTATCCTGAAGTGGGACAAATAAAGCTAAAGACAATCTTACAGCTATACAATATGCGTCCATCTATGTGTGGGCATGTGTATCTACACAAATGTATATAGATACAGTAAGATCAAGCATAAACCTTAATAGATGGGTAACAGAAAGATAGTAAATGATATACATACCATGCGTACTCAAACTATGCAAAACTGAATTCAGCTATTGAATTTCATCAAAGCAAAACAACTCCTAAGATGTACAACTTAACAAATTTAAAAATGTTAATCTCATGCTATGCAACGAAAAGTGAACTATATTCCACAGTAACATGCATACAATTTTTGTTAAAATAGAAAAAAAGAAAAAGAATAAGAAAACGTTCTTATGGCCACTAATAGGTACCTGAACTACAGTCCCCAATATTGCTTTTGTATAATCAATGATAACATCGGAATACAAGTTAAGTCCTTCTCTTCGAATCCCGCTCTTTTCTGCAACATGAACAAATACATACAGATCCCCTGCCATTCCTCTGCGGAAAAATAAACAAGGTCATCAAACTCCACTACCAAAACAGCGAAGAAGATCGTATTGGCTTAGAAAAAAAAATGGACGGCAAATTGAATTTAGAAAATTTCCGACTGTAAGATGAGACTTTCCCTCAAAAACTCATCAATAAAGGAAATAACGGTATCCAACTGAGCAAAGATGTTTGAAATGTAAAAAAAGGGTTATAAAAAAGACGAACACAGTATACAAAAGTAGATACAAGTAAAAACTATGTAAAATCAGGACACCAAAATTTATTCAAAGAGTCATTACAGAAATTAGACTTAGCAACCATAAAAGAATTATAAACAATAGAAACCCACAACAGCTACTTCCATTCTGTTGACAAGGGCATTACGTGACGCAAATATAAAAACACATTATGAACCTTATTCAAAAAATTAGGTGTGAAACAATCCTACGTGCACACATAAATTTGAAACATGGACGGATACAAAAGCAAACAAATATGCATCTGGTCCTAGCTTCAGTTTTCTTCCCCAATCTTCTTGTAGGCCGTGACACTTCTGACTCTGAATCCCGCTAAATTATCCCGAACTTCAAAAGCAGCTGCTAGGTTTCTCTCAATCAAAAAGGATTGAATTCAGAGCTAATAAATTTTACCCCAGAAGAAAAAGTGTTAATTCCTGACTTGACTAATTGGACGAAAGTGATATTGGAGAATTTCAACCCGATATGAGCCAATTAAATGTGTCAAGTTGGGGACCGTGATTCTAAGTCTCTCCAATGGGTAGTCTACACGGCTTGATGCGAGTGAATGAGTTAAAAATCAGATACTTGCCTTTCCTTGTCAAAGTTTCCTTCTCCTCGAACTTGCATGGTAACTCCATCGTGCACACCAGGTGGTATATCTACCACGACACTCCTTTTTTTTTGCAATCTGCCTTCACCATTGCATTTTCTGCAATTCTCTGTTATTATCTTTCCATCTCCACCACATTTTGAGCACGTAGAGACCTATAAATCATGTGACATAATCTATATAGTACGTCAAAGACATCTGAAAAAATAAAAAAAGAAGTTCTTTAAAATTACAAAGTCTTCACAATAACACGTCATTCAATAATGTGAGGCCAAAAATGGCAGTTTGATGGCAGGATAAAAATCTAACAACAACATAAATGAGAGTCAGGAATCATTTGACAAAAGGTAAAAAAATGGCAGTTTTGGACACTTCTGGACCTCTGCATAAAAAGAGGCACAATTCACCCCCCAAAAAGAAAAAAGTAACACATGAGGATGATGACAAGAGTACTAGGAAGAATCTGTCACTCGGCTGTGAGGAGAAAAGATAACGAAAAGATGTGACAATCGAGTCCACTTCGAAATCTCTACTTAGAATCATAAAGAAAAACATTCAGACCTACTGTGGCCTTCATCCTGATATTTTCCCTGATAGTAATGGCTGCTTATGACCTCTAGCAGTTATAAGTCCATTGGTCTCGCACAATGATAACAGGATTCTGATGACCTATTGCGGGCGTAAGTCTAATGATCCCACTCCACGCTAATGTGCCCCATAAGACCTGTCATGGACCTGATAACAGTATTTTATCCTTAATAAAGGGCTTTCTATGACCCGCTGTAAGCCCAGTGGTCTAAGCCTCGAGCCAATGAATCTTCTTTGACCTATAATGGGCCTGAGCAAATTATTTAACTCAATACTAAAGGGTCTCTTATGGCCAATTGTGGGTGTGAGCCCAATGGTCTTCTACAATGGAAATGGGGGTCTTTTATGATCTATTGTGGACTCGAGCCCAGTGGCCTAGGCCAATGATAACGGGCTATGTCCTGTAAACATATTTGAATGGACCATAAGCCATAAGTTCATCAAATGACTCATACAATAAGATATGCCATAATGAACTCTGAGTTTTTCTAATGGTCTGGATCCAATAGACATTTAAATGAGTCAACATCTCCTAAGACATCCAAACAGGTGGCAAACCATAATGCCAAAAAGGACATAACCCATTAGACATGGAAGTAAGTTGCAACTCACAATTTGTCAAATGCTTCACATCTCAAAACATATCCAAATGGGTCATAACACTGGCTTTCTAAAAGAGCTATATTCAATATCATATTCAAATGTAACTTAACACATGAGTTGTCAATTGGGTCATATTCCATTCATGCATATATATATATACATCCAAATGGGCTTTATCTCATAAATTTGTGACATGGACAACTGTTAGGTCCCTAGTGGGCAAAACTACAGTCGGCCAAGAAGAGGGGCCCAAAGGGCCCAGCACCTCCTTCCAAAGGAACAAACAATCCCTTCAAATGAGGACTTAATGAGGGGTAGCTAGGTCTTTTCCCAACACAAGGAAAAAAGGTATTAGGGCTCAGGTCGTAGAGCGGAAGGGCCCCTCGAGGAGTATTCTAGGGCAGCGGTGGCTGAGGTAGAGCAGGGGACCTCTCGAACGTCCACACCTCTCTAGGGTTCTTTGGGGCCCAGCTCCTGTCCAAGACCTGGGTCCTACCAACAACATGCTATACACACTCCAATTTGTCACAACCCAAGAATGTATCCAAATAGGCATTAAACCCAAAGTTTGCCAAATGGGGCATATTCAATTTATAGATATTATATCAAATTAGTTTTACCCCGTAAGTCTGTCAAATAGACAATATTTCATACACAAATCCAAATGTGCTTCATCTCGTAAATTTCTTAAATGGGCTACGTCTAAACAGCCTTCATCACAAACATTTGTCAAACGGGTCACATCACATAGACATCTAAAGGGGCCTCATAGATGCTCAATCGGTCTTTGCACACAAACTCGCCAAATGGACTCCATCTCACCAACTATCACGACTCACAACCGAATCTGCATATGATTGATTCATTATAAAATAATTTTCTTCATTACGGGATCATTTTACTACAAATAATAAAAAGGGTGGTTCTTCTCTAGGCTGTCAACCAAACTAAACAACAGAAAGGGCTACCATAAACGTCTTGACTTCCCACCAAGTACCAACTAAGCAGGAAACAATCGAATTCCACGTTTTTTCTTGTTTGAAGGAGCGTAGTATTTCTGTTGAGTGGTTGAAAGCTAGCCAACACTGTTTCCCTCCGATCTTCAAGCGTTGAGAACCAAATCTAACCAACTCAGTTTATCGAGAAAGGGCTGATATATTGATCAAATTTTAATAATAAGGAAAAAATCATCTTCTTTAACGTGAAAGTATAGTATCTGAAAGCGAGAAAATATTGGATATGGACAGCATTACGTAATAAAGTTATTTTCCACTGAATGCAGTTGATTACCTGAGAAACCACTCCAAAAGGAGTTCTCTGGGTTCTCATCACACCACCTCGGCCACCACAGTCCGTGCATAAATTTATAGAAGTCGTAGATTTTGCACCAGTTCCATTACAACTATCGCATGTTTCCAAACATGCGATACCGATCTCTTTTCTTCCTCCAAACACTGATTCCTCAAAGCTCAAAGATAGGTCATAACTGAAACACAAACACAACATTATTCAGAGGAAAGCTCAATGAACACCAGTATATTGCACTTTAAAGGAAAGAAGAGAAGTAGAAGGCTTTTACTTATCGCTTACAATGCAGAGAATTTAATTTTTTTTGTCTTTCCATCTATCCTTATCACTTCTTTGCCAGAAAGTTTCACCAGGACTTACTGTGACCTAAAAATAGCCCATCAAATGCTCAAATTATTAATACTGAGAAGATAATGAAAGATATACCGTATATCAAGGTTCTGCCTGCGATTGCTTGCACCGAAATTAATTCCCCCAGAATCCCTGCCACTGAAAAATCCATTTGATTCTCCAAAATATGCATCAAAAACTTCAAAAGGGTCCACCTGAATATCATGAAAATTCATACAAGGCAACCAATTACAAGAGTTATTATTTTGATCAGCGTGAAATTAACCTGCATCAACAGTTTTAATAAGATCCCAAGTGCAACCATCACTATTGACGAAAGAACACAGATGAACTTACCCCTTGCGGACCAACACCGGATCCTCCATAGTCTCCCTGCAAACCTGCTTCACCAAAGCGGTCATATAAAGATCTTTTCTCATCATCTGAAAGTACCTACAGGAAGTGTTCAATTAGAAAGAAAACAGTCGCATGTCATGAGAAGCAAATAGATATCTACCTACTATACTCACCCGTCAACAGCATTTGCACATTAGATAAAGTAAGTATTTATCATAAATGATAGACATGGTCATCACTAGGAACGATCAGCTGAAACCTATGCTAAAGGAACCTAGTGCCTAGAACCAGATCACCCAATAACTCGGATTGGGAACTTATCCATTAGAACAGACAGTTTACTTTCGTCAGTTGGCCAGCTATACCCTGTCTACGTAATGCCGGAAAGAGCATGTATCTACTTGCAAGTTGCCTATCTGTTTTATGTCTTGTCAAGATGAGTTGCGCGGATGAGACTGTGCAGGTCAACCAACCGCTCACTCAAAACTCACTCTTCTCCTTTCCATTCCAGAACCCATTATTGTAACAAAGTTCCACGTTTCAACTAGGGTTCTGTGTCGTCTTTGTGTTCTTTAAGTAACAGAGATAAACAAAATACCACCCTCAACACGAGAGAGAGTATTTTAGAGTACTCCCACACTGAAAAAGGGAAGTCAAATCATGTGCTTAAAAATAGGCTGACTTTTGAGTAGAATGACCGGATTATTTTACATATTAATGTGATAACGTTATTACAGACGCTAGGTTCCTGCAACAAATCACAACTATTCCCACACTGCTTAAGAAAAACTAAATTTAAAACTAAAAAGATGTACACAACTTTTTAACACAGATCAGGGCAATGAATAATGAAACATAGAATGCAAATACCTCATAGGCAGCGCTGATTTCTTTGAATTTCTCTTCTGCCCCAGGGCTTTTATTCATATCTGGATGGTACTGTAACAAAAAAAAATCTGCATAAATGATACAAAGTTTTGGACGTATATCAATTTGTATTTTAAAAAACCAAGATTATAATTAATAACTGCAACTCGCAGTATGGCAACAATCCTAGGTGCCAGATTCCCAACATACCGTGATACCACTAGATGAACTCCACAGAACAAGATGCAAATCTACATAATTGCTCTTTCATCAGAGTGCACAAGCTGTTGATGGTGATGCACGTTAAGTCGTGTTTAACATTAAAGATTATGCCAGCTGAGACATAGAGAATCATCGCAGGGGCCTTTTATTTCCTCTTCATATTAACACTTACTATATCACTGGAATCAGGAGTCACAAAACAGTTTTTAAAGGATGCTTCTAATTGGCATTTCAGACTTAATCCGTCAATCAATCAATTCATTCAAGGTGAGTAATGAACATGCATGATTTCCACTTCACGATAAACGAATTGATCATTTCACACGAAAATACATTTTATCATGATCATTTGCCTCAATGATTGATTGCCTTTGTTTCTTTACTTCTCATGCTCCATACCAAAAAATCTCTATGATTGTTTCTTTTAAATCATCTCCCACGCAGTCAATGGCAGAACTAGGATTATATCTTAGATAATTCCTCACCCTTCTCCTGGCCTATCCCAACTTACCTGTGTTGAAGTTTATAATATGGAACGAAAACAAGGTTTAATGATAAACATTGTAAGTCTTAGGAAAGAGGAATAATATGGAAACAGTATTTTTGGTATGAAGAATAATATGGAGTTGGTTGTGAACATTGGTAAGAGATAATTGCAGATATATTAAAAACCCCTTAAAAATTAACCAGAGTTGGACAGGAGACTTGATCAAAATTGTGTTCGATTTAAAACCAAATCATATAAGCACATTTTCGACACTCCAAGTTGACATACAATGAAGTATAAAAAACTTAAATTGCTCGTCCTGCAGTCTCAAACAAGATGCCCTAAAACAAAACCAGCGTTAAACTTTCCTGTATATAGAGCAGTTATCAGTTGGTAAAATATCTCGAGTGAACTCCAAAACCATTTGTCCTTGATAGTGACATTCTAGGCATAGGTAACGGAGGGAAGACCACATCCAGCCACATGAAGTGTGCATGCATGGAGCCCACACGATGGCTAATTTTATGTCATTAGAGATATCCAAAATATCGACCTTCCGCAGATTTACTTCGCATAAGCTTTTACAGTTGATTACTTTCAAGATTTTTCATCCAAATGGAAGAATGTCATTCCCCAAGTCTTGGGCCATCCAATATTTTCAACTAGCATTCCGAGCAGAATACTCTAAAAAATGAATATAAATACAAAAGCTCCCAATGCCTAACGCAGGACTCCATTAGGAAATAGTAAAAAATAAATAATGATTTTTGAGTTAAGTTCATCTTTTAAGAGTCTACAGAGTTATTGTCAAATGTGTTCGAAAAATCTTTGAGCTATGCAAATTTCTCTCAAAAAAGTTGGCAACTTTTTGACGTCGTGAAAAAAGTACAAGTGTTGATCAAACTCGATGTACCCTTCGTAGCTCTACAACTGTACAAGTTATTCCTTCAGGAGAGTACATAACTAAATTAAATCACTTGCGCACCAGGGATCAATCACCAACTATGGAACTGTCTAATGACCTCAAAGTCCTTTTAATTTGTCACATATATTGGAATTGCGAAATTCAGAGATGCACCGAATGAATGCTGCGGTTCCTGCCTTTTTTTCGTTTTATGAAAATGAATGATACCATATATTCACAAATTATATAAAAAAGAAAATAACTCACTTTCCATAGGCCCAAAAGATTGTGTACACGATAGGCCACGATACTCTGTGGTCTTCTTCGAGTATCAGTGCTGATTAAACCCCAGTTACGACACCAAAACACATCTTTTGGCGGAATGGCTTATACCATAGGAACAAATGTTCCATGGTGGCTTCTATACCTTCCCACATGAACGGGTGGCAATGATGCTAGGTGATTCCAAGAAAGGAATTGTTCACTTGAAATCTTCCGCTTCACTATCGTCACTTTCGGTGGAGATGGGCATATCTAGATCCCAGATGCCACGCTGTCTAGTGTCTTGGTCAGCAGTAATGTAATAATCTGAGCTATCTGCGAATTTACTTCATAATCTTATCCGTTTTATAGGAGATGATGGAAGGCTCATTTAACACCTTTCTCGCATCAAACAATGGTGATCTTACCAGCAACAATCCAAAAGAAGTCAACACTGATAAATTGAAATCTAAGCCAGCTGAGGCCAGCATATTCACTTTACATCAAATAAGGCGACCTAAGGAACAGAAGACAAGAGCCGCATCATAAAAAAAGTCCACCTTACGAGCGAGGCTCCTGTAAGCCGTCTTTATCTCCTGCAACGTCGCGTTCCGGCGGAGATTCAGAGTGGCATAGTAATCCGACCCCTTAGCCATCACCACCATGCCTCTCCGACGCGACGGGCGGTCTGGACGGGGACGGCAGCGGCATCGGGACCGACGGAACCGAGGCGCAACGCTGGCGAAGAGCGCCTCATCCTCGTGGGACACTCTCGAGGCTCTCGAAGCCAATCCAGTCCTGAAGGCGCAGCATAGGAAAGTTCTCCCCGCTGGAGCAGCAGAATTCGACAGGAAGGGGAGCCCAAGTGCGGGAGATAGGGGCGAGGCAGCCATGGAGGCCGCGAAGGTGACACACCGTCTATAAGAACATGGAGAAGGGAAGGGAGGGAGGGGACAAACGATATAAAGCCCCTGCAAAACCTCGTCGGCAAGTAACTCCACAATTTAATATTCATAAAAGGTAAATCCGACAATTGTAAGGATATAAAGTTAATAACAAATCGCAAGAGGGAGGAAAACTACGAGTTATCTCCTTTCCACTATGGGCCAGGCATTCGCTTGGGAATGACTTAGAGCGCAGGGGCATATCTCCAAGGATTCTTGTACGGAGCCCCTTTATTAAATTTTTCAGGCCAGGCGAGCTATCAGCAGTGCTTTTACTATCTATCGATATAATATAAGATGGATAGAGAGGGAGAGAGAGAGAGAGAGAGAGAGAGTGTTGACCCGTGGGTTTCCACAAAACTCCTTCACGAGGAAAATCGTCCAGAAGGGCAAGGCAGGTGAGTACAGAGCATCCATGAGGTGAAGGAAAGTCTCAAAAGTGGGGGGAGGAGGAAAAAATATGGAGGACGCGGCCAAGGGCGGCGGCTAGTTTACTACATACAATGTACATGTGGCGGAGCTCTGACTGCCTTATTGGCGGTGTGGGGGAGAGTGATCGTCACACCAAACGCCTCAATGGGGGCAAAGCCGAATACAAAACCACATCAGCCGGCCCTCTCTCTGACAGACCGAAAATGGCAAAAAAAAAAACAGAAGAAGACGAGTAAGCATATGACCAACCAAGAACAAGACCAAAGAATAGCAGTTCCATCCTTACAGCCAGGAAGAGAGACGGGTTATTGGGACGGGCTGGCGACCGGCCATGACGACCGGGAAGGGGGCCGGCTGATCTCGGCCATGGAGAATGGCTGGCGGGGCTCTTCCGATCTTCGGATTTCCTGATGGGGAAAGAATTTAAGTATTAAGACAAGGGGTGTTCTTCCGGGAAGAAGAGATGGGAAGAGGCAACACCCCCCCTCCCCCAAGGCACCTGCGACAGCGTGGACGGTGGCAAGTCCCTCGACTGCATCTGGGACTTGGCGTGCACCCGGTGCAGCCGCTGCATGCCCTCGAATTGCTCGAGCCTGGCGGCGAAGTCGATCTCTGATTCGGGGATACTCTCAGTTTCCTGATCCGGGATTTCGTCGGAGTCCCGCTGCGCCGGATTCCACGGCGTTCTTCTCTCAAACTGAGCGCTGCCCAGGGCAAACGATGGCACTGTTTTTATCCGGGTCCGTAGGATCTTAAAAGCCACGCTTTGCTGCATGAGCAAGAGAAGAAGAAGAGAGGATGAGGGGAGGGAAGAGGCCAAAGAGAAACGGAAACATAGTATGAGCATAATGGTTCTGAGAAACTGAGAGAAAACTTCACATACTTGAGAGCATAACTGTGAACGTACGCTACCAAAAACGGCATAGTTTACCTGCGGAAGCAGCATCAGAAGGCCGTTCAGCGTCTTCAACAACCATGTGTACTTTCCGGGTTCGAGAAGCTGGACATTGTACAGAGTCAAGTTAATAATGCCTGCAAAGATTCTGGTAACGTGGATGTTGTCAAAGGCAGTGCCATGAAACAGGAGAAGAGAGCCGAATTCTTCATGAGAATATCGCTTTCTTATCATGTGGGGAGGAGGATCCCTCGGATGCTTGGTGGTTTAGAGGATAATTCTGAGGATAATTCATTTTGACTCCTCGTTTCCAAAGCAATCAAATGAAGTCAAAACTATTCTTTACCCCATCAAGAAGATGCTAAATCTTTCCCCATTCAACCGAAAGATGGTAAAAAAAAAAAAAAAGAGGTGGAAATCAAGTCTGCGATGGCACAAATGAAGTTATATAGCAGTACTATCCTTGCCTCCTTCAGTGAGACCAACACTGAAGTCGATTGAGGCACCATACATGAGCCGCGACTCATGCCTAGGATAGAAATCTTTGCTCAATGAAGACCATTACATACTAAGATCTATCGATCTATCTTATTCAAAGAAACTCTGTGTCATCACGGAAACCTAAACCTGTAGCGAAAAATCTCAGGCAGCAACCTATTGTCTCTTACACAAGCAACCAAATTTCATCTGTGTTTTCTCTCAGACACCTTCATACATTGTCACTAACATGAGTTACGGCTAAACAGTGTTTCGCCTGTAACAAGTGCATGAATCTACCATAAAATTCTGAATGAAAAAAAATATAAGCGGGACAGGCATGGCATACCTGCAATCTTAGATATGCAAATATTGGAGTCTCGAGAAGACGAATCAATTTATCTAGCTGTACAAGAAACTTAACATTTATGTCCTCCTCTCCCAGTGACTGAATCACAGAGCTCGCGTGTTGGTACGCCTGGTGCAGAACAACACTGATTTAAATGTTTGAAAAGGAAAAATACACGAGCTCAAGTTGCCTGAACCATCTAGACAACACCTACCTGGGCCAGAAGGCACAGACTAACAGTTGCCATTGGCGAATGACACCAAGAAGAGTAGAGAGAAACGAATAGGTCTTTCCCAGAGGAATTCACCAAAGACTGTTTTAGAAGCACACGCAATTCTGATAACTCAGACGAAGTGAGCAAGATCAAATTCAAGGCCTGAAGTGTAGTCAAAGTGCAAGATCTTAGAAAAATGCGAGAATTGTATGATTGGAAATATTCACATTCAGATGCCAATAAAATGGTAACCTGAACCATGACAGATGCAAAGTCCAAGTCTTCTCCCTCTAGAATTATTGAGAATTCACGGTAAACACGCTCAGCGTCCAAAAGAACACAAAGTCGACGTACTATTAATGCACCACGCCTGAAATAACAATGTAACAGCTGTCAAGTAAAAGGAGCGCGTGTTTCTCATTAATAAGTTGCAAAGTAAAAGTAGCACGGATAATACTCACTTCTCCAAAAGGGAATTGTCAATCTTAAAATTTTGCACCAAATAACGAACCAGATCACGGAAATGAAGGTCATCTCTTGCAATACAAGCATGAACCTCCAGTACAAGAAGAACAACCTGCAGATTAACAAAATTGAATCTTTAAGAACTCATTTACATGTGTAAAAAAAGCCAAAAAAAAAAAAGAAAGGAAAATGACATGAGAGTAAGATCAAGTCATCTTTCTACTGAAAAATGTAAGATAAATATTTTCCTCTGGGAAAAATTTTAAAAATCTGATTGCTTCCATCCAAAGAACAAGAGGAACACACCCAACAAAAATAAAGTCGACGACATAATTTTTTCGTCATACTGCCTGTATGAGGGTTGTATAATCATTAAATTCTCCTGTGAATAATAAACTTTATGGAATGGGTATTCAGTGAAAAAAATGATTAATTGGGTTACGCATTAATTTGAAAACGGGACGAGCACTCTTTCTCCCTGTCATCATACTTTCGACAAGCAAACATCAAATGTGCCACATGAAATGGCGTCAGTAGTATTTAGAGAGACTTGGATAGGGGCCTAGGAAGGCCTGGTCGTCTGAAACTCTAGAACATCATATTTTGTCACAGGCCACAGTGATAATGCAAGAGTTTGTGACAGGAAATAGCCTGACTTAAAGACATTACAGATAGGTGTTTTTCTACAAGTGCACAATGTAGTTTTGAGAAAAAAAATGAAGCACCAACAAAAAGCCTACCTCATTAGAAGGATCTGACAGTGCTCTCAGCAACGAATCAAAGATGTCGCTCAAGAATACGATAACCTGTTCGAAGAAAAATCATGGAAATTAAACGAGCAAAAAATGGCATAAAATAAACTAATTAAAGACAACAAGCATGTTGCTTGTCGCCCAAAGCACAAAACTAATCTATGCAACAGGAGTTTTCTAACAAAGCAACAACCAAAGGAACTCAGGACGACTTTTGAAGTTTTAAAGGATAGCAAAGGCCGGTGTTAGTTGGCCGTGTTGTACTGAGGAACCATAGCTGGAAATTTTTAGCAAAAGCATATAAGAATGGAGACCTGGAATGCCCCCAATCAAGAAACTTTCGTATAAGAGAGATAATTAATTCCATATAATGAAGACATTACGCCTAGGATGAACAGAAGTAGGAAGAAGAAAGAAAAGAATTCTCTCACCCGTTCGGTCTAGGGTTTTAGTGCCTCCATCTATTTTCCACTCTAACTCAACATCTAGGGATCTAATGGTGTTCCGACCTTCTCCTACCGTTCATAGGCGTTTTTCTTCCTGTCTTCCTGGGGTTCCCACTTTCTCCCACTGTTTGACGAGGTTCTTAAAGCACTTGAGAATATTGGGTTTGGATAAGGATATTATCCACGCCAACATCATTAAGGTCATGTATACATTAAATTTAACTATGATTACAGTTCTTCATTTATACCAAACATGGTATAATACATTTTATAGTAAACATAGCATCATAGAGATATTCCACCCACTGAAATACCATACCGATGATCAAGCGAAAAATGTAAAGACAAATGTGTATTTATCATGTGTAGCACAACATGTCTATGACAAACGTCTAAGACTTAGGCAACATTTCAGAACCCTTCTAGGGATAACACAACGTGAATATCACCCCAAGTAAACATGATTCCTTCCAAAGCATTCCCCAATTGCTGAGGGGACAGTAAAGTTCTGTTTTTTCCAATGAAAAGGAGGGAATCTAACATGAAATTATTAACATTTGCTCTCTTGAAAAACCTCTTGGAATAGTGTTTCAAGTGTCACACTCAGGGAGCACAAAAAGAAATCCAGGTGGACTTGTATGGCTTGATCCTATCACTGAACACGTACACAGCATCAGCACAGCTATCACCAGTTAATTATCTTTCATAGATAGTTAAAACTTCAAATTTTGTCAAGTGAATGTGATTAGGACCAATTAAAGAGTCAAAAGAATATGACAGATATGATGCATAAACGCAACTTCATAAAAGGTCAAAACGAAATGATTAACTACCTCAGCACGATGCCGTGCCAAAAGAGTAGCCATCCAATTCAGTGCTTCAATTCGAGTAGCCTCCCATTCACTTGATAATTGACTGGAGATAAAATTAAACCGGATCAAAATTTAATCAATTATTTGCTGTGAAAGATATTAAGAAATAAAAATGACCTATCCATGAGCATAGAAGACAAAAGCCCACTTCAATTAAGGACTCCTGTTGTTCTTTATCGGTGCAAGAAACATGCCAAACCAAAGCTTCGAAGGAAATAATAACCCAAAACCTAAAAAAATTCCAAGGAAATAAAAGATTGCACCTCCTTGCAATAGAGAGGATGGAACCTATATCAAATCCATCTGCTGGATCAGCACGGATGGCACGAAGCTCTTCATTGGTTTCTCGAGCAACCTGCACATATCAGATGCAAGGGCTGACTGAGGAAAGAAGAGATAACTTCATTGCACATGAAAAGATAACCAAGCCCTGCTGTCCTAGAAAGAAAAAGAAAACACTTCTCATTTTAAGTGAGAACATAATCCAATAAGGCAATACTTAAAAAAGGAAAGCAAAAAATCAAACAAGCATAAGACATTTATTTCACACTAGAGAGAGGAGGATGTGATTGTATCCCTTGTATAGATGAGATAAATCTATCAATGACTCAAACTACAAAAAACAACAGTAGCTGAAAATATTGTAAGAGTTAGTAAAGCTACTTACTGCTCTTATTTTCTCCTCTTTGTCAGATATACAAGGCAATATAGCTCCAAGGATGGCAGCATAGTAAGGAACAAGTTGATCACCACCAAGTTTTACAAATTCATTTATCTGCACGATGTGAATAAGAATAACAGTTGGTCTAATTGAACGTGCATAGTTCAAATTCATTATCACATGCAAGGTGAGATTTTATTCCTACCCATGTTATGGCTGTCAATCGGGTAAACTCATCAGGAGAACTTGCCCTTTGCACCAGTATTTCAGCCATACGACCATAATCTACATTCTTCAAATTTAAGTAGAGTTAGAAGCAACAGCATGAAGAAAGACAAAAAACAATAGGAAATCTGGAGAAATCTTATAGCCTACTAAGGGAGATAATGAAAGGAGATAGATACTGGCGAGTTCTTTATTTCTTGAAGAAACTCAGAAAGTGCAGAGTCAGCTTGCTGCCGTATTTCACGGCTAGAATCACTTAACATGTTGAACAAACCTACATATAGAAGGAAGATTTGTTACACTTTTCGAAATATTCTGAGAAAGCAATGATTCGCTAGGACCTCCTACCATCAAGAAAATCTGGAAGAAAACCAAGCATATCAATATCTGGCACACTATCCAGCACTGTGATCCATCCCACTAGAAACTGACGTACATGTGGGTTGAGTACGTTCATGCGCTCTCTTAACAGTGGTATGAACTCTTCTATGCTGCAAAAAGGCATGATAAGATCCTGTTATCCAAGAAACATTTTTTCCACAGACTAAACCAGAATGGTATGAGGCAGATGGTGCACCTGAATTGGTCGCTCTCCGTCACAATATCCTGGCAATTCAAGCATATTGTAAGTCAGCCTGGAACAGGCTATAAGTAAAAGCTAGTGAACTCGAGGAACCAGCTAATTCAATTTACCTTTACAAGCCGATCTAAAAGATGAGCAGCACTCTGCACATTGGCATCTGAGTCTGCTGATAGCTTGCAAAGAGCATCAAATATTTGATTGAAGAATATGATAAAATCTCCTCTTACAACCTTCATGGAGCACCCGAATCAGGGGGTCGGTTATGATTACGAAATCCCAAAATTTCAAGCCAAATATAACCCAGGAGCCGACAGTTACCTTAGCTATATTATAAAGTGCTTCACAAGCATAATAACGAACTCTGCTATCTTGGTCATTAAAGGAGTTGAGAACAGGGGGTACAATTTGCTGCAATTAACACATAAATATTGATAAATTTTGAGAAAAAAATTAGAACATTGATATTTCTACCTTTTCTATGACTGATAAAAAAATAAATAAAAAATACCTGACTATACTATCCTTTTATCCGATTTTTACAAAGATTATATTTCTGCCTCTTATCCGATCTTCAAAAGTAAAATTCTTACAACTTAATTCATTATTTCAATTCTTTGTATTCATATTTTCATTAAAGGAAAATACTAATAGTAAATGACACAATGCCACACAAACTCAGTAAATATAACATAAGATTGGGATCAAAGAGAGAGAACATGTCCTTGGATTTCAAGGACCTATAAAACGAAACGCACAACAAGAGGAGGAAGCTGCTTAATGCTGCAGTGAACCTGTAAACCACATCCATTCAGATTTCCAAATGAATGATCGAATAAGCTACATCCTAACAAGTATCTTCCATTTGTAACGAGAAAACCATTCTTTAAATCCTTCAATTTGAGCTAATCAGAAGAAACTCATTTAGTATCTTCTTTTGAACTATGAGTGAAAGGAGCCCAAGAACATTATGATTCAAATAGAGAAAAAAAGTCTATACTCATTCAGATTTCCTTCAGCTTGAGCATTTTCTGATACATTTTACATGCATACAGTATGATTCATTATCACTTTCTTACACGCATACATTTTAGAGACCTGTTTCTATCTCATTAGTATTCTTTACTTATCACTTCATTTCCCATATGACGAGGACAGAGAATCGTAAAGTCGCACCTTTTGTTTTTGTCCTAAAAAGAATGATGTTACGATGAGTTAAATTTAACACAAAATTGAAAAATAGAAGATGCAAGGAAAAGTATCACCAAATCTGTTTTTTTACTCAAAAACGAACAACATTTGATGGGAAAATTTAACAGAAAATTGAAAAATATAAGGTGTAAACGAAATAGTATCATTATCTTCTTTTCCATCCGTAGGCATAGGAATCGGAACATAATTAATAGATGCAAATCCGGAACGAGCCACATCAGGTTCTAATTTTCTTCTGGGCCGTTTGTAGACGGCTATGCACCATATATAACTGCAGATTACAAGGGTACTATTAAGTAAACACAAGATCGTCATATCAACCACTATTCGCTCAGATTACGGAAGTGACAAGTAGACTGAAGCAAGAGGACGAAGACTTGGGTTTGTTAAGGGGATTCAGCCACATCCACCGGATACACAAAACATGTAACACATCTATGTTATGTTGATGACATTATCGTGTTCTTATAAATAAACAGGGAGAATCGTATGTGACTAGAATATATTACTGGACTTACACTTAATTTCGGGCAAGAGTTCAGCGAATTCCTCATTAATCTAGGGACATCACTTACCGAAAGGGTATTATCCACAGGATTAGTGAAATATTGTAGAATATTGTATTATCCACAGCTATATCCTATAGGTTGAAGATTATAAGAGCGAATTTGTGATAGCTTGTCGGTTTATTATCTTTCTATTTCATGATCCCAGGAATCTGGAAAAGAAGATAAAAGCAATTCCGAACATATTCTTTCATCAGAAGCAGCAAAAAAATCAAATACTGTATGGTAAAACTGGGGGAAAGATTATAAACATAGACAATTGAGGACTTGGCCATCACCAATGCTAGGCACTTCACTTTGGATTTCCTAACAGGCGGTGATTGAACACCATTTAAACAGAAGTACCATGAAGATATAATAATCATACTTCCAGACTATGAGAAAGTTCAAATTCTATAAACGTGGTCGTGGACCAGCTTAGACATTTGTTCAGGAAGCCAAATAAGTTTACATATAAATCATAGATGGTGACTGAATTTAGATTTAAATGAAAATTCCATGTCTCTTTGCAACAGCAAAGGATCCTAAAATCAGTGATGCCCAAGTCTTTTTACCATTCTACAAGAGTAGGAAGATAGTGGTTAAAGATTGGGAGATATCCTAAAGACAAAAAGATTAAAGGAGTAGCAAATCTTTTGGTTTAATCAAGGTTTGAGGAAGAAACATAGTGCTGGAAGTGGGACAAACAAAGTACTCTGGCAATGTAGTCGGTTGAAGTAGACATAGGAACATGCCAAATCAGGTTTTAAAACACTAATTTTTTTTTTCAAGTAACTATTTGGGCATGAAGGATCTCACACACAGAAGACTACTTTCATTCGATCATTTTTCTACATTTATGGGTCAACATTTACCACATGTAGAGTCTACATAGAGAAGAATAAGAATCTCCGGAAAATTCATACTTAGGATGCAAGTCTTCCTAGGAAACCAGGCAGGTGATGTATGACGTTCTAGGTTTGCAATGGCACCAACAAAATATGTAAGATCAGGAATTGTGAAGAACTTGTTTTAATAGGGAAAGCTTATTGGCAAATAAGCCTTTCAATTGACAGAGACATTTAGTCAAAGACTGAGTAGAACTTTTCTGTACTGAAGAAGGGGATGAATCTGTTATCTTAGGAACGCATGGCTAGTAGTATGGCACACAGAACACACTTTCTTTGTTTTGTAATGATTAAGTTGGGTAAGAATGATAAGATCAAATCATGAGAGACCTGAAGATATCATTAGCATTTTTGGTAGGAGTTAGACGAGAGATATTTCCAGACAAACATAACTCACTATATCCTACAAGTTAAACCTTCTATCACAATCAGAGAATGAAAAAGAGAATTGAGATATAGAACATATTTTTAAAGCTATAGAACATCCAAAAATAGGAGGGCACGAATAACAAGACAGCCTGAAACTAGATACCTCTAAATGCTGGGCGGCGTCATTGGTCAAACCAACAGTAACTGCTGCAAGTCCTATCAACCCTCCCTTCAAAGAGGAAAAAATAGACTTGAGGAAAGAGAGGGGAAAAGCAAGCGCACGTCAGAACACAATGTGAGGATTTGGGTGTTCTGAAAACCTTCCGATGGTTCGAATGCGGGGAATAGGTGAACTCTGTCGACAAGTGTTTTATCACGGATGTTATCTTGTCGTGCTCCCCAGCAAATGCTAACTGCTTCACAATTCCCTCAACCTGCTCAGCAGATTTCGCATAAGTTAGGAACTCCAATTGCCAAGGAACCGAAAGAAATTTCAAAATTCTGCGGATATAACACACAAAAAAAACATATCTAACCTCGATGGCGGCGTTCTTGCGCTTCTCATAGAGCTTATCCGCGAGATTCCTCATCACGGACGCCGGGATATTGGAGAGCGCGTCCGCCATCTTGCCGAACCCCCCGTGGCACTAACGGCACGCTCCCTACCCGACTAGGATCTCCACTGACGCTGCTTCCGCACTTTCCCTCCATCGAAGCGGGACATCTCGCAATCTCAGAGATCGAACTGGAGCCAGAACGAGCCCCCTAGAACCGCCCTAATCAGGTTTCCCCTCACTGCAGTGAGGTCAAGATCACCGATGAAGCGCCTCAGACAAAGAAGCTCCTCCTCCACAGCGCCGCCGGCGGAGTTGTCGTCCGGGCACCTCCCCTCTCCGGGATTCCGCACCTCCTCCCCTCCGATCTCCCCGCTCTCCTCCGGCTAGCTGTTAATGCATGTGAATATATAAATAATTATATATATATATTTCTATATCGAGGTATTTATACTCGGGCCAGAATTGAGTTGGACCTGGTCCAGCATTACTGGGCCGTGATGTGATTACAGGCCCATTTAGGTCCATTATTAAGCCCGTTACGAAACTTCTCCGACCTGACGGACGGATCCGAGCCATCTCGAGGAGATCGCGGCCAACCGGACACCTGGCGCCTCGTCGTTAGCCGACCTCTCGCGGTGGTCGTTTCGTCTGCCCCAAGACTCCCGCCGCCTTTAAATCTCCGCCGGTTTCCTCCGACCACTCTGTAGAGAGAGAGACAGATAGAGATAGATTAGATAGAGAGAGAGAGAGAGAGAGGGCTAGCCGGTGGTGTGTTTCACCTGCAAGAACTAGGGTTGGGGTTAGGGTTAGGATTCGCCTGCAATCTGGTCGGCCCATTTCTTCCCACGGATTCATCGGGGGAGGAGCAGCGCTCGGGGCCGGGGGTTCCCCAAGCTCCTCCTTCCCAATCGAGGAGCATGCGACCGGAGGGACCGGAAAACCGTGCTGCTCGTGTTGACCAGAGGGGATCGGGCGGCCGGCGGGCGCCTCGAACCGGCGATGGAGGTGCAGGCGGCGGCAATCGGCGCCAAGAATGGGTGCCGCGAGGTTCTGCTCCTCCGATCCTCAACCAGCCGCCGCCTCCGCCGCCGGCGGCGGAGGCGGAGGCCAGAGTCATAACAGATCTCACCGCCTATGGACAGCAGCGGAGTCGCCGGAATCAGTGGCACCGTCGGCACGAGCGCGCCCCTCCGGCGGCGCCCAATACACGGCCTTCCTCCGCCGCATCGCCCTCCCCGGTTCTGGCCTCGGTGCCGTCCTCCCTGCCGCAGCTCGTGCAGGAGCTTCAGGAGAAGCTCGTGAAGGGGGCGGTGGAGTGTATGATCTGCTACGACATGGTCCGGAGGTCGGCGGCGATCTGGTCGTGCGGCAGCTGCTACTCCATCTTCCACCTGCACTGCATCAAGAAATGGGCGAAGTCTCCCACATCCGTGGATCTATCTGCTGCACCTGGTGCAAATGCGGCTCCTGGCCTCAACTGGCGCTGTCCGGGATGCCAGTCCGTACAGGTCACGCCCTCCAAGGATCTGCAGTACACCTGCTTCTGCGGGCGGCGGCGGGATCCTCCGAACGATCTGTACCTGATTCCACACTCCTGCGGCGAGCCCTGCGGGAAGCCTCTGGATCGAGGTCGCCCGCCGGCGACTGAAGAAGGAGGTGACAGTCTCCGGTGTCCCCATATGTGCGTGCTGCAGTGTCACCCTGGTCCTTGCCCCCCGTGTAAGGCCTTCGCGCCCCGCCGGCAATGCCCGTGCGGCAAGCAGACCCTCGCCCGGCGCTGCTCCGACCGGACGTCGCCGCTCTCTTGCGGGCAGAAGTGTGGCAAGCTTCTCCTCTGCGGCCGCCACCGATGCGATCGAGTCTGCCACACCGGGCCTTGTGATCCCTGCCAGGTTCTGATCAGTGCTTCGTGCTTCTGCAAAAAGAAGACGGAAGTGGTTCTCTGCGGAGAGATGACCGTCAAGGGAGATCTCAGGGAAATCGATGGGGTCTTCTCCTGCAACTCTACCTGCGGGAAGACTCTGGCATGCGGGAACCATTTCTGCGCTGAAGACTGCCATCCTGGGCCTTGTGGGGAGTGTGAATTACTTCCGAGCAGGATCAAGACCTGCTACTGTGGGAAGACGGAGATGAAGAAGACCAGATCAAGCTGCCTGGATCCAATTCTATCCTGTTCTCAAGTCTGCGGGAAGCTCCTTCCCTCTTGTATTCACAGGTGCAAGGAAACCTGCCATGAGGGAAGCTGTCCTCCCTGCCTGGTTCTGGTCAACCAGAGTTGCCGTTGCGGGTCCGTTTCCAGGGTGGTGGAATGCTTCAGGACTTCAAGCAAGGAGGTGTTCTTATGCGAGAAACCCTGCGGCAAGAAGAAGAACTGCGGGAGGCACCGCTGCAACGAGCGCTGCTGCCGCCCGTTCTACCCTTCCTCCGCCGCCGGCCAGTTCTCCGGCGACTGGGATCCCCACTTGTGCCAGATGCCCTGCGGCAAGAAGCTCCGCTGCGGGCAGCATTCCTGCCAGTCCCTCTGCCACAGCGGTCACTGCCCGGCATGCCTGGAGACCATCTTCTCGGAGCTGAGCTGCGCCTGCGGGAGGACCTCCATTCCGCCGCCGCAGCCCTGTGGGACGCCCTACCCTTCCTGCCCCCACCCCTGCCAGGTTCCGCAGCCCTGCGGGCACGAGGCGACGCACACCTGCCACTACGGCGACTGCCCCCCGTGCTCGGTTCCAGTGGCAAAGGAATGCATCGGAGGCCACGTCGTTCTGAGGAACATCCCCTGCGGATCCAGGGACATCCGCTGCAACCAGCTCTGCGGGAAGACCCGTCGGTGTGGGATGCACGCCTGCGCGAGGACGTGCCATCCTCCGCCCTGTGATTCCACCTGCGAGTCCGGGCGTGGCGGCGCAGCTGGCTCCACGGCGGCGGCGTCCTGTGGCCAGGTCTGCGGCGCACCGAGGAGGGACTGTCGACACACCTGCACTGCAGGCTGCCATCCTTCGTCTCCGTGCCCTGATCTGAGGTGCGAGTTTTCCGTGACGATCACCTGCTCTTGCGGACGGATAACAGCCACCGTACCTTGCGGCGCCGGCGGCAACGGCGCCGGTGGCGGCTTCCTTGAAGCGTCGATCGTTGAGAAGCTGCCCGTGCCGCTTCAGCCGGCGGAAGAAAATGGCCGGCGGTTGCCCCTCGGCCAGAGGAAGCTCACCTGCGACGAGGAGTGCGCGAAGCTCGAGAGGAAACGAGTCCTCGCAGATGCCTTCGACATCGCCCCCACAAACCTGGACGCCCTCCACTTCGGCGAGAACCCCTCCGTCTCCGAATTGCTCTCAGATCTGCTCAGGAGGGAGCCCAAGTGGGTGCTTGCCGTGGAGGAGAGGTTCAAGACCCTGGTTCTCGGAAAGCCGGCTCGAACCAGCAGCAGCAGCAGCAGCCTCAAGGTCCACGTCTTCTGCGCCATGGCAAAGGAGAAGAGGGACGCCGTCCGGCTGATGGCAGAGCGGTGGAAGCTCGCCGTCCACGCCGCCGGGTGGGAGCCCCGCCGGTTCCTGGTGGTTCGCGTGACCCCCAAGTCGAAGCCGCCGGCGAGGATTCTCGGGGCCAAGGCCGGCGCGCCCGTGGCCGGCGTGGCCCCGCCGCCGCCGTTCGATCCTCTGGTGGACATGGACCCGAGGCTGGTGGTGGCGCTGCTCGACCTGCCGAGGGACGCGGACATCAGCGCGCTGGTCCTGCGATTCGGCGGCGAATGCGAGCTCGTCTGGGTGAACGACAAGAACGCTCTCGCCGTCTTCGCGGACCCCGTGAGGGCGGCCACCGCTATGCGCCGCCTGGATCATGGTTCTCCCTACCACGGCGCCGTCGTGTTTCTGCAAACCGGCGGAGCGTCTGGGGCCGCCGGTGGTGGCGGCGGTGCGTGGGCTTCTTCGGGAGCGAAGGACGCGGTGGCGGCGGCGATGAGCAGGGCTCCTCCGAACCCCTGGAAGAAGCTCGTCGCCCCGGAGGTGGAGGTGGAGGGTTCCTGGGCTTCGCAGAACCGCTGGAATGCCCTCGACACCGACGCGGCGGCGGAACCTCAGCAGCAGGTGAGGACGGATCAAGCGGGAGCTCCTCCGGCACCAGAGCTGATGATCCCCACCCCCGCTGGCTCTGCAACCCTGGAGGAGGTGGACGACTGGGAGAACCTCACTGATTAGGTCGGGTGGTAAAGACGAGCAAAGTACCGTCATCGTCCCAGAAATCTTGAATCTCTGTTTCTTCTACCCCGTTTTCATTCGGGGTCTGAAAATCGGAGAGCAGAGGGGGAACCCATGTCTGTCAATTTTGAACGCAGACGACCCACCTTTCCCTCTCATCATTGCACTCTCTCTCTCTCTCTAGATCATCTCACAAGCAAAGACAGGAGCCAAATGGCGAACAAATGGGGCTGACGAGAGTAAGATCAATATAACGGAGTCCACAAGGTTTGGGCGCTCTGTACACACAACGTCGGCCCGCAAAAGAATTAACAAAAAATAGCCCGGAAACAGGGGGAATGAATGCGAGAGAGATAGAGAGAGAAAGAGAGAAAGAGAGAGAGACGTGGAGGTCAACAGCTCTGCACCGGCGGCTGCTCTCTCCGCTGCACGGCCCTGTAGCACTGGAGACTGCACAAGGGGAGATTGGACTTGGAGTCTCGGTACTTGCAGGCGTTGGAGCACGAAGGGCCCGCACACTTCTCCCGTGGCGGAGGATATCTGCAGCATCATCATCATCATCATCCGCAGAGAAGATGCGAACGGAAAGAGAGCTATCTCTGTGACTGGAATGAATGTGGAGAGGGAGACCACCAACCCGCATGGCTTGGAGCTGAAGATGCTCGGGAGGCCGACGGCCTCCGGGAATGTGACAATCGTCCCGGTGGGTCCCATGACCCACCTCACCGTGTTCGCGGCGAGTTCTATGGATCTGGCCGCTTTCTCCTGTGTTTGCGGCAAACAGATGGATTATCAGCATGTGAAGAAACGTCACGGGGGTGGAGGAGGGGGTGGAGAGATGAGAAGGACCTGTGCCAACTCGTCGCGTTTCTTCTGTAACTTCTCTTCACGTTTCTTCCTGCTGGAATCCTGGCCCAGAATCTTCCTGATCGCCTCGGCCTGAACACATCAATCACCGTGTGATCATTAATTGAAGAAGAAGAAGAAGAAGAAGATGATGATGATCGCCTCCTTCCCCTTCCCCCTCTAAATAAAATTGAATAAAATAATAAAATAAATAAATAAATAAAGAAAATCGGGCAACTGAGGGTTGTGAAAGGAAGATGATCTGGGGGAAAGTAGCTTGGATGGGGCGATGAAATACGACGAATGTGGGCCAATTGGGTTCTGTTCCCAACTCTGCAGGAAGAATTATTCTCGGTAGTAGTTGTAGTGGCAGTACCTCAGCTTCCCTGGCAGCCTTCTCTACTTTCAGCGAACGTCTCTGGGCAGCTTCAGCCTTCTTCAACTGCTGCTCAACTTCAGAAAGCTTCTCCTTTTGTTCTGTAACAAAAAAAGATGAGTTCTAAGTTCAAGATACTCCAATACAACTGATGAGAGGAATTCCAGCAATGAAAGCTCCGTGACAGGGGAGTGAAGCCCTTACTTCTGGAAGGAGCTGCGGGCAACCCATTAGGGAATTCAATCAAGCTCGTGTTGCTTCCCCCAGATCCATCTTTAGCAAAACGAATGGCTCTTTGTCGAGTAGTAAGGGATAATTCTCTCCTCCCATCGGCCAAAGAATCCAGTGCCTCTTGCCCCTGCCCATCTCCCTCAACATCGCCTGCATCAGACTCTGCTTCTTCCTCTTCCATGTCATCTTCCGAGTCCCTCCCTGACCTTGGCTTCTTTCTGCCCTCTGTTTGCCGAGAAAGAGATATGTCCTTGCCTTCCTCGTAAGCTCTCTTAGCTGACTTGGCATTCCTCTCCATCTTGCTGCCCACTGGCACACTGGTTTTAGACCAACCATTGTTCGAAGAAGCCCTTGATGCCCTGAGCCTCTCAAGGTATCGAATCTCGTCATCTTCGTGATCATAATCATCATCTTCTTCTCCTTCCTCACTAAATGCCTTCTCTGGCGCCCGTTTCCGGGGGAGTCTTCTGCTCTTCTCTGAAGCCTTCCCTCTGGTGCTCTCTGTATTGGACTTTGCATGAATTGTGCGGGTAACTCCACCGACCTTCAGCTTCACCTTTCTGAGCCTATTCTCTACAGACACAGCCGCGGCATCGTCTGAAGCATCAGCTCTGTTCCCCCGTCCACTGTCTGAAGATGGACTCTCTCTTTGCCTGCTACTGCTCTTCCAATTGGCAGGGGCCAGCATGCCTTCCTTGCTCCTTGTTGAATCCAAATAGCCTTGGGTTGGCCCTTCATACCTCTTAGTCTGCTTGGAGGTCTTGGGAACCAGGTTGTTCAGATCCATCTCTTTCCTCCTCAAGCTGGAATCAGGGCCGGAGCTTACATCAGGAGACTGAGACTGCCCCTTTGAACTTTCCGATGATGGAGTCGACGAATGAGGCGAAGCATCAGCAGCTTTCAACAACATCTGAGGACCTTGTCGAGGCCTCCTAGATGTGGCGGTTCTGGACTTCTTCATCACTGCAGCCACACCGCTGACTCCAGAGACCCCAAAGCCCCCTGCCATATCTAAAGAAGCTCAATGGAGTAGTGGAGATTCTCTTGCTTGTCAAGCTGAGAATAGAAATAAAGCAAAGCATTCGGTCAGTGCGTTGACTGATATATATAGAACACTATGACTAAAAAATTATGCTTCTCTGATAGGAAACGTTGACAATGTTTATAATAATATACGTCTAATCATGAAGATTGCAGTATATATTGTCTGCCCAAAGACAGGCAGATTTCAGGAAGAATCACGACGGCAAAGAATATAGCAAGATAAAGCCTCCTTGGCCATGAAAGAAAAGGAGATGCATGCGGAAACCAGAAGATTAGAACCTACTCAATTTGGCAATCAATGCTGTGGCTAAGACACAATAGCGATACAACACAATGAATAGAACCCATCTCGAATTCCTTCCTTCAGTATAACTTAGAAAGAATAGATGCCATGCAGAGGATCAGAACAAAAGTTTCGCTTTTGGTAGTTTCCTGCCTTTCTCAGCAAAGCTTCGTATCCGATCCTTGAAATAGGAGACCAAGCAAGGAGGGATGGAGTGGAGTTTGATTCAATGGAGGCCAGCGCTCATAATGATTTTCGGGGTTCGAATCAGCCCTCATATGGCCAAAAAATCGAGCTATATCACAGGTTGCAAAACCCACGCTCACAAGCAGCAACCCATACAGGCTAGGGACCTTCTAACATTCCCGTCAGGAAAGAACATCCCAATCAAAGAGCCCCCCCCTCCCCCCACCAGATTTCCTTCTCAACGCCGCCACCGATCGGGAAAGATGAGCCCGACCCACAGCACCCTCGTCGGACGACGACCACCACCAAAGCATCCCAAGCGGAGAACGAAGAGACTCAGAAGAAATCGAGATCGAAGAACCCTCACCTTCGCCAGAAAGGGGAAGAGATGAAAACCCTAACGCCGCCTTAAGCGAGAGGAAGCGGGACAGGGAAGAAGCCCAGACGCGCTGCCGGCTCGAGATCGGAGGAGATGCACGATTCACGCCTCCCGCCCTCCCCCCCCGCCCCACAGCCACCTTTCGTCCTCGCGGGAAAGGGTTGGGGAAAAGTCCCAAGGGCTGTGGAGGAAGACGAAGAGGAGAGGGAAGCTGCGCAGGAGGCCCAATTCCGTGCAGTCCCTCCCTCATTTTGACATTGGCCGCGACGAGGGCAGTCGGTAATTTTCTCCATCTCGCCCCGCGGTACTCTCTCTCTCTCTCTCTCTCTCTCTCCTCTCTCCCCCACCATTCCCGGGTTTCCTTTCTCGGAAGCTAAGCGGATGGCGGAGGGGGAGGATTAGTTTCAGAGGCCGGTCCCTCCCCGCGGGCAGGACGAATTGAACCGGATGCCCGCCCTCCGGTTCGTTCTTGAACCGCTGGGGAAGCCGGTCTGGCGCGTTCCCACAAGCTGAAGCTGATTTATACTTCCATGGCTGTTAACGAGCTGACCGATTTGGAGTTCATGCTTAGTATCATTATCTATTTAAATATTTAATTCATTATACGGACTTTAAAATTAATTTTTAAGAGTCTTTATCAGAATATTTATGCATAAAGATCACACTCACACCAAACTCAAAGCGGCTAATTTATTAAATAAAAAATATATTAATAATTTTATAAATACCTTGGAATGTGCTTTATCACTACTCATAATCACCTAACGCCTTCAATCCATCAGAAATAGTTTGAAATATTCGACTCCTTTGTTCTTCTCAAACTATTACCAATAGTAATGATGAATACCTTCATATCAAGTGTTGACTACTTTCATTGCTGACATTTTTATCCAAAATGTGAACTTAATGATTGGTATTATGTTGTAATAAAAGTAATTGTATCATATTTCCCTAATAACCTGATATTTTAAGGTGAAAATAAGATAAAAGCGTCCATTGGATTTGAGGTGTCCCTTTTGCTCTTTCTTCCTTGTGAGAGATTGAAAGAGATCTTTGTGTTTCTTACATTGTCAATGTGTTCTTCCAATAGAAAGAGAGAAAGGGAGAATAAGAAAGCCATGAAAACTAACTAAAAGTTAAGAAACTAAAGATCAAAACTGTTGAGGAAGTAGTGGAGAATGATTTCATACCAATCACATACGAAAAGATGAAGACAAAAGAGAGGAATACCAAGGGAAAGAGAGCATAGGAAAAGAGAAGGGAGAAGAGAATAAGAGTAAGGGGAGGGGGAGGAGAAGATTCTTTGTCAGAAAATAGGTGCATGAAATAATTATATCAAATAAGTAGACAGCTATGGAGAGGGACAATCACCTAGTGCTGGTTTTGTGAATGTATAAAGACTAAATTACCCATATCTTTTAGGCAAAGTCTCTTTTGTATCCTAAATATAGAAAAGGAAATATTTAAGCCCAAGAAATGTTATAAATAGAAGAATAATTATGAAATTTAAAAATAAATCAATATCATGATAAAAAAGTCTTATTTCTATATTATTTATGAATGAAATAATGACAAGGAAGGAAACTTTTATCTTATTTTCACATAAAAATATCATGTTATCATCCTCCAATCATTTTTCAAGGGTAGATATCAATACTTGTGACATCATCTTAAATCCAAAAAATATTAGAATCATTTGGATCATAGATATGGACCACACTTGGTGGATAATTATATGATGCAATAGAGATTCACACTTAGAAGTTAGTATAATATTATCATCCAAACATTACCATATTACTTTTTGCGAAATAGATAATTTTTGTGATAAAAACTAAGCAATAGTAAAAATTTATCATGTGTTGTTGAGTACAAAATCTACATGACCATGAAGATATCACTTTCTGTAATAGATAGAGAGAGAATAAAGTGATAAGAAAGAAGAGGGGGCGATAAGAGGGAAATATAAAAGAATAAAAAAGGAAATATAATGAATGATAGAGTTCTCATTCGCAAAAGGGAGGTTTCACTAGCAGGAGAGATTTTTGATGTAAAGGGAAGAGAAATAAATGAAAAACATGAAAAAAAAATTAAATGGGATGATAAGGTAGAAAGGAAGATGTGGGAGGAAAGAAAAATTGTGAAAAAGGCTTGCAAGTGGATGGTTTTCCATTGGCAATAGAGAAATGCAAGAAACATCAATACTTTTGGCAAAAAAGAGAAAAAAATGGAATGAAAACTTTTAAAAAAAAAAGTATAGGAGTGTGAAGAGATTGGATGGAAGATTGAGAGCGAAAATGATTAAGAAAAAAGAGAAAACTTAGTGGAAAGTAGAACTTGTGCTGAAGAGAAGCTTCTTATTGGTATGAGAAAAATCAGAACTTTTTTTGCAGTGAATAAAAATAGCAAAAGATAATTGAAAAAATAAATATTAATATTTAATGATATAATAATCAAAATAAGAGAAGAACACACAGTAAATATACAAAACACGAAGAACTCCTCATGTCTATCACTTGGGAAGAAGTGCAGAAGAGAGGATAAGAAGGCCATGAAAACTAACTAAAAAGTATGAAACTAAATACCTAACATGTGAATAAAGAAGTGGAGAATGATTTCCTACCTCTCATAGAGGAAAGGATGTGGAGAGAAGAGAGAGAATGGCAAGAGAAAGAGAGAGTTGGGGAAAGAGAAGGGAGAAGAGAAGAAGAGAAACAAGAGGGGGGGAGAATTTTTTTTGAGAAGAGGCATATGAAATATTTATATCCAGAAGAGGTTGACAGCTGTGGATGGGGACACAATAACCTTGGGGTAGCTCATGAATGTATAAAGAATAAATTACCCTTATTTTTAGCCAAATTTCTTCTTGTATCATGAGTAAAAGAAAATAAATATTAAGCAGTAAAATATATTATAGACATAATGTATTTATGAAATTGAAAATAAATTGATATCAATGTAAAAAATATTATGTTTATTTATTAATAAACAATGAGAGCAATGGTGACTATACTCTTATTTGTACTTGTAATTATTATGCTATCACTACCCACATTGATAACAATCGAATAGTCACTTGCAATGATGTAATGATGAGAGAAAAGTGGATTTATAACAGATTAATTGTGGAGATGTAGAAATTGACTATGATTCAAGACTTTTGACCGTTGAAACTCAATAGCACAAACATGATTCTTGGCATGTAGTGGTTGCAAAAGTTGAAAAAAATGGTGGTGAATTGGAGTCTTTTGATCATGAAGGTCACATAGGGGAACTTGATGAAGACTATGAAAGGAGATTTCAATTTATACAAACCTATATTTTTTTTGCAAGTGATGACTTAATAGCTACACTAAGATCATAGAATGATGAAGTAATACCAGCTAACGATGGAGAAAAGGGTGGGAACACCAAGGCATCATCACTCTTGATAGATCAACTCATAGATAAATTTTCAGCCACAATCAAAGAGGTTTTAGGCATGCGGATTATTTGTGACTTCAAGCACAACATACAATTAGAATTGAGGGGAAAAAGACCAATAATGTTTGACTCTACATATATCTCTAATACAAAAAAAACTAAGATCATTCCCAACCCTTTACTAGATCATATCCAACATAATTCTACTTGTAAAGAAGAAGGATGTAAGCTGATGCTTTTGTGTAGGATATGAGGTGCTTAACAAGATTATGATCCCACATAGATTCCTCATCCTTAGTCATTAATGAGTTATTCATGAGATTCATGATGTCACCATATTTTCAAGGTTGGACCTAAAGTCTATCGATTATTAAATTTGAATGAAGGCTGAGAATGTTATGAAGACGTCTTTCCAAATTCATAAGGAGCACCATGAATTCTTGGTGATTTTTTTTTACCTTAGAAATGTCTTGGCTACCTTTTAGTCCCTAGTGAATCAAGTTCTCTAAAAGTTTCTGAAGAAATTTATTCTCATATTTTTTCACAATATCTTGGTCCATAATTAGGATGAAAAGACCCACAAGCATCACTTAGACAAATGTTGCTGGCCCTCACAAAGTATTAATTCTACACCATAGAGAAATGTATCTTTGTAAATCTAATGATCAAATATCTATGATATTTGATGTTTACA